GAAGGCATGAAGAACATAATGTCAGAATACAAATTCTTCTCAAGGAGTCCAAACCCTTCCACCAAATCCCACCATTCTTCTCCAAGCATAAATTGCATAATTAGAGACAAAATAGCATCTGAAGAATATGTAACACGTGTAGGTCCTCAAGATCTTTTATTTCTTCAACTTAAAGCCCACATATCATAGAAACACAGAATCATTCAGTCTGGAAAAGCCCTCTAACATCAAGTCAAGCCGTTCTCCCAGCTCTGCCAAGGCCACCACTAAGCCATGTCCCCAAGTGCCTCAGCCACATGGCTGTTAAATCCCTGCAGGGATGGGAATTCCACCACTGCCATGGGCAGCCTGTTCCAGTGTTGGATCATGCTTTCCATGAAGAAATTCCTCATGATGTCCCACCTAAATCTCCTCTAGCACAGCTTGAGGCTGTTTCCTCTTGTCCTGTCCCTTGTTCCTTGAGAGCAGAGCCCGACCCCCACTCAGCAGCACTCTCCTGTCAGGGAGTCGTGGAGAGTGAGAATGTCTCCCTGAGCCTCCTTTTCTCCAGGCTGAGCTTCCCCTCAGCTGCTCCTGGTGCTCCAGCGCCTTCCACAGCTCCATTCTCTTCTCCAGATATGCTCCAGCCCTTTTGTGAGAGGCTCAGAACTGTCACCAGGATTCGAGGTGGGGCCTCAGCAGTGCCCAGCACACGAGGATGGTCACTGCCCTGGTCCTGCTGGCCACCCTGTGGCTGAGACAAGCCGCGTGTACCATTGGCCTTCTTGCCCGCCTGGGCACACGCCACTTCATGTTCAGCTACTGTTACCAGCAGCCCCAAGTCCTTCTGGCAAAGCCTTCTTTAGTTGCTTTGAGGGAAGCGGACTCACTTCCAATCACTTTCCACGGACAAATTTAGAGAAGCAAGAGCACACCACAAACCAGAGGTGCTGCTTGCTCCCTGGGACTGTTCTAGAGGTTTTAGGGTAAAAACATGTCACTATTCAGGTGCTGAACATTCACTGCTGTGTTCTGCCTCTGAGGTCTCTTTGTTGAACAATCTGTGCTGTGGTTCTGAGTGAAAGTTGTAGGTGAAATTTGGGCAGATGGGAACTGAAAAACTTGATAGTCAAATGTGTTGCAGATGCAGAAATTAAAACGTCTCTTTGCTGTGTAACTGGATCTGCATCTCTCACGAATACTGTGCTGAGCCATTTTGGGAGGACACTTCAAATGTGTGGTGTTCCCTAGCTGATCACGCTCCTCGTGTGGGTTCTGCAGGCTGAGCACTCTTACTCATGGTGTTAAAACAACAACAACCCAAAAAAAGAAAAGGGGGGAGGGGGCATTTTGTTCAACTGTTTCGTTTGAGACACATTTGGTATCTTGTGGGTCGGTATGGGTGGTGGTAAGTAAACTTCAAAACGAGGGAGAGTATTTGCTATGGTATGCACTAATTTTTATTTTTTAAATCTCCTTTATTAATAGCATCACAGACTTTTCTAACTTTTCACTGCAATTATGTCGTCCCTAACTCTTTGCTTCATTTGGTTGAAGCTGATTTTTGTTAAATTTGGGAGCTCTCTCCAGTTTTGCTGCTGAAAGAACATATGGGAGTAATGTGTTAAATTAAAAAAGAGAAAAGCTTGGGGGAGGAGGTGATAGAGGTAAGCAGGTGTGATCAGAACCAGCTTGGCACTATCTATTTCAGGGATGCTCTTATAAAAGTGTTGGCATGCTTAATGTTAAGGAAGAAAAAAGCATTTCAGCCTTTGTAAGAAGTCCAAGTTTTGGTACTGAAAAATGGCGTAGCTCAAAGAACCACAGGATCTCCTGAGCTGGAGGGGAACCACATCAGTGCAGCCCCTGTCCCTGCACAGACCCCCCAACAATCCCACCCTGAGCATCCCTGAGAGCGCTGTCCAAACGCTCCTGGAGCTCTGGCAGCCTTGGGGCCGGGACCATTCCCTGGGGAGCCTGGGCAGTGCCCAGCACCCTCGGGGGGAAGAACCTTTCCCTGAGCTCCATGCCAAGCCCTGGCACAGCTCCAGCCCTTCTGCAGGCTGTTGCCAGCCCCTGGCTGTCCCTGTGGCAGCAGGCAGGTGTGCCCAGGCAGGTGTGCCCAGGCAGGTGTGCCCAGCACCCTCAGGTGCCCCCCCACCCAGCTGTGAAGCCCCAGCTGAGAGGAGCCCCTCTCTCCAAGCCTGACCTCCTGCTTGCCAGAGCTTTGTAGGAGCATCCAAATCCAGCCAGGAACGCTTTTCCCTCCCCTTTCCTCGCTGCTCTCTGAGCTCCCCCTAAATCAAAGCTGCTGTCATCACCCCCAGCCCCAAACCCCGCTCACACCGTGTCCCACTGGAGGCTCCTGGAGCCCGGGGTGGCCAGCACGGAGCACGAGGAGCAGGGATGAACTCTCCGTGCTCCTCCAAGGCTGCCAGGAGCTCGGGGTCAGCAGAGGACGAGGCAGCCCGGCTGTGCCACGTGCCTGCAGGGCCAGTGGTCACCAGCGAGGGGGACAGGCCTGGCTGTGGCCAAGCCACAGCTGCCAGATGTGGGATTTGCTGCCGAGCCACGAGGCTTGGCTGGGCCTTGCAGGAGCCCCTTGGGGAGGAGCCCTGGCTGCTCCTCTTGCTGTGTTCCAGAAGCTGAGCTCTGCTGTTCAGACTCCCTGGGGGCTTCCCTCCACACTGACCCCACACTTGTGCTGCTTCCAGTCATCCCTCAAGCCCTGCCCAGTCCTTCCTTTAGGGAGTTCCTTTGTCCTATAAAAAACCTCACCAAAATGGATTTTGATGAATTGGTTTGGGATAGAAACCCTGGGGCTGCCTGAACCCTGCAAGGCTTTGATTCAGGCAGGGTGACAGCCTCAAAACTCTGGGATTAGGAATCTAAATCATGGAATGGTTTGGGTTGGGAGCCTTTAAACTCATCTCATTCCACTCCCTGCCATGGCAGGGACACCTTCCACTGTCCCAGGCTGCTCCAAGCCCCANAGTGCCCTCAGCTGCTCCTCAGAGCTTCCCCAGCTCCGTGTCCCTCCTTTGGACACTCTCCAACAGCTCTGGGTCCTTCTGATCTTGTGGTGCCCAAGGTGCCCCCAGCACTGGAGGTGAGGCTGCCCCAGTGCAGAGCAGAGTGGGACAATCCCTCCCTGGGCCTGGTGGCCCTTTGGGCTGCCAGCAGTGACTCAGATCCAACTTGCCACCCACCAGGACCCCCAGGTCCCTTCCCACGGCGCTGCTCTCCAGCCTCTCATTCCCAGCCTGTCCCTGCATCCAGGGCTGCCCCATCCCAGGGCAGGATCCAACACTTGCCCTGTTAAACATCACACCTTTGGGAATTTCCCAATCCTCACATTTGTCAGGGTCTCTCTGTCCTTGAGAACATCAGCAGTTCCTTCCAAGTGTGTGGCCTCAGCAAACCTACTCAGGACCTTCCAGACCTCCCCCCAAGTCACTTATGAAGACATTTGAGAGAACTGGCCCTAAGATGGAGCCTTGTGGAACCACAGTGATCACTACCTTGATGTCACCTCATTTCCTGTAACTTTCTGAGATATATGGCCATCAGCTCTGCAGTGCCTTATTTTCAATCTTATTTCACAGAATATTGTAAAACTTCACATCTTGCTGAATTGCAGCGTGCACTGCTGGACCCGTTGTAGCTTGGTAGCTTGCCCCCAGTTTTAAACGGTAAAACCCTGGGCAGTTCTGTGGTTTCTGGAGGCAGCCTCTTCCCAGGAGGGAGCGGGAGGCAGTGCAGGGCTGTCCCTGAGTGGGGCACTGTGCAGCTGCTCCCTGGGCAGCCTCCTCCCAGCACAGCCTTTGTGTGTAGTTGCCTCCGGGATTTTACCACACCGTTTGTATCTCGAGGCTCCATTTGCGCAGCTGGGACTCCAGCCAGGTGCCATAAATGTTTATGCAATAACAGGAATGAAGATCCCTTTATGATCTGCACAGCCTCCAGATGCCTGTGTGTTGTGGGGATTTGCTTATGTGTTAATTGCACCTTTGCCTTTGGACACGTTTATCTTGGGTTGAAAGACCAACTAGATGTGTCCTCTGGTGCTGGTGTTTTTGTGCCCATGTCAGCTGTGGACAAGGCGCAGCACGAGGTGTGTGATGGGGTAGGTTGGACTCTGGGAGTGCTGCTCTCTGCCCTTCGGGCTTGGCAAGGGCTGTGACTGTGTATTCTCACACAAGTGTCAGCTCATTTCTTTTTTATTGATGCACATGATAATTTACCAGGCAAGTCTCAGCTATGAAGCAGCCCTGTCCTAAAATATATGCTTAAAATATGTGCTTAAATGATGTTAATGTTACTTATACACTATATGAGTGAGCAAGCTTTGTGCCAGCCAGGAGGAGTATTTGGGATACTGCAGGCATCAGACATGGAATGTTCACTGGAATTACTAGATCCATAGTGTGTTCTTCCAGTGGGTGGTGTTAAAGTCTGCAGTACTTCTTACATGGCTAAAAGCATCCCACCTTCAGTGCTGCTGCTCCTGTGCCCTTGACCTGAGCAGTGGGACAGGCTGTAGTGGGATCACAGAATCCCACAATAGTTTGGGTTGGAAATGACCTCAAAGCCCATCTCATTCCACCCCCTGCCACGGGCAGTGACACCTTCAGTACACCAGTTTGCTCCAAGCCTGGTCCAGCGTGGCCTTGAACACTTTTATGAATGGAGCAGCCACACTTCTCTGTGCAACTGGTGCCAGTGCCAGGACAGGACAGGCTGCAGGTGTCTGGATTTTTCATGCCTGTGTCCTGAAGGATTGCCAGACTCTGCTGCTGCAGGGCCTGGGGGCAGTCCCTGCTCCAGATGTGGTGGGGACTGGCTGAGGTCCTGTCAGACACAAAACACCAGCTGCCTGTATTCCTCAGTGTCACACAGGTTTGGTGCTCTGGATAGGAAAAGTGATCTCAAGTTCAAAGAACAGGCTTAGGACACTTTGAGAAGGGTGTTTCAGCATGGAGGAGTGTAACATTTTGTTGATGTTCTCCTGTCTGTTACAGCACACTAGTTACTGCTTGGACTTCGCAAACATAAATTCCTGAGCTGGCTGATCTCTCCAGCCAGCTCCCCACCATGGATCAGGACTACGAGAGACGTCTCCTACGCCAAATCAACATACAGAATGAGAACACAATGCCTTGTGTGAGTACAGATGGGCCCAGGCTCACTATGTTGTTGTCTGTCTCACTTGTTACTCTTTTCCTTCAGCTTTGGAAAGACCTGGACCTCCTCAAAGGAAACCACAGTCTTTTGTTGGGTTGTGAGCAGATGTGAGCTCCTCAGCTGTTCTATGAATACCCAAATAGCTTGACTTTAAGAGACCTTTTGAATATATAACCTCAGTTCAGGTAGCAAAAAGGGGTGAAGATATTTTTGTGGAGTTCAGTAATACCTTTTTAATACATAGTCTCAGCAGCTACACGTAAGAGAAAATTGAGGTCTAACAAACCAACCAACTCTAGGGCTTGACAAGAGTTAAGTTCAGTGTCTTTTATTCTTTGATGCAGGTAGCAGAGATGAGAAGAACCTTGACACCTTCCAATTCTCCAATGTCTTCTCCTAGTAAGCATGGTGACAGATTCATTCCCTCAAGAGCTGGGGCCAACTGGAGCATCAACTTCCACAGAATAAATGTAAGTTTTGCTCCCTTCTCCTACAGCTCAGCCTTGGAACTGAGGAAATGGTACCTTTTGTTTTGGCTGGCATGATTGCTCTGCTTATCTTCTGTACCATGTGCTTCTGCTGCCCCAGAAGAGTTCCATTGAGGGTGTCCTCAAACACTATGCTCCCTGCATTTGCTATTTCACCCTATACCCTGAGGTTTCTCTATGGTGATGGCATGTTTCTTCATTTCAGGAAAATGAAAAATCACCAAGCCAAAACAGAAAAGCAAAGGATGCTACATCAGACACTGGCAAAGGTGAGACCACCCTTTTACAGTGCCTAGAGCTCTTATTGCAAACTGCTGGGGATGTTAAGACCACACTGGCACTTTCATGCTTATGCCAAAACTCATGCTGGTGTTATGGGAAATGCCCACATAATGAGGGAGTACCAGGTCACTGCTTTTGATGAGTGTCTGGATGCAAGAGGCTGTCTCCATCCCTTAATTTATTGTCATGGAAGCACTTTTCTGATGGAGTGGAAGGAGCAGAAACTTGCTACTAATCTTGATTCTGAATAGAGGCCCCAGGCTTATTAAGACACTCTGTGAGAGTAAAAGTTGTAGAATCCCAGACTGGTTTGGGTTGGAAAGGACCTTAAAGCCCATCTCCTTACACCCCGTGACATCGGCAGGGACACCTTCCACTATCCCAGGTTGCTCCAAGCCCCATCCACCCTGGCTTTGGGCACTGCCAGGGATCCAGGGGCAGCCACAGCTGCTCTGGGCACCCTGTGCCAGCCCTGCCCACCCTCCCAGGGAACAATTCCTTCCCAATATCCCATCCAGCCCTGCCCTCTGGCAGTGGAAGCCATTCCCTGTGTCCTGTCCCTCCATTCCTTGTCCCCAGTCCCTCTCCAGCTCTCCTGGAGCCCCTTTAGGCCCTGCAAGGGACTCTCATGTCTTCCTGGAGCCTTCTCTTCTCCAGATCAGGCACACATGATCCTGACATTCCCTGCTGCTACTCTGAGGTCTCTGCTCAGTGCCTGTTTGGGTTTACAGATGGCCTTGCCTACTCTGCCTTGCTGAAGAATGAACTCTTGGGAGCCGGGATTGAGAAGGTGCAGGACCCACAGACAGAGGACAGGAGGCTGCAGCCATCCACCCCAGAGAAGAAATCTCTGTTCACTGTAAGTTGTTTACTTGCATTAACACCGGTGGAGGTTGTGTGTGTACCACAGGAACAGAGCACAGGGCTCTGCCAGGCTTCTCGTGCAGTGAGTTGGTGTTGGAGCTTAGCTGAGATAAGCTGTTGACAAGTGTGGTGGCCTGCAAAGGGAACCTGAGTGTGCAGCAAACAATGCGCTTCCTGTGTTTGTGCTGGCAGCAAAACTGGGTGGAGCCAGGCTTTTCGGACAGTGTGGTGAGTGGCCAAATCAGGCTTTTGGACTTGAGTGTTGCTATGGGGTTTTGTATGGTTTTAGAGCACCTGGGAAAGGAAAAACTGGATGTTGGAATTAGCTTAGAGTGCACGTTGGGAGTGATGCCTTAGGCCTCGGGCATGCTGTGGTCCTCACAAGCTGTGTTTCTTTATGCAGTACTCGCTCAGCACAAAACGCTCCAGTCCAGATGATGGCAATGAGGTCTCACCCTATTCCCTGTCTCCTGTCAGCAACAAAAGGTAACACTGATCCTCTGCAAACTAAAAGAAGTGAAGGGCTGGGACAGAGGGTTCAGTGAGGTTCTCTAGGACTTCTGTCTAAAGCTCTAAAATTGCCATTTGAATTGGGTTTGGAAATCTGGAGAGATAATAAATAAAACAGTCAAGTTCTAAGAATTTCTTCAGGTGCCCAACGTGCCTATGTGCTTGACATGTCTTGGTCAGCTCTCAGTAATCTTTCTGCTTCATAGCTCCTTTATAGAAGCAGAATCTAATTCCTTCCAGTCTTGCTGCTGAAAGAGGGTTGTGCAGCCTTTTTGTCTCTGCATTTCTATAGAAACTTCAGAGTGCTCTGTAAAGAGTGGCTGCACCTATGCCTTCCATCTGCTGTGATGTGCAGATTCTTGTAGTTATTTTTTTATGTGTTTTTGTAAACAGTCAGAAACTACTAAGGTCACCTCGAAAACCAACTCGGAAAATCTCCAAGATTCCTTTCAAAGTGCTGGATGCCCCAGAGCTGCAGGATGATTTCTACCTGAACCTGGTCGACTGGTCCTCTCTTAACGTCCTCAGCGTTGGCCTTGGGACTTGTGTTTACCTGTGGAGTGCTTGTACAAGTCAGGTAAAGGGTCATGAGTGTCTGAAGATTGAATTGCCCATTGATGTAGGGTTTTTCCAGCCTTCTAGAGCTGTGGAATGTGCTGCATGAGGGCTTCAGGACTTGTCGCACTCTATCTCAAACACAGCACTGGTTTGTGAGACAGCCAGTAGTGCTGTGTGATAAAACCACGTTTCTTACCCCATTCTTCTCTCTGAAGGTGACCCGGCTGTGTGACCTCTCTGTGGAGGGCGATTCTGTGACATCCGTGGGCTGGTCAGAGCGGGTCAGTATGACACTGTCAGCAAGGACAGCTGACACATGGGTCACTTAGTCACTGTCATCATGGCTGTAGATAACTCCCTGAGCTGGTCTTTCTCTGTTAAAAGAGAGGGGATATGATATAGTGCAGCCTCTTGTTACTTGAGGTTCTCGGGGCATTGCTAAGAAGAATGGGAGGGAGAAGGAGCCAGTTTGCTTCTTCAGCTCTTGACAAAAAATGTTACAATAAATATATTCCAGACAGGCTGCTTGGGCCTCTCAGTAGGGAAAAATATGTAAGATATAAGAACTCTGGATGCTTTCCATCTCGTGGGATTTATGTTAAGTCTTTTCCTCAGCTTTCAGTTTTCTGGCTGTACTGATCCTGGCTCTCTCTTTGTCCAGGGAAACTTGGTGGCCGTTGGTACTCACAAGGGCTTTGTACAGATCTGGGACGCAGCTGCAGGAAAGAAGCTCTCCATGCTGGAGGGACACACAGCCAGAGTTGGTAAGGAGTGGGGAAGCAGAAGGTTCTCAGAGGTCTCTCCTTCCTGACTGAACTTTGTTAGCCAGGAATCTGCTGGAAATAGAGAACTCAGAGTACCAGGATTGATATTTATCCCCGGCTGTGTCTTGAGCAGGTTCAAAATGTTACCATCTCATAACTCTGATGTTCTGATCTGGGTGTGATGGTGGTTGGGTGTTGCAGCAGGTGTTTCCTCCTTGCTTGAGGCTTTTTGGGTTTGGTTACAACATTTCTTCACTGCTGCTGGCTTCCTATTTCAGCCCTGCTGGCAGCTTCACACTGAGATTTCCAGTTCCCTTTTTTGAAGGGCTGTTTTTTTTCTGCTTGGAGACGTTTGTGAATCTAAACTCTGGGGTGAGATTTGGGAAATCCATGCACCTTCTGAGATTTATTTCTGTGCTTTACTGCACTGTGAAGTGGGGTTGGTAATACCTGCACTCAGTCTGTTATGGGGAACCTCTATCTGTGCCTGATCTAGGACTCCAGAGAGTGGATGTAAGGGAGGTCTGTAAGGAGTGGTTTGAGATTTGTTAGAGTTGTGGTTTTTGTTTTTAGACCCTGGCAGCTATGATGGTTGCATTTTGCTTCCCAGCTGCTGCAGGACTGGAAGGGTTGGGCTTGATAATGTGGCCAGCAGGACCAGGGCAGTGACCATCCCTCTGTGCTGGTCACACTGAAGTCCCACCTCAGATCCTGGAGTCACTTTTAGGTCTCTCACAAGAAAGACATTGAGGGGCTGAAGCATGTCCCGAGAAGGGAACAGAGCTGGGGAAGGGGCTGAAGCACCAGAAGCAACTGAAAGAGCTCAGCCTGGAGAAAAAGAGGCTCAGGGGGGGCCTTCTGGCTCTGCACAACTCCCTGACAGGAGGGTGAAGCTGGGTGGGGTTGAGCTCTGCTCCCAGGGAGCAAGGGACAGGATGAGCGGACATGCCCTCAAGCTGTGCTAGAGGAGGTTTAGATTGGATATTGGGAAAAGTTCTTCACAGAAAGGGTTATAAATCATTGGAACAGGCTGCCTAGGGCAGTGGCGGAGTCACCATGCCTGAAAAGTGTTTAAAAGACATGTGGTTGTGGCACTTGAGGACATGGTTTGATGATGAATGTTGTGGTGGTGCTGAGTTGACAGTTGGACTTGGTGACCTTAGAGATCTTTTGTGGCCTCAGTGGTTCTGTGACTGCATGATTCCTACAGCACCCTCTGAAGCTCTGCCCCTGTTGCAGGTGCCTTGGCGTGGAATGCAGACCAGCTCTCGTCCGGGAGCCGGGACAGGATGATCCTGCAGAGGGACATCCGCACCCCACCCCTGCAGTCTGAGCGGCGGCTCCAGGGACACAGGCAGGAGGTCTGTGGGCTCAAATGGTCCACAGACCACCAGCTCCTGGCCTCTGGAGGGAACGATAATAAGGTACATTGCTTCCAAGAGGTTGTGGGAAATGTCAGACCCCTTTCTTTCTAGGGCAAGAGGAAATGTTGTCAAGTTGCACCAGGGCGGTTCAGGTTGGGTATTTTTATATCGTGGGAGTTGTTCAAGGCCAGGCTGGACAGGATGTGGATCTGCAGCAACCTGGTCTAGTGGAAGGTGTCCCTGCCTGTCCAGGGGATGGAGCTAGATGGGCTTTGAAGTCCCCTCCAACCCAAACCATAGTATGCTTCTATGATTAGGGAAAAATTTCTTCACTGAAAGAGTGGTTAAGCATTGGAACAGGCTGCCCAGGGCAGTGGGGGAGTTGCCATTCCTGGAAGTGTTCAAAAAACCAAGTGGGTAGGTCATTTTGCAATATAGTTTACTGGGCATGATGGGATTAGGTCAAAGATTGGACTTGATCTTAAAGGTCTTTTCCAACCTCAATGGTTCAGTGATTCTTTAAGGATGTTTGGCCTCTCTGAAAAGGACTTTCATTTTGGTTGTTGGACTATGACCAAACATAAATCATGCTAAGCTTCTACTCAGTCTTCTCTTCCTAATAAAATGAAAAAGGCAAATTTAATTTTGCCTCTGTATTTGACTAATTAAATCTCTAGCTTGGCTTCGGGGGTTGAGTTTAACAAAGCTATTGCTAAGCTGCCATTCCTGGCTTTGTTTGGATAGTGTGTGGTCACATTTGTTGCAGTAATGTTTGTGTGCAGCAAGAACCTGAGGTAGAGCTCTGTGAGTTTCATACCTGTAACGCAGGCTTGCAGCTCACTGAGCACCATATGGTGGAAGCATCTGTCACAAAAAAACAGCGTTCCAAGGCCTTTGGAGTGGGTTGCTAGGTAGAGAATGTGCCCAGTGCCTGTGTGACAGCATGGTTGGACCGAGTTCCTCCTGCTCACAATAACTCCTCCTAATGAACTGAGCAGATTTCTAGACGTGTTCTGCAATGATACAGGCAGAAAGGCAACAGAAGGGTCTGAGGCCCCCTTCAGTGATGCCGTTTCTTTAGCTGTATTCCCTCAGGGCTTGTTCCTGCCATGTGGCTTGGGGTAGGACAGCTCCTCAGCGGAGTGTGGTGCCAGGGTGGTTGTGACTGCCCCATCCCTGGAAGTGTTCAAGGCCAGGTCAGATGGGGCTAAGAGCAACCCAGTCTAGTAAAAGGTGTCCGGGCCCATGGCAGGAATTTGAACTGAATGAGCTTTAACCAACCCAAACCATTCCATGATTCTGTGAAGTGCAGAGTGGAGCTGTGCATGTCTGGACAGAGCTGTGGGTAATCAGCTTGTTGCCCAGCTGCCCTCATCAGTCCCTTTGTGGCTCGTGGGTGTAGTGGACACATGACTGAGGCACAAGTTTGATCATGTCTCTTCTCTCTGCCAGCTCCTTGTCTGGAATCACTCCAGTCTGAGTCCTGTCCAACAATACACAGAGCACCTGGCAGCAGTCAAAGCCATTGCCTGGTCCCCACACCAGCATGGGCTCCTGGCCTCAGGTGGGGGCACAGCTGACCGCTGCATCCGCTTCTGGAACACGCTCACGGGGCAGCCCCTGCAGTGCATCGACACCGGGTCCCAGGTGTGCAACCTGGCCTGGTCCAAACACGCCAACGAGCTGGTGAGTCCTTCCCTGTGCAGCTGCTGCTGAGCTGCCCTCAGCTGGGAACATGGCTGAGCATGAGCCAAGTGTGTCCAGGTGGGCAAGGAGGCCAAGGGCATCCTGGCTTGTACCAGCAAGGGTATTGCCAGCAGGACCAGGGCAGTGACTGCCCTCCTGTTCTGAGCACTGCTGAGGCACCTCAAGTGCTGGGGTCAGTTTTGGGCCCCTCACAGGAAAGACAGTGAGGGGCTGGAGTGTGTCTGGAGAAGGGAAGAAAGCTGGGGAGGGGGCTGGAGCAGAGGTCTGTTGGGGAGCAGCTGAGGGAGGTGAGGAGCTCCAGCCTGGAAAGAAGGAGGCTCAGGGGGGACCTTCTCTCCCTCTGGCAAGAGGGTTGATCCAGGTGGAATTCAGGTTCTTCTTCCAGGTGACAAGCAATAGCACAAGAAGAAATGGCCTCAAGTTGCACCAGGGGAGGTTTAGATTGGATATTGGGAAAATTTCATGGTGGTCAGGCACTGGAACAGGCTGCCCAGGGCAGTGGTGTAGTCTGTAGACTGTTGGACTTGATGATCTTGGAGGTCTTTTCCAGCCTTAGCAATTCCATGATTCTATGATGCATGTTCCCCTCTCCCCTTTCAGGTGAGCACCCATGGATACTCCCAGAACCAGATCCTCGTCTGGAAATACCCCTCGTTAACTCAAGTAGCAAAGCTCACAGGGCACTCTTATAGAGTCCTGTATCTGGTGAGTGATGGCCATGGCTCTGTAGCTGCTCACTTGGCTGTAGGTGTGCTCAGATGGAACCCAAAGCAGCAGTGCCAGTGGCACCATAAGCTGCCTGGACGGGAATGTGATTTCTCCCCATGAGCAGTGGAAAACTCGGTCGCGTTTCTGTGTCTGCAAGGGATGTTTTGATTTGCTTCTATGGAAATGCTGTTAATGATAGCAAAGCCTGCCAAGCTCTCCTGAGGAAATATCTGAGTTTTCTTCTAAGAAAACTCTTTTGAGCCTAGAGAAGAGAAGGCTCCAGGGAGACCTTCCACTGCCTAAAGAGGCTCCAGGAGAGCTGTAGAGGGACTTTGGGAAAGGATCTAGAATAGCAGGACAAGGGGGAATGGCTTCAGATTCCCACAGGGCAGAGTTAGATGGGATATTGGGAAGGAATTGTTCCCTGGGAGGGTGGGGAGGTCCTTGCACAGGGTTCAGGGCAGCTATAGCTTCCCCTCCATCCCTGAGAGTGTCCAAGGCCAGGTTGGACAGGGCTTGGAGCAGCCTGGGGTAGTTGGAGTGGAACAAGATGAGCTTTAAGGTCTCTTCCCACCCAAAACATTCTGGGATTCTATGATTTTATGAAACACAAGTTTCTCTGCTTACTCCCAGAAGACTTTCACACCTCTTCACTGATGACTGCTGCCCAGGGAATTAAATATTTGTTGCGGGTAATTTCGATCCATCTCATATCTGCTGTTACTGTTACATGGAGGTGTCAGCAGTTCAGGACAGAGCTGACAAATGCTGATAATGTTTTGGGAGGTAGATCCCAATGTAAGCAACCAATACCAGCCAGAAAATCCAGTCATAGCATCTTCCTGCCTTCAGGCATGTTGATAATCCCGGGAGGAGCAGCCTCAGTTACACATGGCTTGGATTTCTGAGCACAAGTATTCTTTCCACACCACTCCCGCCATGTTCCTTAGCTGCACTGTAAGTGCCCAAATTGCACCTGAGGCTGCATGAGGCATCTGGAAGCAGAGGTAGCTGGCTTCTCACAGTGGAGTAGGAAGGAGAGTTAAATCTCTCCTGCATTTCAACAGAGACTTGTTTTCAGCCTCGAAAATGTGGCAGGTGCTAAAGGTTGTTGTCTTGTCCTTAGGCAATGTCCCCTGATGGGGAGGCCATTGTCACAGGAGCTGGAGACGAAACCTTGCGCTTCTGGAACGTCTTCAGTAAAACTCGCTCGACAAAGGTAAGGCCAGGTGTGGGGGCAGCTGCCTGGGGGAACTCAGGCCACACTGGCTCTGCTCTGCTGCCTCCTCTCTGATCCCTTCCTGCAGATCAAGGGCTGGGGCAGTGAAGGATTCAACTTTGCTGAGATTCATGTAAAAGGTCGCCCTGTGTGCCCAAGACAGGTGTGACACAACATCCCTCTCCAGGCTGGTCCAGGGCTGCTGAGCAGAGCAGTGTTTCAGGGGCCTCACCAAGCTGAGCCCTTGGGTGACAGCAGGCTTGGAGAGCTGAGGGTGTCCACCTGAAGAAGAAAAGGCTCCAGGGAGACCTTCCAGCCCATTCTAGTGCCTAAAAGGACTCCAAGAGAACTGGAGAGAAACTTGGGACAAGGGATGGAGGGACAGGATGCAGGGAATGGCTTCCCACTGCCAGAGGGCAGGGCTGGATGTGATTTTGGGAAGGAATTGTTCCATGAGAGGGTGGGGGGGCCCTGGCACGGGGTGCCCAGAGCAGCTGTGGCTGCCCCTGGATCCCTGGCAGTGTCCAGAGACAGGTTGGACAGGGCTTGGAGCAACCCATGACAGGGTGGAAGGAGATGAACTTAAAGGTCCCTTGAAGCCCAAGCCGTTTTGTGATTCCATGATTATCCCCTGTCTCCTTACAAAACTGCTTAAACGGGGGTTTGGATGAAAATGGGGTCATGGATTCTGCCAGTGACAACTCACCATTACCAAAAGCAGATTGTGCCTGATGCTCTGAGAGCTTTCTTGGGTGCCTGGCAGAGGGATTTGGAGGAGGGGACTGGGCAAGCTGGCATTGCTCCTGGGGGTCCCCCAGTTCTTGCCATCTCTGAGGTACAGCTGCCTGCAGAGCTCTGGCATGGGCCAGCTACGCACTTGTTGCCATTTGGAAGAAACCCATGGGAATATTTATGGTGTTGGACTTTGATTTGTGAGCTGGTATTGTGCCCTGAGCTAGAGATAGCAGATTAAAAACAAACCAACCCAGAAGCACGTGAACTAACAGCTGTTTACCCCTGCTTTGTCTTCTCTTGTCAGGAGTCTGTATCTGTGCTCAACCTCTTCACCAGGATACGATAAACCCCATCCCTGTGCCCCAGAAACCTACAACCTGACATTCCAGGATCAGACCACTCCCTCGGCCTGCATGGACCCCTGGAGCCCAGCCAAGGGGAGGGAGAGCCATGGGACTGGAGGAAGACCCAGCTCATTAAATATGTGCTTGTGACCCACGGGGCTGGACAGTATTTGGGATGGGGTGGGAAGGGGAGGGAACTGCCAAAGGTTATTGGATTCATCCTTCATAAAGGGAAACGGGTACAAGAGAAGTGTTAACCCAGCATCCTCCAGCCGTTGGGATGGCACTGGGGAGGACTCGTGTGACATGGACCATTGAGACTGGACCGAGACCATCTCCACTGCCATGCTGTGCCTCCTGCAAGAGAGGAGCATATCCTTGCTGCTGTGGGAAGGGGTATCACGTGCTGCTCTGTGTCCTAGAGTGACAGCTCTGGAAGCAGGAGCCAGCCAGACTGGTCCGGTACAGCTGATGTGAGGGGCATAGCTCCAGGCTGGGCATCTAAGGGCTTTGTTCATAGCCTGGCATCCCCATTCCAGAAAGAAACTGGAGAACTGCCTATTTTCCTTTTTTTTTTTTTTTTTTTTTTTTTTTTCCCCCATTTTTATTTTTCCCCCAGACAGGTACTGTAGTACTTGACATGATCATTCCATAAGACAGCTTGATTTTTTTTTTTTTTGGCATGCTTGACAGCTGCCTCCGAACAAATACACTTTGGGGCTCTAAACTTTGGAGGAGACTTGAAAAAGCTTCACCTCTAAGGGAGCAGATTTGGGAAGTTCTGCAGTCGCTGTTTCACATCCTGGGCTGATCCTGGAAGTTACCAGAGAGGAGAAGCAAGGACTTTATAAAAAAGAAATCCACCCAACCACCTGTGCATGTGAAGCTTCCTTTGGTGACACCGGGTTGGTGCCTTGCTCTGGAGTCTCCCTGAGGCCAAAAGCAGTTGGGATAGATTTGAGAAAAAAATCCTGAAGATCTGATTTTTGGGGTTGGCAGGGCCTCTTCTGGCTGGAAGAGGGTTTCTGGCTGGAAGCAGGGCTGCAGTGTTGCTTTTTTGTTATCTTCAAGTCCCAGACAGGGCCCTGCTGTTGAGTTTTGGTTTGTGGTTTGGGGTTTTTAGGTTGTGTGGGATGAGAGTTCTGGCTGGTGTTGGAGCCCATAGGGTGTAACAAACGCTCTCTGTGTGTGTGGTGCTTTTAATTTAAGAGAAGCTGTGAGGCTGCACAGCCTGTACATCTGACCTGTGCCTGCCCTGCTCAGGCCCTGCTTGCCTCCTGCTGTCTCCCATCGTTGCTTCCTGTTCCCATGTGGAATTCCCTGGCTGTGTATATAGACTTGTCCTCTCTCTGTAGATTGCTTAGGTAATGCTTTCTCTTTCTTTTTTTTTCTTTGTTGTTTTGTCTCCTCTCCCTTCTTTCCCTAAAACCTGGTGGTAGGAATATGATTGCCTGTCCCCAGTAGCAGCAGTATCCTTAGGGCGAGCCAAGGTGTGAGAAGGCCAATACAACATTGACCACATGTGCCATCACACAGTGCCTGGATCACGCTGGTGGTGCTGTGCCTGTGTGGCACATACTGGGAGTCACTGGTGAGGAGCTGGTGTGCTGGGAGCCCCCTGGCAGCTCTGAGGTTCCCGGGCCCATAGGCCACTTTGTTATCTCAGTCTCACTTGCCACCAAAATGGAATTACCATGGAGTTTCTGAAACACTGTTGGAGCATAGTTGCTTTAGTGTAGCTCTGGCCGTGGGATGTGAGGCATGGTTTGAAGTCACCCCCGGGCCCAACTTGTGTTGTTTGTTCCACTTGTGGGCACTCTTCCATATCACCGCTGGTTGGGAGCACCCCAGAGCACCCAGGATGTTTTAAATTGAGTTGGATCATTAAGTTGGGGAATGGGTTTGAAGCAAAGGGTCACCTGAAGCAAGAGGTGGTTGTTGTGCTTGTCATCACCTGGGGAAAGGGCCGTTCAGGGGGACTGGGGAGGCTGGTGGCTGTGCTGTAGATTTTCCTATTGTGGATTGCCTTCTGCTAAATAACACTGTACAGACCCCCAGGACACACTGTTTTCTCCTCTGGGAAGGATTGATGCTTGGGTTGGGGGCACACAGGAGGTGTCAGCCCATTCTGGGGCAGGAGGGACCCAGTCACCCAGCTGGAGTGCAGGGTGGTGAGTGTGGTGATGATTGGGCTTTCCAGTGCCCTGGAGTTCCACAGGAGTGGATTTGCCTCTCACTCTGTGGTGGGGGAACTTCCTCAAGGAATCGCAGAAGCTGCTGGGGGGAGTGGCAGTGCTGTGGGGTGGGCAGTGCCAGGTGAGCTCTGCAGACTGCCCAGTGCTCCCAGCTGCAGAGCAGGAATAGCTCCTCATTGTTCTGTCTCCCACTATTGTCCCCTCTTGCCAAGGACTTAACCTAACTACATCTTGTGTCTACATCTCGCTTTTCTGTCTGCCTTGGGAGCAGGTTGGCTCGTGGTGGCTTCTCTTACTGCCCTTGGCAGAGAGGCTGGTGATTCCCAGGCCAGAGTTAGTGATTCCCAGGCCACCGTTCTGTGGCCGTGTGCACTGGTGACGGAGCCCAGTACAGCCACCTGCTCTGCCCCACGGCAGGAGCTCCCAGTTGTATCCGTGTGGAGATGGGTGTGTGCAAGTGTCTCAGGGTGATACTGTCACTGTCACCTGCTGCTCAAGAGGGAAAAGGGCAGAGCTGAGGTTATGTATCTGCGTGACCTGTGGGCACTGGCTTGAGCACAGGGTCCTCCCAGAGCTGGGTGACAGTATCTGTGACATCGTTGTATCCCAGGTGTCATGTGATGGAAAACAAACGTGGAGCACGCTGTAATTTTTTCATGTAAAGCAACTGAACTGGCATTAAACAAGTTGTGAATTTATTGAGATTGATCTCCATGGCTCTGCTTTGCTTCTCCACAGTGAAGAGTGCAGCAAGTCCCCAGGGCCCCCACCACACCTCTGCAAGTACCAACTTTCTTGGCACAGCTCTCACCTGAGTTTTATTGCTCCCAGTTTCCCGCTCCTGTTTGCTTTGCTGTTGCTGGGAAAGGGCCCAGCCCCCTCCCTGCCCTGCCCTGTGCCCCTCGGCATGGCAGGAAGGAGGAAAAGGGGCTCCTGGCCTGGCTCAGCCCCTCCTTGTTGCCAGGGGATGGCTGCAGCAAGGCTGGGGGTGCACAGCCCCTCGGTCCTGCAGGCCCTGGAGTCAAGTCCTGCTGTCCCCATGCAAGTGGGACCCTCACATGGGGGGCCACCCCCTCCCTGGGTACTGGAGCTCTGTGGACAGGGGACACCTCTCCAGTGGGATACAGCCTGTGCCCCATGCCTGTGCCTTGTTCCAGCCCTTGGGAGGGAGCCCGGGCAGCTCCCTTCCCCCAGTGTCTTCTGCTGTTGGGACCAGGCCTGCTGCTGGAAGCCCCCCCGGGCCTGGGTGGTGTGAGGCAGAGCTGGTCCATGGGGCTGAGCAACAGGATGAGGAGGAGGAGGAGGATCCCTGACCTTGGTATCACCCACTGCTGCTGCCCCAGACATGGAGCTGAGCCCTGATTCTGGGTAAGGGATGGTCTAGGAAAGGGCACAGAGAAAGGAGTTGTCAGTGCCTCAGTTTCCCCACCTTGGTGCTTGGGGGAAGCCCCAGGGCCCCTTAACTGGCCCAGAATGGGATTAAGCTCCAGGGCTTTGGTCTGGGTGGATCCTTCTGTGGGGTGCAGGTTCTGCTATGCCCCCAGCTCTGCTCCCACCCCCAGCTTATGCTCAGAACGTGTGTGAACCCATTGTCCCCACCCTGTACCTGTGACCCTGCACCTGCTGGAACCCCTTCCTCTGGCAGGTGAGCCCTATCCTAGGGAAGGAGCAGGATAAGAGCTAGGACCTGGCCAACTGCAGGGCCCTGGGGCTCCCTGGTGCACCCCCACAGCCCCCTCTCCCTCTGTCTCCCTTAGTCACCAGCAGCCAGTGTCCCGAGGGACTGCTCAGGGTCTTCTGCTGCTCCCTGGACACCTGGCACATCAGCACCTGGAGCTGCCTCCCCACACCAGTCAGAGTCAAAGCCCCTGGTCCTGCTGTGTCCTGCTCTGTTCTGGGGAGCAGGGCGTATGTAATGGGGTACTGGTTCATGCTCATCCTGTGGCATCTGGCCCAACAAATAATAAGTATTAATATATACTGATTTTATTAATCTTTATTAATAGAATGTTCTCCGAGCCCCTGCCTTGCCTGGGGCTTGGCCCCCTCTGCCTGCCCCCTCTTGGCAGGGAGGGCTGGGTGGGGGTGGGTACTGACTCTAGCTCTGTGCCTCAGGAGCTCCCTGGGTCTCTTTTGCTGGGCTGAAATGGGGGAGCGAGCCTCACAGCCCACATGGGTTTCCCAGGACATGTGGAGGGCTTGAAGGCACTTGGTGACAGAGCCCCTCTGAGAGGCTAAGGGTCAGAGCAGCTCCTGAACCCCCTGACCCCCTGGCTGGAGCTCTGGTCATGGTCCTCAGTGGCATCACGTTGTCTCGTACCTGAGGGGGAGGCAGGGTGAAGGGGAGTCTCTGCTGGGGATAGAGCCCCCCCCACGCTCCAGCACTCACTGCTGTGACAGGTTGAGGTCAGGCCAAGCCCCCGCGAACGCCAGCTGCTGCTCCAGCTCCACGATGCGCAGACCGATGTACCCCGAGGACAGCAGCAAAGCCACCATGCTGAGGACAGGCCAGAGTCAGCTGGGGGGCACAGGGTGGCAGGGGTAGTGCCACGGCCAGGCTCCTGTGTGCTCGCCCTGGGGATGGGTCTGAGGGAAAATGCGGGAATCCCGGCCTGCCAGTGCCACCCTGGAGAGGCTCAGTAGGGATGGGGACTCACAGCAGCAGGTAGATGAGGATGATGATGTTGAGAGGGCTCAGCTGGGGTTTTATCCGGGACCAAAGTGCAGTGGCCCTGGCCTGGAGCACGCTGTAGGGTCCCCCTGCCAGGACAAGGCAGTGTTAGCGGCACTGAGAGCCCGTGCTCGGATCTGCCAGGGTGTAAACCCCCAGGATCATCCCCCTATCCCGAGCCCCCTCACCCACCCCAGAGGGCACGTGTCTCTACTGAGGGCACCCATTCACCGCTGCTGGGAACCAGCCGGGCCACCTCGTCATCCTCGTCCTCCGCTTGCCTTGATCTCGGGTTTGGCTCGCCTGCACGTGACCAGGAGACACTCGATGAATGCCCCAGGGAGGGGTCTAGGCGTCCTGGGGGCACACGGGGCCACAAAGAGCCGATCCTGCACTCCCTGGAGCTGTGGGAGATGCTGGTCGGGGGCCGAGGGCCGAGCGTGTCCGGGAAGGAGGAGCAGAGCCCAGAGCTGCCAGTGGGGCACGAATGCAGGCGGGGACACGAGCAGGGCTGTGAGCATGCAAGGGATGCACCAGGGTGGCCACTCACCCAGGGATTCATGGAGGCTGTTGGGCTCCGGGGTGCTCTGTTCCAGGTCTGACTGGCTCGGGATCTGAAAGAGGACAAGCCTCGGTCATGATGTGTGTCCCCAAAGCACCTGCCCCACTACCATGGGGACAAGGGCAGGACCTGATGGGATGTGTGTCACCAACTAGAAGGGAGGGTCCTGGTCTCTGCGCTGCCATGGACTGAGGCTTTTCATGTTTCCCCCTGACGTCTTCCCAGGGGTCACTGCACCCAGCCCACCCCATCCAGGGGGCTGGGACCACTCCTCCTCCTGCTGTACCCTCCTGCCCTCCATTCCCTGGCCTTACCTGAGACTTCCTAGGAGTTTCCCCATTGCTCAGTGAGTCTCGAGGGCTCTGGCCGCTGTCCTGGATAAGGAGAGATGAAGGGAGGTGCTCTGCAATGGATGTATGGAGCCCCCCTCCCCATCCATCCCCGCGTACCTGCAGGTGTTTGCAGACCGACCTCAGGAGCTGGTACGTGGCCTCCCGCTGGCGCAGCGACACAAAGAGGAACTGCCGGGGAGCGGGAAATGGATTTCTACCAGAGCTGCCCCCTCGGTCACGGGGACCGGGACACTCCAAATAGCCCCAGGTGAGGCTACCCCCCAGCACTGTGTCCGCTCTCACCTTCTCCCCCTTGGCCGTGCGGATGCTGACTGCGTTGGGCACCAGCAGCGCCGTGTTGGTTTTTTTGAGAGCTGAGATGGAGGCGACAGGGACCACGGCCTGGGGTCACAGGGGACAGGCTGTGTCACAGTGCTCCCGGCTGCCACCTGTGCCCCTGCCTGTACCGCCGGCCCCACGCCCGCTCCAGCCCACCTTGATGTCCTTGAGCAGGAGGTTGGAGTGGAAGCAGATGTGGCGTGAGGACACGTAGAGGCGGCCGTGGTAGGGCATCTCTCTCTGCCAGGCGCATGAGAAGCAGCCCAGCAGCACGTCCTGCTCGGCGAGCTCCCCAAAGGCCCGGCGGTAGCTGCTGTCCTGCTTGCTCAGCTGCGGGAGGTCGGGGGGGTGGTGCTCGGGGCCAGCTCGGGGCCAGCCCTGGCACCGCGGGCATCCTGCACCCCCTTGCTCCATCATCACGTCTGCCACAGAACCGGGACGAGCCCTCCCTCGGTTCCCGCCCCAAGAGAGCGTCCAGCCGAGCCCATGGGGTTCTGCTCCTCAGCTCCGGTACCCCAAGACTCACCGAGGGGGATGGAGGTCCCTGCCTGCCTGTGGCCGCCTGCTCTGCCTCCTTGCAGGAGGACTCATAGGTCCGGGATCTGGAAGGAGGCATCGGAGGGGGTGACTCGAGGGGTACAAGTGGGATGTTGGGCTGGGGTGCGAGATGCGTCCCTGTGAGGTGCAGCACCCACCTGGTGAGCTTGGGCTGCTCCAGCTGGACACTTCCCCTCTCCTCCAGGCTCCGCCACTGCTTCTCCCTCAGCGTCTCCTGCCTGCTGCGCCTCAGCTTTCCCGGCATGATGGATGAGTCCGACAGCTTGATGGAGGGGGGCAGGTTGTGGGGACGGTCTATTCCTGCAGCACAGCAGATCCCAATGTCACCAACCTGTCCCTCCGCCGGGGAGCACACGGGGACGGGGCTCAGGCCACGCCGGGACCGTAGCAGCAGAGCTCACCCGGTCGCATGACCCCTTTGCCTGTCCCATGGTATCATGCGCTGGCTGCGACCCCCGTGGGCAGCGGGGACTGGAGTGACGGGGGAAGTGATCCCTGGCCCGGGGGGTGATGGCCCGAGTCACGGCCGGTGTTGGCTGCGTGAGTGCGTTGCCGGTCTGGCTACAGAGGGGACGGGAAGGCGTCTGCGGTCCCGGACCCACGCGCGGCCCCAGAACCCCGTCCCGGACAGGCCCCGCGCGGTACCTGCTGGGGGGCACAGCCGGGGCCTCCCGTCCCGTCGGAGCCGTCCCGCTCCCACTCCTTCCAGCGCTGCTCCTGCTCCGCTGCTACCTCCTCCTTCTCTTCCTCCCCCTCCTCCTCCTCCTCCTCCTCCCGAGGAAAGGCAGCGGGCGGGGCCGGCCGGCCGCGGCAGGTTCGCAGGGAGCGGCCGGGGCAGCCCCAGCTCGGCCCCGGGGGAAATGCAGGACCAGCCAGTTGCCCCTCAATCCAGCTGCACATGCACTCCAGCCCAACAGTGCTGAGAAACAGAGCGGCCAGCCGCAGCCCCTCGGCACTCTGCAATCCTGTGGCGTTTCGCAGTTCTGCGGGCACCCTGCAATCTGTGGACACCCCACAATCCGTGGGTACCCCGCAATCCCAGGACATCCCGCGGTGCCGGGACACCGCACAGCATCGTCCGCCCGCTGCCTGCTCCCCTCCCTCCTGCCCCGGCCCCCAACGCCCGGCAGTGCTGGAGGCACGTCTGCCTCTCGCCCGGGGGCTTCTGCCGTAGGACAGGGACCCGCAGAGAGAACCGCAGCCGGGCTGGGGGCTCTGGGCAGAGCCGAGACCGCGCCCCTCCCGCAGGCCCTGGGGCAGGTGCGAAGGCCACGGACCAAGCCCGGCTCAGACCCTGCTCTCTGGACCGGGGCTGATAACGCCCTTCCCGCAGCGAGGAGCGGCCGTAAACCCGGGCCAGCCCGAGGGGGCTGCACCCCGCACGCCCACCGCACTCTCAGGCTTCCACTCCATCCGCCGGGATCTCGTTCTATTCCCCCACACCGGGCACTCTCGGGGTGTCATCACCTGTCCTTGGCGACACTCTGTCACACCCACCAGCCCCCTCCCTCACCCCGCACTGGTGTCCTGCTGTTTCCCTCATGGCAGGGGCTCCGTGTCGGCCCATGCAGGTGCACACAAGGACCTGTGTGAGCAGGCACACGGCATAGACAGGGAGCCATGGAGAGCCTTTGCCGTGGAGCCAGGCTGGGAGAGCTGGGGGTGTTCACCTGGAGAGGAGAAGGCTCCAGGGAGAGCTGAGAGCCCCTTGCAGGGCCTAAAGGGGCTCCAGGAGAGCTGGAGAGGGACTGGGGACAAGGGATGGAGGGACAGGACACAGGGAATGGCTTCCACTGCCAGAGGGCAGGGCTGGATGGGATATTGGGAAGGAATTGTTCCCTGGGAGGGTGGGCAGGCCCTGGCACAGGGTGCCCAGAGCAGCTGTGGCTGCCCCTGGATCCCTGGCAGTGTCCCAGGCTGGACATGGTTTGGAGTAGCCTGGGATAGTGAGAGTTGATTGGGAGAAGCTTTGAGGTCCCTCCCAACCCAACCCATCCCATGAGTTATGCACAAACCCCTGGCAGCCTCCTGCTCACACCCAGCACACCCCTGCACACATGTGAAGACACAGGGATGGGCACACAAACACATGATCATGCACAGGTCATCTATGGACACAAACATGTTCACACACGCACACTCAGACACACATTTACACACACACACACACACACACATACACACACATACTCTCACACAGACATACACACACATACGTTCTCTCACATACACATACACATTCTCACACACACAGACACATACACATTTACACTCACATATACACGCACACACACATTAACACTCACACACATTTACACACACATTTATACTCATACACACACACATTTACACGCACACACATTTATACTCCTACACACACTCATTTACACTCACACACACATACACACACGTTTACACTCACACACATTTATACTCATACACACACATTTACACTCACGCACATTTATACTCATACACACACTCATTTACACACACACATTTATACTCATACACACACTCATTTACACACACATTTATACTCATACACACACTCATTTACACTCACACACATTTATACTCATACATACATTTACACTCACACACATTTATACTCCTACACACACACTCATTTACACTCACACACACATACACACATTTACACTCACACATTTATACTCCTACACACACACTCATTTACACTCACACACACATACATTTACACTCACACATTTATACTCATACACACACTCATTTACACACACACATTTACATTCACACACACATTTGCACTCATACACACACATTTACACGCACACCTACATACATACACACACACTCACACATTTACACTCACACATACATACCCATACACACACATACTCACACACACGTTTACACGCACATTTACACTCACACATACATACATACACACACTCACACATTTACACTCACACATACCCATACACTCACACATTTACACTCACACATACATACATACATACACACATACTCACATTTACACGCACAAATTCATTCACGCATACACACATATACACGCACACATTTATACACACACTCTCTCTCTCTCTCTCAGTCCCCGCCCCCGCCGTGCGAGGGCCGCCCCCATTGGCTGTCCTGTCTCGGGGGGTGGGGCTCCCCGCACGGACCAATCATTTGTGTCCGACACTGCTCGCGGCCTCATTTCCGGTGCCGCCGCCGCCATGGCCACTGAGGGCGGCCGCCCTTGTACCCCCCCACCCCCCGTCCCTCAGGACGCCGCTCTCCGAGGGGCCTGGCGGGAGCAGCGCTGGGCCCCCTTCGAGCACCCGAGCGCATCCCAAACCTGCACCAGCCCCAGAGCTGAGCCTACCCCCATCCCAGGGCCATCAGCGCTGTGGTTGGTTTTTTTTCTCTCCTATTCCTCCTCCTTTATAAAGTGCCGTTTGTACGTATTGGCCTTACAAAAGCAGGTTAAAACCTCGGTCCGGGCGCCCCCCTCTTCTGGGGCTGCTCCGGCCTGGCCTAGGCCCTTCTAGTGTTCATTGTGCAGGTGAGAGGTGACAGGTGACACTGCACCGCACCAGGGACAGCCTTCATCGGCCCGGTGGGGTCTGGAAAATAAGAGTTCAGGATGGGGACACGAGTCCAGGGTGGGAATACGAGTCCAGTGCAAGGAGACAGGGTGGGGGTCACCCCCCTCCCCAGAGCCTAGTGGTCCTCAGTGCAGGGGACCCTCCAGACTCAGTGTGGCACCGCGGTGGCCAAGGACGCGGTGGCTGAGGACACAGCCCTGAGGACACGGTGGCCAAAGACACAGCACTGCTCAGTTGATGGTGCTGCTCTGGCTCTCTCCCTCAGCGCTCCCAGTGCCATTTTCAGGGGTCCTTGCACTGCTCAGCCCCTGCAGGCTGACAGCACCTGGAGGAAGAGGAGGAAGGGACAGGTCAGGAGAGACGGCAGCATGGGGTGACCCACACGTGCTGCCTGGCCTTCCTGGATTCTTCTGATAGCACCAGGGCCTGACACAGCAGGCCCCAAGCAGCACGAGGGGTCTGTCCTGCTCCTCCACCCCATAGCAAGGCACTGGCACCCAGACAGGCAGAACAGATAGTGAGCAGGGGTGTTGGCTCCCCAGCCTAGCAAAGGTCACCTCACTGTCCCCCACATTCACTGCCAGCACATGGAGCTGCCCCTGACATCCCTTGGAGCCCCAGGGCCAGCATGGCCATGATCGGGCCAGGGGAGTGTTGCTCCCCAGAAGGGCACAGCAAGCAGACACAGCCCCTCTCTGGGGACAGCAGCGGAAGCGGGACAATGGCCCTGTCCGTGTCCTACCATGAGGGTTCCCCTGCAAGCATGGCCGCAGCCAGCCCAGTGATGACAGGGCTCCCACTGTTGCCCCACTGGGGCCATCTGTAAAGACACCGTGGCTTTAGCCCAGGCTGGCACTGACCAAGGGGCTCCCAGTGCCCCCAGTCCCACACTGGTCTGCCCCCAAGCCCTCAGCCCCACTCACGGTAGCGGATCTGGATGGGCCACACCATGATGCAGCACAGCATGGCAACAGCAGCAATGGCGATGCCGCCTGTGACCAGCACCATCACCCAGCGGTAGAAGCCGACACAGGCAGGGCAGCACAGCTCAGTCCTGTGAGGACAGGCAGGGATGTGGTTGGAGGCTGGCACTGGAGTCCCAGGCTACGGGCTAGGACAAGGGGGAATGGCTTCCCACTACTAGAGGACAGGGTTAGACGGGATATTGGGAAGGAATTCCTCCCTGTTAGGGTGGGAAGGCCCTGGCACAAGTTGCCCAGAGCAGCTGTGGCAGCCCCATCCCTGGAAGTCTGTCCAAGGTGGGGTAGGGCTTGGAGCAACCTGGTGTAGTGAAAGTGTCCCTGCCCATGGCAGGGGTTGGAAGGAGATGAATTTTGAGGTCCCTTCCAATCCAAACCAGTTCCCTCCCATGGCTCTTGCTCCAACCCTGGAATATTTTCTCATGGGCCCCAAGCAGTGGGGATCCCAAGTCTGCAGAGGTGCTTACGGGCAGGGGTGCAGGTTCTGGATCATCATAACAGCCAGGCCATTGGCCATCTTGTCCGTGAAGCTCATGGCACCGTAGACAAACGCACTGCTGTGCTGTGGGAGGAGAGCGAAGCACGCTGTACCACGCTGGGCCACGCAGCCCTGTGTGCCCTCTCATGGGCAGAGCCCTCACTGCAACAGAGCATGGGGCACAGCACTCACAGGGCACAGCACACAGAGGCTGCCCAGCTGAGCCCCCTCCCAGTGTCTCCATCCCCCAACAGTGCCCACCCTAGACTGTGGGCTCTGTGCCTGCTGTGACCCCCCAGCCCATCCCACCTGGAGCAGTGGCCATACCGTGTTGGTGCCAATGAGATCTGCAGTCATAGACAGGGATGTGACCAGGATCGTGGCTGAGCCAGCCCCGAGCAGCACCGCCAGCCCATAGATCTCGTCTCCTACTGGCCTGGCCAGGGCCACCCAGGAGGCGAAGGCCAGGACCACCAGGATGCCCACAAAATAAGTCAGCTGTAATGGGGATGGGCAGAGGGAGAAGCGGGAATTCAGACATCAGCTGGCACTCAGTGAGGGAGGAGCAAGCAGAGAGGGCACAGGACCACCACTGCCCAGGACCCATGAGGAACAGCCCTAGCTCTGTCCCAGCTGTATTTAAACAAGGAGACCCCAAAAGCAGGTCCTCACTGTGCTCCAGGCTGTTCTGCAGCCCAAGGGTTGAGCCCTGGGCAGAGTTGTTGGGAGTGTGTCTGTGAGGGCAGGGGACACTCCACTGGCAACCAACAGCATGGAGGGGACACACTGTGGGGGCAGGTCCTTCATGCTGGCGTTGAAGACCATGTGCCAACTCAGACCAGTGTAGCCAGACCCCCCCTCTCCCCATGATGGGCACCACAGGGCTTTGCAGCCCAATCAGGTCTGCATGGGACATGGTAACTGGGCCAGTGTTGCCTTCCCCAGTCCCGGGGACATACAAGACAGGCTCCCGCCCCCATCCCTGCCCACCATACCCAGACCCAGTAGGACCCAGATCCCCATCCCTGCCCACCACCCCCAGTCCCAGCAGGACCCATGCTGCAGTGGGTGGTTGCTGGCAGAGGGTCCATGAGGGGTCCCAGCTCTCCAGCTCAGGTGTGCCAGGAACTTTGCTCACAGCCAGGATTTGGTCCTGGGCCTCTCCAACCTCTCTAGCACCCTGGACTCACATTCCGACCAATCCATTTGTTCACAGGCTTCATTAGGAATGAGGAGAGGAACCCACTGACGTACATCACTAGGGGAATGGTAGCAATATACTTCTGCAAGGGACAAGGACAGGGAGGAGATGAGCCCCAGGCCACATCAGGACACCTTCCCATGCACCCCTGGACCTGCCCTGTTCCCACCTTGGAGAGCAGCAGCGAGTTGGTGAGGTACATGGCGATGTAGGTCTGAGACAGGTTGACGATGAGGCGGGTGGCCATGTAGAGCACCGCAACCTGGGAGGGGACAGGGCCAGGGCATCCCCACTTAGCCTGTGGGAAGGATCTTCCCTGCCCAGCTGTCATGGCACAGGTGCCCAGCAGGAAGGGGTGGCCCCTCTGAGGTGTGTGGTTGGGTGCCCAAAACAACCCCTCTCTCCATCCCCACCCGCACCTGGGCAAGTCTCGTGGCTGCAGGACACCCAGGGTGCCCAGGCAGGGCAGCAGCGCAGGCCAGGGGAGTCCTGCCCAGCCATACCTGGTAGAAGGAGGGCTCCAGCAGCCAGTCCTTCCAGAGCAGCAGTGGGCGCGGGGGGCCCGAGGGCTCCTTGTGCAGCAGCGGGGTGCTCTCCTCTATCTCAGGCAGCACCCCTGGTGGGTACGGCTTCTCCTTGGTGCCCAGGTGGAAGATGAGGGAGAACACGGCCCCCAGCCCCACCACGATGAGGGCCAAGTTCTGGTGAAGCAGTGGGGGTGAGCACCGCAGTGGGAGCAGGCCACCATCAGCCCCCCAGCAGTCTGGTGGGCAAGGAGGAGTGCCCAAATCCCTGCGAGTGCTCAGTGTGGCTCTTGCCCAGTTGGTGAGGTTTTAGGGCACTGCCCCCTGACTCCCTCCAGCACCTCTCCAGCTGAGCTGTGGGTAGAGGGAACCCAGGGACTGTGCCCTGCCACTCACCCGAAACACAGGGATGTCCTGTGGGCCCAGGTGCTCCATGTGGTCGGGCTGGTCCATCTGGAAGTTCAGCAGGAGCCAGGTAAGGCCGTACACGGTGATGTTGGCCATGACAGTGAAGGCATACCTGAGCAGAAGGAGACCTTGGGGCTATCCAGAAGGACAAGCATGGGGACAGCACAGCAGGACACCTCTGCCCACAACTGCCCTCCAAGCCAGATGTGCTATAGCCTCTGCACCCAAGTGTCATGGCTGAGGTGACACCTCTGAGGGCACAAGCCACCTAGCCAGGCATCAGCCTTACTGCTGCAGCTGCCAGTGTGCCCAGTCCAAGCCTCAGGGCATGACTGGGAGGAAACCAAGATCCCTACAGGCCAGTCTGTTCCCCCTCCAGGCACAGCTCACCTCTGCTTCAAGGATGTCATGAGCTAACCCGGTTCCCCCAGAGTGGGAGCACTTGGACCCGCAGTTACTGCACATCTTCCCTGCTCACCTTGCTCACGGGATAAACATCCTATCTCACATCCTGATCCTGACAGAAATGAGCCAGTGCACTGCCCACCTGGCCCGGGAGACATCTCACCTCCTGACCAGTCCCCAGAACCGTGTCCAGCTCTCCTTGAGGGCATCTGGGAGGGACAGTCCCTCCCCTAAATTCCACCGTCCATTCCCAAAGGAGAAGTGTCCCCAGCTCAGGGAAGTGTCCCACGGGCTGTGTCACTGACATCCCTGGCACCAGGACGTTCCTTCCTGGCAGCAAAGGCCTTGGGCCACCAACCTAAGACCAGTGTCCTTTGGCACATCCCACAGGACACCCACATGGCCTAGTCCTTGTCCTGCCATGCCGAGATCTCTGGTGTGCCACAGCACCCAGGGACCTCTTGTCATACAGTGATGGGACCCATCATGGCCAGGGCAGCTCCCCCAGGCTCAGAGGACCCCCAGGTGTGTCTGTGCTCACCTGAAAGCCGTGAGCTCCACCTTCCCATGGTCACTGCTCACTAGCTCAGGGATGAGGGCCAGGTGGGACACCTGCGTGGCCGCCCAGCCAAACTGGAAGATGATGATGAAGGGGAGGTAGTAGATGAAGGCTGCCCACTGTGGAGTGCTGTCCCTGCAGGCCAGGCAGGGGCTGAAGACAAAGGGAAAGGACACAAGGACACAGGTAGTGCCTGGGGAGAGAGTGGAGCAGTGAGAGGCTGCACACCTGGCTGGGACTCCAACGTGACACAGACAGCCCTCTCCAAGACTCAGGTTCTACCCCTGAGCTGGGGAGGGAGGTGGGCCCCTTCCCCAGCCAGATAAGACACGTGGAGCTCCAGACACCCCGCAGCACATCCTGCACAGGGAATGTCCTTCCCTCTGGCAGCCAGCACAGGCAGACATCCCCCACTCAACGTCCTTCCCCAGCACAGCCCTGGCACTGCTCTGTCGCCTCAACACATCACGACAGACCCTCAGTGTCACACCCACAGACACCAAGAGGTTCTCGCTGTTCCCAGGTGCAGCTAACCAATCAGATAACCCCTCCTTGCTGCCTGCCAAGGTGATATGGTACCCCTAGGCTGGGAGGTCTCTGGCTGTCCCACGGGCACTGGCACCCTGTCTGTCTCCATGTCCCGTCTCCCATGGGGGTGGCAGAGAGAGCCGTGCTTCTGCCACGCTCACAGACATCACTCACAGACATGACAAGGTGACACAGAGCCTTGGGGGGCTCCGGGAAGGCCCCGCTGAGTCAGGGACACCAGAGCCAGGCTCCTCCCTCTGCTGTGGCGAGATAGCACAGGGACACAGCCTGGTATAGGGACCCTGTGTGGGACAGACAGGCTAGCCTGGCCTCTCCCTCCCCTTTCCCAAAGTTACAGTCTATCTGCCAAGCAGCTCCATAGACCCCCAGACCCCGACGCAGAGCCTGGTGCCCTGTCCCACATGTCCCCCTGTACTGTCCTGTATGTCCCCAGCTTCACTGCGTGCTAATGAAGAGCTGTTACTACAGCTGAGGGGAATCTGCTTTGCCAGGTTCCCAAGGTACCCTCCGCACTTTGCAAGAACCTCTGTTCCTCATGAGTGATTCCTCCTCCTCCTCCTCCTTGCTCCTAGCACAGCCATGCAGGCCAGGGCAAAGCTAAGGGCAGCAGTGACAATCCCAGCCCAGCCCCATCCATCCCACCAAGAGGTACTGGCTCCCCACACTGGCTCACATTCGGCTTTGGTGCTCCAGGAGCTCTGAAGGACGGGGGACTCAGGCACATGTGGTGCCCGTGCCCCAGACAAACCACAGGCACGGGAAGGTCCATGAAGGCTCAAACCAGCCCAGATCCTCTCTGTTCCCTGGGTTTTAACTGGGCCCAGATGAGGGGTGAGGGTCCCAGGGCCCCACAGGGTCTGTGAGGGCTGTGATGGCTCCCAGGAGAGCGCTGGGGCAGGAGCTGTGGGACCCAGCTGCTGCATCCTCCAGGACTGCTCCTGTACCCACCCATGAGCCATCGCCACCAGCATAACCAGGTGACAACAGGAGTGTCACCTCCTCCTCGTGGCCCCCTAGGACAGGCAATGTCCACCACCAGGGTCACCCCATGGAGCCGTGCTCATCTGGCACAGGGCTGAACCCCAATACCCATGTATGCCAAATGCCCAGGAGTGGCTGCACTGAGTCAGAGGGATCCTGGGGACCCTCTGCTCTTCCAAGCGGGGCCATGGGAGCCCCCCAAGATCATTCTGCCCACCTGTGCAGCACCCCTGGGCAGGCAAAGGCTCAGGTTCTCGTCTCTGACCCTGCGGGGCAGGATCATGAGAATGCCAGGCTACTCGGCACAGGCACCTGGGGCAGGGATTATGAGACAACACTGCCAGACAGGCTGAGACAGGCAGCAAAGAGACGCTTACCCTTCCTCCCCACTGCGTCAGGAAGCTGGACCCCATAAAAGAGCTGGCGAGCAGGCAGGGACAACCGGGACTGCCTGTGGGAACACCCGGGACCGCTGCGGTGGGAAGATGCCACTGATAGCAACTCGTGGTGTCTCCCCTGCCCCGGGGATGCGGTTTCACAACATTTCCTCTGATCTGAGCATGGGTTTGCCACCGGACGAGACACTCTGCTCCCACACAACACCCCTCACGGCAGCGTGATCCAGAGAGCCGAGCGGCCCCGGCACAGCCAGCTCGGGTGGGTTTTCCCCCACCACTGGTTACTCTGTGTTCAGCCAAGGTGGGTGCCGGGGAAGCCCCTGCCTTGGGAATAACCCATGCTCCAGCCTGGTAAATAGCCTGCATCCCTGCTCCAACCTGCCCTAGGCTATGCTCTGCTCCCTGCAGCCCCCGTGCAGGCCTGAGTTAGAACTTCCCCTCTGTGCTCGCAGGGCAGCACCCGGCTGGAGCAGGGGGAGGAAACAGCTCCGGCCACTTCCCTAAACCAGGACGTCAATGCGGCTGACACAGGAGCAGGGTGAAGCTGCCCCTTCAGCATTCTCCCTGACTCACCAAGGCAAGCTCCAGCGAGGTCAGACGCCTTATCAGGTTGCTGTTGGGTTGCACAAAGCGTTGGTCGAGATAAATTTGGGATCGAGATAAGAGGACCCACACTGCAACCGTCCTCCCTCCACGCAGGTCTGCTCTGAGTGAGGCAGCGCCCGGTTGTTAACCGAGGATTGTTATCAATGGCCATTTCTTCAACCAACTGCTCCGTCCCCAGTGCCAGCTAAGCAGGGTGTGCAGGCTTCTGCACCAGTCACAGCACCCAGTACCCCTCTTCAGGCCATGCTGTCCCCTCATAGGGGGGCGTCGATAAATGGGTCCCCACCAGCCCCTGCATTCCATTGCATTTTTTAACCCAGGGCACAATGCGAGAGAAATCTCAGTAATTCCTGTGAACCAGAGCCTCCTGTGTATCCCAAGGCTGTACTCCGCTCCTGCCTCCTGGGGTGCACAGCCCCAGCACAGCCAAGGACCCCACACCACAGGATCCGCCCCTGGGGGCACCAAGAGCTGCTCAGGAAGCACCTGGGCTTTTGGGAAAGCCCAGATCTGTTGGTCTTGGTTTTGCTGCAACTCCAAAGTCTGAGCACGTGGCTCTCACCCCAGCCCACTGCCACCCACACACATAAAGCCTGAGGGACAGCAGGGAGCCCCCTGGGGTGGGATGGTGCCCCTTCCCCATCCAGGCTCAGCATTCCGCTGTCCCCTACACATGGAGCAGCTCTGTCCCCACCTCGCTGCCGCAGGGGGTTCCAGAAAGGCACCTCCCAGGCTAGCCCCTCCTCACAAGGCACCCCAGACCCATCTCCTGTCAGCAAGGGCACCGCCAACACACCAGGGCCCCTTCACCCTCCACAGGGCACGCCAAAAGCCCCCAGGGCCGCTCCCCCTTCCAAGGAGGAGCTGCTCCCTTACACCCATGGACACGCAATTCTGCTCACCTTTGGGGCTGCCCCTCTCCAGCTGGGGGGACCCTGTCCCCACCTCACTTCCCCCACTGTCCCCACTCACTGTCCCCCTTCCCAGAAAGGCTCCCACATCTTCAGGGAGATCTCCATGTCACAAGACACCCTGGTTCCTCTCTGCTCCAGGGAATCCTCAAGGCTGATCCCTCAACCCAGAAAGGCACCCTTGGTCTTGTTCCCCCTCTTCCAGGGCACCCCAGAAAGGTACCCTGGGGTTGATCCTGTACTCCAGAGAGGCTTCTAGGTCCCCCCGGCAGAGCTGCTTGGGGCCAACTCACTCCACCCAATATCCCCCACTGTCCCTCACCCTGGGCATCCTAGAAAGGTTCCTCCAGGGTCATCCCTTTCTTCTTAGGGCATTCCAGAAAGGTTTACCTGGGTAGCCCCCACTCAGGGCATCACAGGAAGGCTCCTTGAGGCCACCCTTCTCCCTTCTGGGAACCCCAGCACGATGTCGCCCACTCCTGGCATCCCAGAAAAGCTCCCTCAGGGTCACCCATTTTCACATGTCACCTTGGATAGGCACCCTCGGTCCACTCCCTCAGGGCACCCCAGAAAGGTTCCCCCAGGGCCATCCTCTCCACTTAGAGCACCCCAGAAAGGCTCCCCGAGGTGACCCCCAACCCACCGCACCCCAGAAAGGCTCCTTCACATCAATACTCCTCCCCTCCCCTAACCAAAGCCCCTCTCTTATCTTTGGCGCCCCAGCAGTGTGCCCCACCCATGGGACCCCAGAAAGGTTCTCCATGGCCATTCATCTCCATTTGGGCCATTGCAGAAAGGCTACCCTGGGGCCACCCATTTTCACCTGAGACACCTTGGATAGGTACCCTTGGGCCACCCCATTCCAGGCACCTCAGAAAGGTTCCCCCGCGTTCCTTCAAAACAGAACATAGCGTCCCCGCGTGTCCTTCAACACAGTAGGGTCTCCCGGGGCCACTCCTTTCCACTTAAGAGCATCCTAGAAGGGCTCTGGATGTCCCCCAACACAGACACCCCAGAAAGTCTCCCCCGGGGCCACCCCTCTTCACTTAGAGCATCCCAGAAAGGCTCCCCCGGGTGTCCCCCACACAAAGCACCCCAGCAAGGCCTCTCAGGGTCACCGCCCTCCACCCCGGACACCCCAGAAAGGCTCTCCCGGGGTCAGCCCTCTCCACCCAGCTCCCCCCATCAGAGCTCCCGGTCCCCCGCACCCACCGGCCAGGTGCCAGCCCTTCCTGCGCCCGCAGCGGCCGCAGCCGTGGGCCCGGTCGGCCTCGAAGCCGAGCAGGGGCGTGCAGAGCCCGTCGGCCGCCTGCCCGGCGAGGAGCAGCCCGCCGGCCGCGCCGTGCCCGTAGCCCAGCACGGCGTGCAGGAAGGGCAGCAGGTAAGTGAACCACAGCGCCGAGCACGCGTCGTTCAGGAAGTGCCCGCACGCGAAGCTGAGCCGCGCCCGCAGCGGCAGCGGTGGAGCCGCCGGGGACTGCGAGTGCTCCGCCATGGCCCAGCCAAAGCCCGCGGGGACAGCAGCGAGACGGGCCCGGCAGGGAATGGGAGGGAGCGAATGGGAGGGGACAGGGAGGGAGGAGGGAGGAGGGAGGAGATGGCAGGGACAGGGTGGCACCTCCCGAGACCGGCGATCCCCCGCATCCCCCCGCATCCCCCGGGGCTGCAGCGTCCTGGGCGGGGAGAGCGGGGGTTACCCGGGAGGAAGGAGGCGGGAGCGGGTGAGTGCCCAGTTACACCAGTGCTGTCCCCACACTGCTCCCAGACGCATCCTAGCTGTCCCCGCATCGTTGCCAGTCTCCACACCTTTCCCAGTCACGCCAGCAGTGGCCCTGTACTGCTCCCAGTCACACCAGTGCTGTCCCCCACACTGATCCCAGTATTACTCCCACACTTCCAGTCACTCCTGCCCTGTCCATGACAGTACTCTCACACTTCTCCCAGTCACACCAGTGCTGCCCGTAACAGTCCCATTACCCAGACAGTGGAATGTCCCAGTCATTCCAGTACCCCCACACTGCTCCCAGTGACCTCAATACCCACCCTAGCAAAAGGATGGTCTCCGTGCTGTCAGTAGGCACCCCAGAATTCTAGTGACACCAGTACACCCTCTCTGCTCCCAGTAACCCCGGTATTCAAGTGAGGGATCCCCATGGTGCCTGCAGTTGCCCGAGTTCCAATGATCTCAGTACATCATCACACTGCTCCTAGTCCCCCCAATATCCTAGTATGCACCAAGTCGGGAGTGTCAGACTACAGGAGTGAGGGTTCAGGGATTGTTCACACTCGAACCAGTCAGATGGGACGCTGGGATGACTACCTCTGCTTAGATGGGCACTGGGGTTAGTCGGAGTAGTGTGGGGGTACTGGGATGACTGGGACCTTCTGGGTAATGATGTGTCTGGGGCCATTATGGGCCCTCCTGGGGTGGCTGGGGACAGTGTGGGAGGAGTACTGGGATCACTGTGACTCTGTGGTGGCTACTGGAGGTGTGGGACACCCCCTCTTGGGTGAGTACTGGTGTCACTGGGAGTTGTATGGGCTTACTTGGGCAACTGGGAACTCCTCTTGAGTAGGTACTGGTGTGACTAGGACCAGTATGAGCAGCACTGGAGGCACTGAGACCCTCTAGAGAGGAGTATTAGGGTCACCAGGACTCTGTGGTGACTACAGGCACCATGGGGATCCCCAACTGTGTGAATACTGGGACCAGACTGGAGGTCGTGGGGGACCTGCCCTTGTGTATTTAATGGAGTCACTAGGACCAGTATGGGCTGTACTGGGGTGATAGAAAGCAGTGTTGGGGGAGTACTGGGGTCACTGCGACTCTGGGATAGGTACTGGTGTCACGGGCACCCCCTGCTGGGTCGGTACTGGAGCTGCTGGGAGTGGTAGGAGAGGAGTGGATCAGCCCTGAGGTGGGCACTGAGGTTACTGGGAGCGATGGGAAGATACTGGGCTCATTGGAATGGGGCGGCGTCGGTGGGACGCCGCCATGACGTTGACCCTTTAAGGCGCTACCCTCTCCACAACACTTCCTCGTCCCCATGCTGGCTGCTGATTGGTCGGGCTGCCAGCCGCGCGCGCGCGCCGCGCCCGCCAGCTCCGCCCCCTTCCGCTGCTTCGGTCTGATGTCATCACACCTAGCCAATCCTCATGGGGCTGCACTCAACGAGTCGGCGCCGAGCGGCCAATCGGGGACGGTGCGGCGGGAGCCTCGTTTGCATAATAATAGAGGGGCGTGGTCAGGCGAGCGGCGGCGGCGGGTCCGGATGGGGGGTTCCATGGAGATCCTATGGGGGGGATCCTATGTGGGGGGCCTGGAGGGCGCCGGGGAGTGGCGGGTTATGAGGGCGAGCCTATTGGGGGTGCTGCGATGGGACCCCAAGAGGGAGGGCGAGATGGGGAGGGCCGGTGAGGGGGTGCCAGGGGGGCAGTGGGGGTGCGAGGGGGCGCGGAGTATTACGGGGATGAACGTGTTTGGGCTGCGATGGTTCTCGGGGGAGGGCGGTTTCTGCAGGGGAGGCCTCGGGGGACGATGGGGATCGTGGCTGGGTGGGGGGGCCAGGGGGATGAGCCCGTGGGGGCTGCGAAGGCACACTCAGGGATGGGGTGAGTCATTGGGAGCGGGATGGAGCTTGTGCCGGGATCCTGGGGGCTGAGGGGGATGGAGAGGCCAGTAAGGGGTTGGCTGGGAGGAGATGCCATTCGGGGAGGGGTCCTGTGATTTCCTCACGAGGGAGACAACTCCGAGGGGAGTTTCGGCAGGGTGACCCGGGTGCCAGCTGTTCTCTGTCTGCAGGGAGCTGACCGAGACCCCCGCCCATGGCCCACAGCGCCAAGCAGCCGCCTGCCGCCCTGCTGTAAGTGTCACCAGCTGCCACAGCCTCCTGTGGCTACCCTGTTCTGTGTCTGTGCCCCCAGTGAAAGAGCGGCAGCAACTCATCCCATTCCAAGCCTTGGGGTGGTCTGTGTGTGCTGGGGAGGGATTGTCGTGCTCTGTTCTGCACTGGGGCAGCCTCACCTCCAGGGCTGGGGGCACCTTGGGCACCACAAGATCAGAAGGACCCAGAGGTGTTGGAGAGTGTCCAAAGGAGGGACACGGAGCTGGGGAAGCTCTGAGGAGAAGCTGAGGGCACTCGGCTCGTTCAGCTGGAGCAGAGGAGACTGAGGGGAGACTCCTCGGGGGCTGCAGCTCCTCCCGATGGGAGGCAGAGGGGCAGGGGCTGAGCTCTGCTCTGGGCCAGGGCCAGGAGCCCAGGAAGGGCTGGAGCTGTGCCAGGGCTTGGCATGGAGCTCAGGGAAAGGTTCTTCCCCCCGAGGGTGCTGGGCACTGCCCAGGCTCCCCAGGGAATGGTCCCGGCCCCAAGGCTGCCAGAGCTCCAGGAGCGTTTGGACAGCGCTCTNTCAGGGAAAGGTTCTTCCCCCCGAGGGTGCTGGGCACTGCCCAGGCTCCCCAGGGAATGGTCCCGGCCCCAAGGCTGCCAGAGCTCCAGGAGCGTTTGGACAGCGCTCTCAGGGATGCTCAGGGTGGGATTGTTGGGGGGTCTGTGTAGGGATAGGGGCTGGACTGGATGATCCTTGTAGGTCCCTTCCAGCTCAGGATATTTCAGGATTCTGTGATTCTAAGCATCTTGGGAGATCAGAAGCAGCAAGGGCTGATTTCCCATGAGATTTGTGCTGTCCTGAGTTGGCCTTGGCCCTCCTGACACAGAGGCTGGTGGATGGGGAAGCACATCAGAGGGGGAGGGAGGTGGATGCCAGAGTGAACTGGCTGAGGAGAGATCTTGCCTGAGATAACTTTACTTTTTAAAGCATCCTTAGGCGTTAGAGGAATCCAGATCACGAGGGAGGAGGGTGATCTGTCTGGTGCTAGAGGGTGTTGGTGTGTTCCTGTGAACATGATGATGCTGTGGACATCACTGGGAACTTTGCTCTTGGAGCTGATAAAGCCAAAGGCTTGCCATAACCCTTCACAGCCTCTGAGGGTTCTTTTCCTACAGGAGCTGGAAGAAGAGGTGGTCTAACACATTCCTGTAGGGTTTTTTGTGAGTGTGGGGGTGTAGGGCATTGGTTGGCTTCTGTTCCTGGTGGAGGGGCTTGTCCCACTTTTTCTGCAAGGGCTGGTGCAGTGGCAGGCTCTGCTGGGGACTCACAGAAGGACCCCCTAAATTAACTGTAAGGATAGCTTGTCTGGGTGCAAATGGAGAGCAATAGCTTGAGGTCTCTGCAGGGACTGGGGTTTGCTCTAGGTACAGGATGTGGCAAACACAAGGGAAATTCCAAGGTGCATCCTGAGCAGATTTGGATCGCTGTAGCTTTTGGCATGTGTCTGTGCCAGGGCTTGTGTTTGGCTCTGGGCTAGTTCCCAAGTCTGGGGACTCCAAGTCTGGTTGGAACCCAAGTGAGCATCATTTGGTGATACTCAGGAGCCCTTTATGGCTCCCCTGATGTGGTGAGGACATTTCCAGCAGAGCAGAAGCTGCCTTGAGGACCCAGGGATGGGAATGGTACAGGACTGGGGGATGGAGCTAACTGGAGGAGGTGCCAGGGATGCTTGGGGAGCCCCAGGGTGATGCTGTGGTGGGACACAGAGGCTCTACCCACCCAGTGTGGGACCTGTGGGTGCTCAGTGGGGCAGGGAGACTCTGCCCGAAGCAGCTGCTGATTGTAAAGCCATGGTAGTGACCTGGGGAGTGGGGCTGTGCCCCACTCGAGGTGTTGGGGAGGTGTCACAGACAGCACAAACCTGCTTGGGTGATTGCGGCCAGAGCGGGTCAAGCTGGCACCTTCCCCTCACCCTCTGCCTCCAGGGTTCCTTGGGTGTGGGTGATGCTTCCAGGTGGTGCCCCTGGCGCCAGGATCCAAACCCCTGTGGCTCCTCCTCCCTTGCAGAGTCCCTTGGGACTCCCCACCAAGGTGTGTCCCAAGCCCATGTGACAGGGATGTGACTGTCATGTTACCTGAGCCCAAGAGCCAACCCCCATCCAAATGTTCTTGATGAGTCCCAGGATTGCCACCAGTCCTCAGGGCAGCTTTAGTGTGCAGTAAGCTTTAGTGAACCCTGCTCACCTGGAGCCGGGCTCTGCTTCAGTGCCATGGCTCTGCTGTAGCCTCCCCTCATGGGAACAAGGGCTCCATGGCCGGTGCTGGGTTTGGGGCTGTTTGAGTCAGGATTTGGGGAATCCGGTGAGCACGAGGTCATACTGTTGGGGGATGTGTCACTGTTGGGCCCCATGGTGTCCCAGCCTGCTCTGATGATGCTCTCTGGCTGCAGACATGCCACGGGCAAGGCTCAGCATGGAAACTTCCTGGTGGCCATCAAACAGGAGAAGGGAGAGTCGGCGCGGGTGGGTGGTGAGAAGCCGGAGGAGGAGGTGAGTCCTGGAACCTGTGTCCCTTCTCACACCATCCCTGAAAGTGGGGCCCAAGGTGCCCGGCCTGGGGCTGTCCCTGCCCCTCCACTTGCCTTGCAGCAGCCCATGCAATTCTGTGGCTGTGGCCATGGGCCAAGGAAGGCCTCAGACTTTGCCTTGAGGGCTGTGTGGCCCAGGTGGTCCTGGGGTCTGCTCCTGTGTTCCACTGATGCAATGGCTCTGATCACTGATGGGCTGTCCCTTCCCACTGGGTGCCAGCCGGTGAAGAAGAGGGGCTGGCCCAAGGGCAAGAAGAGGAAGAAGATCCTTCCCAATGGCCCCAAAGCCCCTGTGACAGGCTACGTGCGCTTCCTGAATGAGCGGCGCGAGCAGATCCGCACGCAGCATCCCGACCTGCCCTTCCCGGAGATCACAAAGATGTTGGGAGCAGAGTGGAGCAAACTGCAGCTCTCAGAGAAGCAGGTACTGGCCCCCAGCGGAGACCCCCACCACAGGCCGGGCAGCTCCAGAGCCTGCTCCCCAAACCTCTGAGCTTGCTCCAGGAAAGGTGCTGGGCCCAGTGCTGGGGAGTGGGAGCTGGGTAGGGAGGGGTCAGCAGCTCCCGGGAGCCTGGGTTGGGTCAGGCTGAGGCCCCTCTGTGACCCCCCCACAGCGGTACCTGGATGAGGCAGAGAGGGAGAAGCAGCAGTACATGAAGGAGCTGCGGGAATACCAGCAGTCAGAGGCCTACAAAATGTGCACGGAGAAGATCCAGGAGAAGAAGATCAAAAAAGGTGGGTTATAGGAGCAGTGGCTGCCAGGATCCAGCCAGATGCTGCCAGAGCTTTTCAGGGACATGAGGCTGGCCCCTGGGGTGATCTCCTTTCTCTCCTGCAGAGGACGTGGGCGCAGTGGCCGTGAACACCCTCCTCAACGGGCATCCACACAAGGTAAGGCCCTGTCAGGTCTGCCTGTGTGTGGGGAAATGGGCAGGTTGTGCTGCTGGGCTGGCTGCAGGTGTGGGTGGGCAGAGGAAGTGCTGGGGCTGTGAGTCCCAGGTTCCTGGAGGAGTGGGAGGCAGAGCATAGCTGTCCTCCCTCTCTACTCGTGCGGCAGGGCTAGCCCTCACCCCGTCCCGGTGCCCTCATCAGCCCAGCCCTAAGGCGTTGGGATCCCCTCTGGGGGGCTCAGCCCTGCCCAACCCCTCCCTCTTGTCCCTCAGGCTGGCGAGTGCAGCGACACTTTCTCCACCTTCGATGTGCCCATCTTCACGGAGGAGTTCTTGGACCAAAACAAGGGTAGGGACTTTGGAGGGTCCTTGGGAAACCTGCATGGAGGGACCAGGTCCTGGCTGGAGCCTGGGCGTTGGTGGACACAGTGCTGTCCCGGCAGCCCGGGAGGCCGAGCTGCGGCGCCTGCGCAAGATGAACACGGAGTTCGAGGAGCAGAACGCCATCCTGCAGAAGCACACGGAGAGCATGAACTGCGCCAAGGAGAAGCTGGAGCAGGAGCTGGCGCAGGAGGAGCGGCAGACCCTGGCCCTGCAACAGCAGCTCCAGTCCGTGCGGCAGGCCCTCACTGCCAGCTTTGCCTCCCTCCCCATCCCTGGTGAGTTGGGGGCAGCTGTGGGGCCCCTCCGGCTTACTGGGCCCCTGCCTGGGCAGAGGGGCACTGAGGGGTCCCCCCGTCCTATGCAGGAGAGCACTGAGGGGCAGTGGGGTGGTGGTAAGTGCCCATCTGCTGCTGACAGCACTTGTAGAGCTTTCCAGGAAGCCCAGGGATGTGACAGCCAGCAGGCTTCCCTGTCCTGGGACAGGGCAGGCTGGGATCCCTCCTTCTCTGCGGCCACAGTCACAGCTGTACTCCATATTGGCCTAAATGCGTGTGTTCCTGGGCTTGTGCCACTGCAGGAGGTGGCATCTGGTGCTGGGGTCCCTTCTGCAGTCCCCAGCACATGGGCAGGGTTGGGGGGGCACCTGCTGGCCCTGGTCACTGGACTGTCACCCCACAGGCACTGGGGAGACCCCTACACTGAGCACCCTGGACTTCTACATGGCCAAACTGCACAGTGCCATCGAGAGCAACCCCCTGCAGCACGAGCCACTGGTGCTGCGTGTTAAGGAGATCCTGTCCCGGATTGCCAGGTGAGTGCAGGGCTGGGACCATGGCACAGGTGTCCCCATGGGACTGCAGGGTTGAGCTTGAGCTGGTGGTGATGGGACCTGAGAAGGGAAGGTTTGGACAGAGATGGGTGTGCAGCTGCTCCAGGGAGTTGAGGGGGAGGGAAGCCCAGTCCCTGAATTCAGGAGGTGTCCCATGTCCAAAGATGTTGGAGCGAGTCCAGGGAAGGCCATGGATCCCTTCTGCCATGGAGCCAGGCTGGGAGAGCTGGGAGTACTCATCTGCAGAAGAGAAGGCTCCAGGGAGAGCTGAGAGCCCCTTGCAGGGCCTAAAGGGGCTCCAGGAGAGCTGGAGAGGGACTGGGGACAAGGGATGGAGGGACAGGACACAGGGAATGGCTTCCACTGCCAGAGGGCAGGGCTGGATGGGATATTGGGAAGGAATTGTTCCCTGGGAGGGTGGGCAGGGCTGGCACAGGGTGCCCAGAGCAGCTGTGGCTGCCCCTGGATCCCTGGCAGTGTCCAAGGCCAGGTTTGACACTTGCATTGGAGCAGCCTGGGACAGTGTAAGGTGTCCGTGCCCATCGCAGAGGGAGAAACTGGATGAACTTTATGACCCCTTCCAGTCCAAACCATTTTGGGATTCTGTGACTCAGCCATGCTTTTCTTTGTCCTCAGTGAACACTTGTGAGAGGACCAGTCCTTCCAGACCCCGGGCCTGGCTGGACCCCAGGCCTGTCCCTTGGAGCTCACTCAAGGGACAGTCTCTGCAGGGGGTCTGGCTGCTCCCCCTGCCCCTTGCACCTTCCTGCAGCTGGGACCCTCCAGCCCAGACCGCCCCACCCATGGCTGCACCAGCTCCAGAGACCTTGAGCTTCAGGGGACAAGTGGTGACAGGGCTGGGAGCCCAGCTGGGGCAGCGCTGGGAGAGGGTCAGTACAGACCAGCACTGACAGCACCCCCAGCTCTGCCCTGTGCCCCCCAGCCCTGCCTTGCCAACCAGGGGCTCCCTGAAGCCTGGCTGGGGGCAAGGGAGGCACTGGTGGGTTTGGGCCTGGACTGAACACACCCCTTTAGTGTGAACCAGGGCTGTGGGGATGGGGGCAGTGGGGGAGTGACTGGGGCCCCCTTGGTCCTAGTGCTGTCCCCTGTCCTTCTGGCTAGCATGGGAGCCCCTTGGTCCCATCCCAGCAAGGGCATGAGGGCAGCTCCTTCTTGCTGCCTGCCTCAGCTTTTATTTAATGGGTGCCTTCAGCCCCTGCCCATCACCCTGCTTGGCTTCCCTCCTTCCCCTCCATATCTGGGACCAGGCAGCGAGCTCCTGAAAGCAATAAAACTCGTCAGGCCGCAGGGGAGCTGGAACTGACCCCTTTCCATGGTGGGGACCCCTGGAAGAGGGGAGCTGGGACCCACCTTGTCCTGGGGTGGGGACCCCTGTCGCAGGGAGCTGTGACCGACCCCTTCCTGCTTGCAGGGACCCTGGGTGTGCTGCACTGGCTTTGCCTTCTGCCCCTTTTGCCTGAACCCCCCTGCTCTTATGGGACCACTGTGCTGGCAACCGGGGTTGGGGTTGGTGTCCCTGAGACTGCCTGTCATTAATCTCAGACTGTGTAATTAGAGAGTGTCTTATTTTCTTACTTAGCACTACATGGGCCTGGCCCTGGCCCTGAGTCTGACAGGGTCTAGGGTGTTCCCACTCTTCCCTCGCTTGCCAGGCCTGTGCTCTGCATCTGCCATTTGCTATCTCCGGGTGCCACTGGGCTGGGGATGGAGATGGGAGCAAATAAATGTGGGAGAAAACAACTCTGGTCTCTGTGTGTTTGTGCTCAGTGGGAGCTCTGGAGCTGATCCTGGGGTTGTTCGGGTAGATGCATGGGTGACAGCCCTGAGCCCATCACTGCAGTCCCCGGCCCCCGCTGGGGAGGACGTGATGGTGCTGGCTCTGGGCCGGCTGCTCTCCCACCTCCAGCCTGGCTGGGGCTCTTCCTACGTGGCAGAGCTCACCCGATCCCCGCGGGTGACCTGCACCACCGGCTCATGTTCCCGGGCCTGGGGATCACCTTACGGCCGGAGGGGAGCCAGCCCCATCCATAATTCAGCAGCGCCGCAGGGATGCAGCGGGTGGGCAGGCACGGCCGGCAGCCCCCCGAGGGCGGCCCCATGGAGAACGGCATGGGGCAGGAGCCGGGGACCCCCGAGCCGGCCGGCCCCGCAGCCCCCCGGGCTGCCCGCGCCCGCCCCAGGCTGGTGTTCCACACGCAGCTGGCCCACGGCAGCCCCACGGGGCGCATCGAGGGCTTCACCAACGTCAAGGAGCTCTACGCCAAAATCGCCGAGGTCTTCGACATCTCGCCTACTGAGGTGAGGGGCTGCAGCCTGGGGAGGGGTCTTCATGCTCCAGGTGGGGACATCCACCCTGTGGCACTATGTGGCCTGTGCTCCCACATGTTCCCAGATACTTTAAAATGTAGTCCCCAAAATTTTCTAGAAGAGTGTTATGGCCTCAGGGTTGTATCTGCTCCTCTGGGGAGGGCTTGGGGGCTCTGTTCCTCAGTTTGCCCCGACATGTGGGCAGGGAGCCGTGGCTGCCAGTTCCCTGGCTGATTCCAGCTGCCCAGAGCTGTGGGAAGGTGCATAGGGATGGGGCGGTGCTGGGTCTCCAGGCAGGCTGGGGGTCCTGGGCCCCTCTGTTCTAGCAGTGCCCAGATCTGACTGAATCCCCCTGAACTGGCCGTGGCTCCCCTGACACCTCTTGCCCTACTGGGCATCCCCAGTCCCTGCTGACGGGGTTCCCTGGGGCAGATCCTCTTCTGCACGCTCAACACGCACAAAGTGGACATGCAGAAGCTGCTGGGGGGACAGATTGGCCTGGAGGATTTCATCTTCGCCCATGTCCGGGGCGAGACCAAGGAGGTGGAGGTGACCAAGACAGAGGACGCGCTCGGCCTCACCATCACAGACAACGGGGCTGGCTATGCCTTCATCAAGGTGAACCCCCGGGGACCACTCTGGGCTGGGGCAGCCCTGGGGACTGTGGCCCTGCGGGTGACATCCCGTGTGCCTCGCCTCCCTGGGACGAGACTCCTCCCTGACTCCCCACATCTGTCCTTTCCTGAGTCCACTCTGGCCCTGGGGGTCTCCCCTGCCATGGGGAAGTTTGGGGGGCTTCTCTGCCTGACCTGGCTACCAAAGGGCATGGGTCTACTGAGGTGGTTGTGTGTGGGTTGGGATGGGGGCTGTGTCTGACTGTCCCATTGAGCCATGTGGTTGCTGTGTCCTGTCCCACCGTGGTCCCCAGAGGATCAAGGAGGGGAGCATCATCAACCGGCTGCAGACAGTGTGTGTGGGGGACAGCATCGAGGCCATCAATGACCACACCATCGTGGGCTGCCGACACTACGAGGTGGCCCGGATGCTGCGGGAGCTGCCGCGGGCTCAGCCCTTCACCCTCCGCCTGGTCCAGCCCAAAAAGGCCTTTGGTGAGCTGGGAAGGTCCCCCTGCTCTTGCTCTGGAGACCCCGGGATCCTTCCCAGCCCCCTGTGGCCCTGCAGCCCCTCCCCAGTGACCGAGTGCCTCCCAGGGTTCACTGTGTGTACCCTGTGTGCAGCCCTCTGCACCCCCACTATGTGTGTGTGTGTGTGTACCCCACAGCCCTGGGGCACCCACATGGGGGTCCCCACACCTGCTCGTGCCCCCCGCGGGCACCCTCTTGCCCTGTGTGTGTTGTCCCGAGCGTCCGTGAGCACCCCATAACTACAAGCATCCCCACCCTGCACCCCTGGATGCCCCTGACACACCCACCCTGTCCCACACCTGGCTCACCCTGCAGTGCCCCTGGGGGACTGGGGGCTGGCCGGGCACTGAGCAGTGAGGGGCTGGGGGTCCCAGGTCCTGCCTGTGCCCTCACTCCCCACCCTGGGGCACAGACATGATCGGACAGCGGACACGGACGGGCAAGTCCCCAGACGAAGGCAGAGTGGCCAGTGGGAAAGAAACGCTGAGGCTGCGGACACAGGGTCCGGCCGTGCTGGAGGAGGGGGTAAGACCCACCCGAGCCCCCCACCCCGAGCCTATGGCTGCTCACACTGTGCCAGGGTGGGGATAAGCATCCCCGTGCCCCTGGTGCCCCCTGTGCTGCCCGGCGCTCACACCCCGGACCCCTCGCCCCCAGCCCAGTCCCTCTGAGGAAGAAGCTGCCCGGCGGGTGGACGATCTGCTGGAGAGTTACATGGGCATCCGTGACAGCGAGCTGGGTGAGGAGGGGCCCTGGACCCTGACCCCGAGCTACCCCTACCACTCACCTGCCCCTGTCCTGACCCTCACCCCCATCCCAACCCTGTCCCAGCCCCTGCCCCTTCCCCAGCCCCTCCTCCTGTCCCTCCCAGCCCCTCACACTGGCTCTGACCTCCCTCTTCTCCCCAACAGCCTCGACGATGGTGGAGGCGGCCAAGGGCAGCCCCAGTGTGGCCCAGCTTGCCCAAGGGCTGGACTCGGTGCTGGGCGAGTTTGCCTTCCCCCAGGAGCTGGTGGCTGAGTTGTGGGCAGCTGTCTGCCACCCCAAGGGAGATAAGGAATAGCTGGGGGGCAGGTGTTGCCCCTCACTTTTGTCCCCTCCCCACATCCCCACCTCATCCCCACCCCATCTGGGGCTGAGGTACTGGTGGGGGTCCCCATCCTGCCCCCCACACCCTTCTGAACAGCACTCAGATCTGTCCCTTGGGTTGGGGGACAGAAGGCACCCAACCCACCCATCTTCCTGAGGATCCCTCTTGCACACCCCCAAATGTGGTGGGCAGTAGCTGTGGCTCATTAAAGGAGAGACTGCAGGAGAAGGGCTGTTGCTATTGTCAGCAGGGTGGGTTCCCCCAGGTACACTCCCTGGGGCCCCCCGAGTGGTCACCCCCAGCGGGCACCGAGAGCTGCACGAGTTGTGCTTTATTGGGGATGGGGAGGAGGAAGCAGCTTTGTGCCCCCCCATCAGCCTCTTGGGTATCGGGCTTGTGGGGGAGCGGGGGGGAGCCCCTGGATGCAGGTGATGAGGATCCACTGCGGGAGTGGGACGGGGGGTGGCTGTGTCCCCCTGCCCAGTACCCACCCCCAGTGCTGCTACTGCAGGACAGAGCCAGAGGTGAGCTTGCGGGGCAGGGAGGGGCTGAGGGAGACGATGGAGGGCCGGGGGTGCAGCCGGGGGTACACACGCTGCAGCACGGCCCGGCGGAACAGGATGTACACCCAGGGGTCCAGGATCTGGTTCCAGGTGACCATGCGGATGTAGATCAGCAGCATCTCCTGCGTGTCCCTGGGCAGCACCCGTGCATTGCCAGGCAGCTGCTGCAGGACTGTCTGGACAATGAAGATCTGGGGGGAGAAGGGGGAGAAGTGTCAGAGGAGGATCCATGAGCTGCTCCAGGGTGGGGAAGTGATGAAAGTCAAGCACCGTGGAGGAGTCCTGACCCAATTCGAGGCACTGGGGAGCACCTGCTCTACCTGTCACCAGGGGACAACTCAGGGTACAGAGAAGTGGCAGGGGACACCAGCAGGGGAGGTCTCACTGAGGGGACACCCCCAGACCTGGGGCCTCACTAGCAGGGACATGGAGGGGACATAATGAAAGCTGGGACCTCACTGTGAAGGATGGGGGACACCAAGCCCCAGGAGGGACATGGAGGGAGGTGGAGGGAACACACCAAGACTGAGGCCCCACAAGGAGGAACAGGTGACACGAATACGCCCCACAAGGAGGAAAAGGAGGGTCATGAAGACCCAGGAGGGACATGGAGGGGTGGTAATGGGACCTCACCAGGAGGGGCATCCAGCAGATGGTGGCTATAATCATGATGCCCACGAGCTGCACCATCATCTCCACCTCGCTGTCACGGCGCCGCTGCACCGACTCGCGGTCGTGGTAGACGCGACACAGCGTGACCACACTGATGGTGTTGAGGACGAAAGAGAGCAGCACGGAGAGGATGCCCAGCAGTGCAAAGAGCAGGCAGAAGACGATGTCGCCAGTGTCAGGCAGGAGGGTGAGGAAGCACCAGGAGCCGGGGAACTGCAGCGTGTACCGCCCCAGCCCGAACACCGGCAGCAGTCCCAGCAAGCAGGAGAAGCCCCACACCAGCCCCACGATGGCCCAGGCGCGGCGCTTGGAGAGGCTGGTGGAGCGCGAGAAGGGGCGGTTGATGCCCAAGAACCTCTCCCCGGCCATGGTGGCCCCCAGCAGCAGCGGGCACTGCCCAAAGAAGACCATGGAGAAGCCGAGGAAGTTGCAGAGGTGGCAGTTAGGGTCCACTTTGGCCCAGGAGAACTTGGTGAAGTGGTAGGGGATGATGACTGAGGCTGTCACCAGCAGCCCCATGAAGTCTGTGACCACCAGCCCACAGAGGAAGATGAGGAAGGAGGAGCGGGCCTGGCTGGAGAGCTTGCGGGAGGAGCTGACCAGGACACAGAGGGCAAAGAGGTTGGAGCAGAGGCCGATGAGGCCAAAGGCAGTGGAGAACCAGGGAGAGGCGATGCTGTTCTGTGCACTGGCACGACCATCGCTGGCATTGAACACCCCGAAGCACGAGTCTGCCTGCCCGGCCATGCTGCTGTTGGGGGGCTCCATGTCCTGCACCCCCTTCTGCTCCTTCCAGCAGCCTCAGGCACCCTCCTGGCTCTGCTCCATGGCTGGAGTACCCCCGCAGCTGCCGGCACCAATCCCTCCTTGTCCTGCAGGGGGAAGAGAAGGAATTTAGGGCTGCTCCCCATGGCCAAGCCCACTCATCATCCATCCTGAGCCTGCAGATACGAGGTTCTCCATGGGCTGTGGAGGGGGACGCCATGGTGCAATCACAGCCCATGGAGAGGGACACCAGGGCGGGACCCTGCTCCTGCCGGCTCCAGGCGCAGCTGCAGTGGGTGCCAAAGGCTGCAGCCCTGCAGCTGCTGGGATTAACTGTTCCCGGCCATGAGCCACGTGGGGCTGCAGCCACGAGGCTGAATCCCAGCACAACGAGTGCCGGGGGAAACGCAGCATTGACAGCCCAGCTCCCTCCTGCCCTTCCCCTGCCAGAGATCCCTGGGCCATCACCCTCCATCACGGTGGGGGACACTCTCTGAAGGATGCAGGCACAGAGTGGCTGCACTAGGGCATGATCCTGACACTGCCTATCCCTGAGTGCAAACCCCTGGCTCATTGTGAAGATGCCCCATTCCTCCAGTGTGTTGGGGAAACCTGAGGTACAGTTTTGAGGCTGTGCTACAACCCTGGCACTGTTGCCAAACCACAGCCAGTGTGGGTGACAGACCTGCTCTGCCCTCTCCACATCCCTCACAGTGGGAACTGTGGGTTTGTCACCAGGACAGTGGCTGTGACAGGGTGCCAAAGGGATGGCTGTGGTGGTGGTCAGCCCAGTCAGTGCCACTCTGCCTCGCTTGGGTTGGGAAGCATTTGGAAATCATAGAATCATGGGCTATCCTGAGTTGGAAGGGACCCACAAGGTTCATCAAGTCTAACTCCTGGTCCTACAGGGTCCTCTATTACATATTAGTCCAGGCTGCAAATGGGATCATGTGGGACAGGACAGCAACAAACAGTGGGGACTGGACAGCCTGGGGACACAGATCCCTATAGGGACCAGACTCCTCCTCTCCTCCTGGGACCCATTTCTCCAGGCTGTGGATATTCTTGCCACCTCACCTGCCCCAGCCCACCCTCCTGGCTGACATGGTCCTCAGCCCAGTGGCCCCAGTAGATGCCCAGTGGGAAGCCCAGCTCTACCCCAACACGCCACCCCTGCAAAGCCCCCACTGTGGTGCCCTTCCCTTGTGCAGCGTGGCACTGACACCTGTCTTCTGTCCCCAAGTTAAACCTCACACCAACCCTGATCATTGCCAACCCTGACCGTTGTTCCATCACTGGTCTGGCTCTGGGTCCCCACGCCATGTCCCTCACCCACACACCCCTCAGGTCCCTGGTGCACAGGCCTGGGAGCCACTGTGCACACCCGAGGCATGCACTGATTGCTCTGGGCTGGGATGGGGCCAGGCATTGCAACATGCTCTGGAGCCTCATCCCAGTGACACGTGGGGTGATGGTACAGGCACCCACCAGTGCAGCAGTGCCCTGCCCGTGCCCTGTCACCAGCTGTGCCACAGGACCTGCAGCCCTGGGGAGCGGGGAAGGGGCCAGGGATGGTGGTGGTGGCTCGTCCTGATCTCTCTCCTGTCCTGCTGTAGGGGGTTGGCAGAGCATGGTGGTGAATCACTGCGAGGGTGGGCCAGGCTTTTTCCTTGAGCCAAGAGTGAAAACTTGCTGCTGTTTGTTCTCACTGGTCCCCAAGGGACCTCGTCAGCCCCAGAGGCGTCAGCCCTGCAGACGCCTCAGCATGACATTGTAAGACCCTGAGGAGCCGCCAGCCTTTCCCACATTCTCTGAGAGGTGACAAAGTCACCCCTGTCACCCTGTGATGCTGCATGAGTGCCTGGTGTGCCAGTCCCACTCCAGCTGTCCCTTGCCATGCACCTGCCCACGGTGTCAGGGTGCTGCCCCCAAACATGTTCCTCTCGTCCCAGGGTGCCCCCTTTGCTTACTGGGGTTCAAGAGCCCATGGGGCAATGCTGTCCTGCTGTCTCTGTTACCCTCACAGCCACGGGATGCTCTTGGCTGCCCGCTGGCTCACTGTGGCAGGGTATGACCTGTCCCTACAGTGTCCAGTGTGGGGGGAGGGAGGGAGGGAGGGTATCCCTGCAGTGGTACCTTGGCCAGGCAAGGAAGCAGCAGCCCCAGAAGCTCTAAATCCCACCACTACCTACATCCCCTCCCTTCACCTCCTGCCCACAACCTGGATGCTCATTCACTGCTCTCTGTGGCCTGGACATGGACCCTGGGGGCTTGGAGGACTCTGAGTTGGGTCCAGGGGCTGAGCAGCTTGGACCCCCCCCTGTGCAGAGCTGCCTCAGCTGGGCCCAGCTGGGCCCAGCACTTAAAGGGAATCAAATATTTACAAGGGGCCACTTAGCAGCTGCAGGGCTGGGAGTGTGCCAGAACACACCAGTGGTGCCTGCGGGGGGGCCCCACTTGCCATTTACCCCCCATCACAGGCAGCCACTGCAGGATGATGCATGTGGGGAGAGCAGGTCTTTCAGAAGAAAAACCCTGAGCCCAAGGATTGTCCCCACTGACCCCCTGTACTTGGGTTTGGGGCTCTGGACGCAGCAAAATGGACATGCCATTGGAGAAAGGGTTTGGCAAGGGGTGCTGGGGTAAAATCCTGGATGAGAGGAGCTAGCTCTGAAATGTTCTGCTGGAGGCTGTGAGGCACTGGCAGTGGGTGTGGGGGCCTGGTGCAGGCACTAATGGGGCTCCTGGCAGCGCCTGAGCTCCATTATGGGTCCTGCTGCAGATGCACCAAGGCTGTCCTGCCTCTGCTGGGCACTGCTTCCTGCCCTGGCCACATCCGAGGGGAGGGAGGGAAAGGCAGATGGGGAGTGTGGGAGGCTGCTCCTTATCAGCTTCTGCTCCAGCCCGTTGTTTCCCCAGGCTTCGCCAGGCAGGACTGGGCATGGGCTCTGTACCCGGCTTGCAAGATGAGGCTGGGGTGGGGGCTGGAAGAGGAGAGACATCACACACCTGCAAAGGGACCCCCAAACCAGACAGCAGTGACTCCCCCCACACCCCATGTGTACCCTCAGCCTGGGGCCTGTCGCTGGATGTAGTGCTTAGCCAGGGCAGCCGTGCAGAAGATGCTGCAGGGCGTCTGCATTTATCCCTTGCGTGGCCAGTCTCTGTTTGCATTGACCTCTCCAGGACAATGACTTTCCCTGCATGATCCCTTCTGTCTCCACAGCCTGATGCCCCTGGTGCAGGCAGTCCCATGGGACACTGTGTTGTTACCTGTCAGGGATGGATGTGGTCCCACTGCCACCTGCCTCCAGGCTGGGGCTCTGGGGTATCAAATCAGGTTGAGGCCATCAGCTGGGACAGGAAAGCCATAGGGATGAGGACTTGGCAGGGCATCAGTGTTCCTCCCTGGGCCCACAACCATCACAAGGACCTGCTCCTGAAGAAGTTGGTCTGGCCTAGAGCAGGGACATCCCTAGGAAACCCAGGACAGAGGACATTCGTGGGAAGCAGTGACACACAGGATGGTTCCTGCCAGGCATGATAACTGTCCTCTCCTGTCCCTACTGTGGCCCACGGCAGAGGTCCCCAACCTCTTGGCTGACTGGGAAACAATTGGCACCGTCCCCATTCCAATCTTCAGTGGCCCGGAGCCGGGCAGGCGGTGGCTGGAGGATCAACCCGGGTGCCCTGGAGTGCAGAAACCGGGGCTCGGCAGCCCTGGGGCACCAGGGCCCCCCGCCCCACGACTGTCCCCGCCCGCAGCAGCATCTCGAGGGCTTCAAGGCTGCTGGGCCGCCCACTCCGACAGCCCGAAATAGACCCTTCCTTTCCCGGCCCTTTCCTGAGCCTTTCCAAGTCCTTCTCCGGCTTTTCCCAGAGGAGCCAGCAGCACATGGGGGCGGCGGCGGCGGGCGGGGGCCCCCGTCCCGGCGGGGGAGCCTCGAAAGGAAATCCTGGTTCCGACGGGAAGCCGATGACATGCCCGTCGCGGATCCTCGGTCCCGGGGACAAACAGACAGTGGGGGTAGCGGGGATATCATCTGTCCGTCCCCCACTATGGGGTCTCCCCTTCCCCCTCCCCGAAACGCACCCGATCCTCGGGGCTGTGTGCGAACCCGGAGGCTGAACCGGCGGCGAGCGCCCCGAGAGCCTTGGGAGCCCCTGGAGCCCCGACCGTCCTACACAGCCCAAGAGCCCCGCACAGCTCCGTTTGTCCCAACCCTGCGGTCTCATCCTGGCCCATCCCAGTCTCTGTCCGTCCATCCCGGTCTCTCTGTCAATCCATCCCAGCCTTCTGGGCTCTTTGTCCTTCACAGCCCCCTTGGCCCCGTATCTGTCACCCCCCTCCAACGCCCTACCTCGCTGCCGGCGGGACTCACCCGGCTCGGCTCGGCTCGGCTCGGCTCGGCTCGGCTCGGCTCGGCTCGGCTCGGCTCGGCTCTGCTCAGCCCGGCTCGGCTCGGCTCTGCTCTGCTCAGCCCGGCTCGGCTCGGTTCGGCTATGCTCGGCTCAGCCCGGCTCGGCTCAGCTCCGCGGTGGGGCGGGGGAAGGGCCGGGCTCGCCGCGCCCCCCCGGAACCGGCCCCGTCCATCTCCGCTCCCTCCCTGCTCGGGACGGGTCTCCAGGCAGGGGTCGCCCCGCTGGCCCCATCGCCCCCGGCCCGGGCAGCGCCCCTCGACTCGACAGTGTCCCTTCGGTGCAGCCCCCCCGGCGCCCAAAGCCCCCCTGGCGGAGGCACCCGCGGCTGGGTCCGTGCCGGGGCTGGGCTTCCGCCCGTTACTCACTTGTTTACTCGAGCGAGTCGCTGCCCGGGCGGGCTTGAGGCGGGGAGGGTCCGGCCGTGCCGCCCCTCCAGCAGGACCCGCACCGCGCTGGGGTCCAGCAGAGGGAGCGTCCCCGCCGAGCCCCGCAGAGACCCCGGGACCCGAGAAGGAAGAGGCAGCTGCGGCTCCGGGCGCTGGGGTGGCTGAGGACCAGGGTCCCTGGGTGCTCCAGCAGCCCCGGCCGTCCCTGCCTTGGAGGGGATTCGCCTCCCGGGGGTTTTCTCAGCCCGGCAGCTCGGAGCTCGGGATGTCGCTGCGTTGTCCAAACCCGAGACCAGCTGGGGTGGCACGTCCCCAGGCAGTGTTCCTTCTCATGATCTCAGGACGCGACAGTCCCCGTTGCTGCTCCTCGTGCTCCGCCGAAGAGGGCAGAGCTCGGCTCCGAAGAGCCGGGAGCGCCTGAGCCCACTGGGGACACGGGGACATCCCGTCAGGGCAAGCCAGGGGCACAGCGGCTCGGCGCTCAGGTGGATGCCCAGGCAGGTTTTCCTGGCACTGGCTCGGCAGTGAGGGGCTGCCATCATCCCGCTATTCCTTGGTTTGGAGCAAAGCCCGGGGGAAGGCAGGGCCAGCCCGCAGAGCTGGATCGCGCCTGGCCCTGTGTACTGGGAGCAGGAGGAGCCCCACGACCACTGAAACGCGCGGGGCTCGGCAGCCGCTGCTGGCCCGGGTGGGGCCGGGGTGTGCCCGGGAGCGGCTGCGCTCACGGATGATGGGACACGGGGCAGCTCCACCGACTGCCCCGCCCGGGCACGAACCGGCCGAGCCGCTGTAGCCCTCTGCAAACCTCAGGGCTGCGCCGTGGCAGCTTCCCCGCCAAACCTTGGGGAGATGTGGAATAGAAGGAGTACTGAGAGCAGCCAGTCAGGGAAAAGCCGTCAAGGGGCTTTAGCTGGATCCAGTCCCTGATCTGGCCCCAGCCCATGCCCGGAGGCTGCAGCAGCTCTTGAGACTTGGGCTCCTGTGCCTGCTCAGTGACCTCATCCAGGGCCTGGTAGTCAGACGTGCAGGGAAACGCAGTGCCTGGAGGAGGATATGGAGCCTACTCTGGCTGGAGATACAGTGGGACGTTTTGGAGGGAGTTCCCCCACCTCTGTGTGTGCCCAGGAAGGAAAGGGACGGGCTATGGAGAGGGAGGCTGTGCCTGGGAGCTGAGCAGGGAGGGCACCAACCACCAGCTTTGGGGTTTGGGTTTTTTTCCCCGTTTCCTCCTCCCTGGACAGGCCTTCACTCACTTCCTGCACTGAGCCCTGAAACCCCTCTGCACAGGCAGCAGCTGGAAATAACTCACAGGAAGGGGAGGCCAGGGAATATGTCCGGTGCAGCTGCTGGCCCTAGGGATGTCTGGCAGGATGGGGAGGGGATGCCATGCGCAGGACCAAGGCAAATGGGGTGCCCCACTCCCATGTGCAGGCAGGCCAAGCCCCACAAGTGTGGATGGCCAGGGCAGGCATGGGAGCCGCCTGAGCACCAACTCCCATCATGGCTTTGGGGCTGGATCCTGCCAGCAGAGCCAGAGGAGTCAGGAGCAAGACAAGACAACTTGCCTGAGCCATGGGGCAGCCCCCAAGGCCTTGGAGGCCCCTGCATAGCAGGGTTGGCTCTGCCCTAGTGCTGGGGGACCTGGGTAGCCCCCTAAGTCCCTGCACCATGGGCCTGTACTGGGGAGAGGGTGCATGCAGGTAGGAAATGGCATCTTGCTGAAGCCAGGGCAGAGGTTTCCTGCACCCGTGGGCACTACTCACCAGCACACCATCCTGCCTGCTTGAGCGGGCATACCCCAAGGTTTGGGGGTTTGTGGGGATGAAGCCATGTGGGGTGATCCCAGAGGAGCATGGCTGTGCCCATGGTCATCATCTGGTGGGACCACCACAAGCAAGTCCCAGCTCAACCCTGAAGTGCCCCTAAGGTGCGCAAAACCCATCTGAATGTCACTAGAGGCCCTCAGGAACCCCCACCTCACCAACAGGACACTGGGGAGTGCAGCCGCTTCTTGCCCAGGGCAGGGAGAGCCTCACAGCCATGGTGTGGGAGGGACTGCAGGCTCTGGAATCCGGATTTTCCCCTGTAAGGAAATATCCCAACCGGCATCCCTCTCCTCCACTCCACCAGAGCAGACGCCTGGTAGCAGTAAAAGCCTCCCATGCCACAGCCAGGACTGAGGGATGTGGCAGTGCTCCCAGGCTGGAGAAGCCAGATCCCAGGGGAGGACGTGCCAGGAATGGGGCCCGGGGGAGGATGAGGGGCCCCTCTCTGTAGCAGGACACAGGGCAGTGCTAGGCTGGTGAACTCAAGGGCCCTGTGACGCCAGCCGGGGAGCAGCAGCTAGACTGGTCTGGCACTGGTAAGGGGAGGTGTTGCGAGTGGGAAGAGGCTGGAGTGGGGCAAGAAGCACATGGGGCTGACTCTGTGGGGATGGGGAGACACAGGGGTGAGCACTACCCAGTCCCAAGGAGAGTTCCCGGTGCTGGCCCACTGCAGTACTGACTGGTGATGTCATACGGGAACACTGGCAGTGCCAAGGATCTCACGGCTAAAACAACCCTTACTTTATTTATACCAAAGTCTCAGGGTCCTTCATGATAATTGCAAGGACAGAGAAAGCATCAGGAACATACCCAGTGCTGGGCCAGGCCTTGGAGCCACGCACGGAACAGTGTCTGTGCCCTGCCCACCCCATGCCAGGTGTCCGAGGGTGCTGAGCAGCCCCTCACCGGCGGTACCGGTAACGCTTGAAGTGGAACCAGAGCTGGAAGATGCCATTGGCAAACTGGCAGCGGAAGCCATGGCGGTGGGAATACTCCCACTCCCTGTTGACAATCTTGAAGGCAATGTCCTCATAGGGTGGCCCAGCATGGAAGCGCAGGATGGCAAAGTCCTTGTTGTCCTGGCAGGCCTCCAGGAAGTACTCGGGCGTTGATCGCTTGTCAATGAGGTCGGGGTAGAAGATGTTGAACTTATAGCCTTGCACGATCTTGGGGGGGGGATTGTCGAAGTCATAGTGGGTCTGGTTGTACTTGTTCCACTCGAAGCCTGTGTGCACGCGGTTGAAGAAGCGGGGCTTGCGTGGCCGGTACTTGTCAGCCCACAGATAGGCCTTGCCCGTGAGCGGCATCTCCACGCTGAACTGCGCCTCGTCTGCGCCCATGCCCTCCTTGGCCTTTCGGAAGAAGATGTCATCCGTGCTCTCGGACGCATCGCCTACAGGGGAGGAGAGGTGACATCAGGTTCTGCAGTGCCAGCCAGGCCTGGGCCATGCGACTCTGCTCCAAGGCACACAGACAAGGAGCTGCTATGCAGAGGATGCACAACTGGACACGGGAATGCATGGGCTGCCTTGAGGGCTCTGAATGGGCACTGGGCTGAGTTGTGCCGGAAAACTCGACGATAACACACCTCCTGCCTGTCTGCACCCAAACACCTTGGTGGTATTGAGGCATGTCCCCCTGAGCTCCATCTCCCTGCTCCTGCCCAAGCGACAGTGCCCTTTGCTCCAGGGGCACTCCTCCGCCAGGTCAGCTCTGGGTGCCTGCCCCAGATCCAGCTCTTGTCCTTTCCCGAGGGCAGTGTCCCCTCCAGCCCTGCACCCTGAATCACTGCATGCCTTCCATGCCATGCAGGCTGCAAAGCTGGTGGGCACAGGGCCTGCCCTGGGGCTCACCTGTCACCTGGAGCTGCTGGCGCAGGAGCAGCAGCCGGTGCATGTCCTCCTCGGCCTCCAGCACGTGGGCATCAAAGGGCAGCTCGTTGGGGCCCAGCAGCCGGGGGCTGTACTTGCCCGCATCATAATCATCCAGGCTCTGCTGGATCAGATCCTCCTCCATCAGCACGGCCTCCCCCTCTGCCTCTCCCTTGGTCTCTGTGTCCTGCTCTGCCTCTGGCTCTGAGGATGGCCCTGGCTGTGCCTCAAGGTTGTCCTCGGGATCCAGCCTGTGTGGAAGGGAGAAGAGAGGACTGGGACGGGGATGTTATGCTCGTTCGCTGCTCACCTGAGCTCTGCCTCAGGAAGGGTGAGGGCACAAGACTGCCTTTGTGCCTGGGGACAGGCCCAGGGGTTTGCTCACCTGTCGCTGGGGGAAGCCGGCTCCCGCTTGATGATGGGGAAGAGCGGTTCACTCTCCACACCCTGCTCCTGCTTCAGCTTGTACAGCTTTTGACGCAGCACGTCCTGGTGCCGCTCCCGCAACCTGAGAGAGGAGAGGAGCTGTCGGGTCCTGCCCAGCACAACCACCTCACTCCGACTGCCCAAAGCTGTGACACCCACCGCCATGGGCAGAAACCTGCTGGGCTTGGACGGCTTTGGTCTGAGTAAGCCCCAGTTCAGTTCCCTCTTGGAGACCTCACTAAACATCACCACTGCAGAAGGAACTCGGTGTCCCACCCTGCTCCCCTCTTGGAAATCAGCCATCTCAGAAAAGGCAGAACACCCTTCCCCATTTCCTCCACCAACTGGATTTATATCTCCCCAGCTCTGCCCACGGCAGGGGCTGTACTGTCCCCACTCTCTGCTCTCACCTGGCCCGAGCCATGTAAGCCTTCAGCTGCTGCAGGAGGCTCTCCCAGTACCCGATGTCCAGGTTGGGCCCTCCCGCCCGGATCTTGCTCTCGATGCCCTGGTACAGAGCTTGCAGCTGGTTGTACGTCTTCCCCTTGAACACAGACTGCACATCTGAGCTGACCGAGGCGTTGACACCATCCCGACGCTCCCCTGGACAGGTGAGGGCAGCCAGTCAGTGTCTAGGCACTCAGCTGCACTCATCTAGGTTCTGCAAACAGCAGAAGGCTGGACCCCAGCCAGGGACAACTGCCAGACCCAAGCCTCCATTCAGCAGGTCCAAGAGCCCCTCTGAGCCTGCGCACGCATGGCAGACCCTGCACCCTACGTGACCCACCACTCACAGCCCCACAGGCTCTGCTCTCCTGTTCACCTGGTCCTCCTTTCCCAGACGCCTCCAGTTTGCGGAGCTTGGCTATCTCATCCTCCGTGATGATGGTCATGTCCCTCCAGAAGTCCACGTTCTTCCCTTGCTCCAGCTCCATGTACACCTGCAGGCAAGAGACACATCAGGCACCTGCTCCACAACATCAGCAGGAAAGCAGAGCAGGTAGAGAAGCCCTGAGCCCAGACAGAGGGGCAGCAGAGCAGGCACCTGGATGTCCTCCACCAGGTCCTCCATATCAGAGACAGTCAAGCCATTTAGGAAGGTGTAGGGCTCATGCATCTCCACAGCCAGGTCATCGTCCTCTGCACTGATGTACTTGGCCAGAAGATCAATGGGTTTCGCCCTCCCATCCCGAATCCGGATCTTAGACCTGGTGAAGGGAGAGGAACAGAGAGACAGTGGGGGACACTGAGCAGTGCCATCCTCTGCTCCCTGCCAGGCCCAGCTCTGAGCAGCTGCACACCTACCGCAGCTTGGCCTGCTGCAGGTGGAAGTTGTCCTCCTGCTCTTCCCAGGTTTTGAAGTGCTCTGCCTCTTTCTCCCGCTGCAGCATCTCCAGCTCCTGCTCCCGCATGGCTTTTTCCCGCTCCCGCTCCAGACGCAGCTGCTTCACCTGTCCAGGGTGACAGAGCTGTGAGGCCACTGTGGATGGGCCACTGTGCATGGGCCACTGTGCAGGCACCAGAGACATCTGCTCAAAGCAACAACCATGACATGACCTGTCCCTGAGTTGCCTTGGCTCCTGCCATCAGGCCGAGCTCCTGCAGAGTGGGGAGGCAGTGGGGCCACATTGTCTGAGCTCACTGCCAGCCCTGTGGGAGACAGAGGACACAGGCACAACTGAGTGCCTCAGTGTCATGACCTGGCATTATCCTCCTCAGCACCTCCTGAGCTCCTGGGCTCAACCCCAAGGGGAGAGGTTTCAGAATAGCAGAAGACAGGATTCTATGGCCCCCACAATCCTACAGACCGGACACATCCAGGAGAAGAAAAAGGGGGCTTCCCAGAGAGGGATGGAGAGAACCAAGCCATAAACAGGGCTCTCTGTTAGACAGTGATATGGAAAGGACATCTTATCCCACCTTCTGCAGCTCCAGGCGATTGTCCTCCTGGATTCGCTTATTCCTCTCCTTCAGGTCCTTCTCATCCAGATGGCTGATCCCTTTCTTTTCCAGTGCCTTGAAAAGAATGGCCAAGTGAAGCTGTGGAACCCAAGGAGGTCCACGGCCCCTCACTGGCAGCAAATGCTACTCCATTCACCTGTTTCTGCTGCTCAGGTCTGATTCTGTTGAACAAACACTGCTCCTGAAGCCCCCCAGCAAACCCAGGCTCAGGACAAATAGCCCACCTGGTCTGGTGAGGTGAGTGCTAACACAACAGTATCATGGAATAATGAGGGAAGGGACCTTAAAGATTACCTTGTTCTATCTCCTGCCATGGGAGGGACATCTTCCACTACACCAGGTTGCTCCAAGCCCCATCCAGCCTGACCTTGGACACTTCCAGGGATCCAGGGGCAGCCACAGCTGCTCTGAGTAACCTGTGCCAGGGCCTTCCCATTATCTCATCCAACCCTGCCCTCTGACAGTGGGAAGCCGTTCCCCTTGTCCTGCCCCTCCAGCCCTCTTAGAGCCTTTTTAGCCACTGGAAAGAGCTCTAAGGTCTCCTCTTCTCCAGAGAGCCTTCTCTTCTCCCTAACCTTGAACACACCTCCTCTGTCATTCCTACAGCAGAAGTGCTGCATTCCCATTACCATCCCCATGTCCCTGACCCAGCAAATGCTGCCCAGCACTCAGCTTACAGCAGCTCCAAGACCCTCTCTTGCTCTCGACCCATCTTCTTATCTCACTGCCCTGGATACAGAGACCACTTCGGGCACAGATTTCCCTAACTCTCCCTGCCTGTTCCATCTGGCTGCAAGGACAGGGCAGAGCTCACCTTGCTCCAGATGAATGTGCCCAGCAGGTTGTTGTCTCCGAAAGGATTGTCGGTGTTGGTGTAGCCCATGTACTCCTCACCCCAGCCCATCTTTTCCCGCTTCTTTCTCTCCTTGGCCTCCTTCTTGGCCAACCTCCGTGCTCGCTTCTCCTCGGGTGTCTCCAGGGCCTTCAGCAGAGCCGCTTGTTTCTTCTTCTCCTCCCTCAGCCTCAGCCGCTCCTGCAGGCTCAGCTGCTGCCCCGGCTCCTCCCGGCCCCGGGGCCGCGGCGGGGAGGGGGAGCTGACGGAGGACACGGAGGACTTGGATCCATCCCGCCTGCGGCGCCGCTCCCGGCTCCGCGCTGCCCTGTCCCGCCCACACTCCGGGCTGGAGCCGGAGGAGCGGCCCCGGGACCGTGAGCGCTGTTTCCTCCGGTCCTTACGGTGCCGGTCCCGACTGCTGCTTCTTTTCTTCTTTTTCCATTTCTGTCTCTCATCGCCGGAATCCGAGCTGGGGGGGCATAGCCGGGCTTCAGCGCGAGAAGGCCACGGCAGTACCGGGCACAGAGCGTCTCCCCGCCGCAGGTGAGGCCGGCCCAGCACCGGCGCCACCGGCAGCGCCAAGACAGCGAGGGGGACCTGCACCCCCCACTTCTGATCGCCCTGAGCCAGTGTCACCAGCAGCGCTTGGGACCGACCGCCCGCCCCCCGTCCCCGGCCCTCCCCGAGGCCGGCGGGACCGAGCACCCTCTCCCGTCCCCCGCCGGGCCTAGGGAGGGGAACACCGGCCGGCTCAGGCCGCGCGGGCCTCGGCACACCAGCCCCGCTCCCCCGGGCCGGCTGCCCCACAGACACAGCGCTGCAGCTCCGGGCCAGGTGCCCACTCACCCCGAGCTCAGCTCCCGGCGTCGGCCCCGACTCCGGCTCCGGCTCTTGCTCCGGTGCCGCCGCCCGCGGCTCCCGGACCGCGAGCGCCCCCGATCTCGCTCTCTCTCTCGGTCCCGGTCTCGTTCCTTTTCCCGGTCGCGGTCCCTTTCCCGCTCCGAGCGGCCTCCTCGGGCCGGGCTGCGCGACCCGGAGCCCATCGGCAGCGGCGGCTCCGCCCCGGGGCCTCGCGGGGCCTCAGCGCACCAGGCTGCCCCGCCGCCCGCCTGTCTGCGCCGGAGCCGCTGGTGCGGCGGGGTGGGTGCAGGCAGAAGGCGGGACAGCCCCGTGCCGGGGGCGGAACGCGGCCGCTCCCGCCTGTCCCGACCCGCGCCCCTTTTCCCCAAACCGGGCCGCGCCCGCGCGGCGCCCACATAGGAGGCGGACACCCCGGAAAGCACAGCACAGACTGCAGAACGCTTTATCAGAGCGGGGTACAGATCTCTGGAAAAGGGGCTCCCCGGAGAAGGAGAGGAAAAACCCTCAAAACAACCGAGAAAAGAAGCGCCCAGGCCTCGAGCCCCCGACACAGAGACGGGATAACATCCCAACATCGGCGTCCCCGTCCAGCCGCAGCGTCCGCGCCCCCTCCGCCGTACATTCGGCACACGGTGCACGCGCAGCGCGGACATGAACGTGTGTGGGAACAGCAACATCCACGGGAACATCCACCGGGACACGCGTGGGGACAGGGACAGCCATCAGGACAGACGTGGGTAGGAAGAGGGACAGCCACCAGGACAGACTTGGCGCATGTAGACATGGACAGAAAAAACCCTCAGACACGACCCAAGACGCCTCAGCCCTGGCTTTCTCCTTGTCCATTTGGGAAGCGCTGGAGCAGTGGCTGGGAATGAGAAAGGGAATGCGGGCGGGCAATGGAGCCCTGCAAACACCTCTGCCTGTCTTGGACCAAGGCCCATGAGTGCTCTGGCTTCACTAAAAACCACCCCCAAAGTGCAATTCCAGCACACGTGGCCAGAGAGGCATCGGCAACCAAAAGCTGCATCCCCTCTGCACATGTTGAGGGTCTCTACGAGCTCCTGGGTTTGCCTCAGAGCCTTTATAGGCGCCTGACTGCAAACTCATGGACAGAGATGCCATTTTCTCCTGCCAGCCCCTTACCTGGCAGAGAGAGCTCACCTGCAGCGCCAGCACCAGGCAATGGTCAGGGCATGTTACACAAAGCCTGAGATTCCGGCTGGGACCATGGGGATGAAGGACAGCAGTGGCACACAGACCTGTGTGGGAAGGAGCTGTCCTGTGGGGTCAAATCTCAGAGTACAAGAGTCGTGGTGCCTCCTTTAATGATGGAGAGCCTGGACAGCACCTGCTGGGTCACTCAATAGAACCTGGCAGAGAATAGCAGCTCAAGTCCAGAAGGAGCTGAAGTGCAGATGGAAGAACACTCGGACCAAGGGTGCCCTTTGCCATGGGCAAGTGCTGTTCCTGCCCAGGCAGCACTGGCAGTGCCTGTGACATGCTCCAGAGCTTCTGCTGCTCCCCTGCAGTGCCATGCAGAGGGGCCCAATAATGAGCTGTAAAATCCAAGGTCCTTTCAGCCTCTGTGGGAAGCAGAGGCCAAACAATTTCTCAGCACTGAGCTGCTGGGACAGGAGGTGACAGGGCAGGGACTGTCCCAGCCTGAACAGGGGCAGTTTCCATTTCAGATCAACATCTGCCTACAGAAAGGTTCCTCCTTGTCCCCTTGACAAAGCTGTTCTAAGTCTTCGCCTGTCCTTCCCCACCCCGTCCAGACCTGCTCCAAAGGGTCCAGCATTACAGAACTGTGCACAAGGATCATCTCAAAAAGGGAAGACAATTATTTGAATGAACATGCTTCAGGAGCTCTGGGTTCACCCCCTCTCTTAGGACCCAATCACAGCTCCAGCTCACAAATCTCATTCTCTGGGTCACTCCCTGCACAGAGGCCAAGCAGCTTTAGAGATCCCCCTAGCAATGAGGGGAAGGAATAAAATCTCCATCAATGATGCTTAAACCATCTCAAAAAAGATGCTTGATTTCAGGTGGCTGGAAAGTCCTGATAAGGCCAAGCCCTCCAGTCCCAGAGGTGGTTCCAGGGCAGGGGCCTGGGTCAGAACAGCTCGAGCCCACCCCGGTTCCCCCCAGAGCCCCCTCCTCCAGCACAGCACCCAACAGCAGCAGCTGCAGCACAGATGTGGCTCCCTCTGGCCATTCTACACACACTGCTGGAGGAAAAAGAGGTTGATTTTTTTAGCTTTTTGAAGCCCCTTGCCTGAAGCCCAAAGGTAGGTGAGGCTGTAGGTATTGCAAGGCTCCCATTACCCTCCACCAACCCCTGACCCCCCCAGCCTGCAGAGACCCCCCGGGTGGCACAGGAAGGTGGGATGGGGTTGGAGCTGCAACTGGGAGAACGAGCTGCCAAGCAGCAACAGAGAGGGGAGAGTTTCTTGAGATTGACTTTTGATAGACTATTTGGTAAATACATGGATACATGAACAGCAGCAACTTGCACAATTCCCAGACCGTGCTCCCAAGAAGCACAACTCACAGCCTTCTGCATCTACAGGCAAGGAAGGGAAGTCCAGGTCCTGTATTCCAGGCAAGAAAATAAACATCAATTCCTGAAGATTCTCACCAAGTTCAGCACACAGAAGGAAGAGCTTCCCATCAGCCCAACTACCTTCTGGGACCCAACATAACCACTCCTGAGTGCTGCTGTGAAAACAGATTGTGGGGACTGAGGCCTGAGAGCAGGGTCCCGCTTCCCCACCCCTCTACAAGGAATCCCAAAGACAGTGAAGATTGTAAAGGAAATAAAGAGATTTCAACCCTCTTTCTCAAGCGAGGTTCATAAAGCACACAAGACCTGTCTCCCTCTGGTCTAAAGGATTTCCTGTTTTCTCTCTGGGAGATGAAGATGGGATTGCTAGATTCCAGACTATGCTATGATATGTGTCCCGTTGATGGATGAGCCTGAACACTGCCCTGTGACATTGAATTCTCTCACCTTTACGCAGCCCTCGCAAAGCAAACCCTCTCAGACACCCGCAGCAGGGATTTTCACCAGCAGATGTGACCCCAGGCAACACCCCAGTCACCCAGCTTTCTGTCCAAGAGTCCCGAGCACAGCAGTTGGCACAATTCCGTGGCAGAGCCAGGCTCCCATTCCTGCCTCCAGTGTGTGAACGTGCCCTTGTCTCCCTGCCTGCCCTGAGGGGCGGAGGGGACATGTGAACCCAGTGTCCTGTCCGTGACCCCAGGGTACACCCACAAGCACGTGAGGGGCTGAGTGGCTCCAGGAGGATGCAAGCCCCACGTGGGCTGGGCAGAGTGGGGAACTTGCCCTCCAACGTGGCTGGGCTTGGGAGGTGCCCAGTTCCCATCTGTCCGTGCCTGTGGGGCTGGAGCAGGTGACGGCCGTTCGGATGAAGTGTGGACTTCAAGCACAGAGGGAGAGGTGGTGCAGCAGTGCAGCACAGGGTGAAGGTGGAACCCATCAGGACTTCGGGGAGAGCTGAGGAGTCCATGTCACTGTCACCAGGAACTGTGTGCTGCCCCGCACAGTGTTACAGACAGGAGAAGTCACTAGAGAATTTGGATCCAAGTGAATTGGCATGGCTGCTTTGGACTATGGTAATATGGGAGCAATTCTATTCCATGGCCTTTAATACATTTCATTTTCATAGCACCTTTCATCCCAGGGTTTAAGTGCTGTAACAGAAGCAGGTACTGTGCACCCACTAGCACAGGGAAAACCGAGGCACAGAGTGGTTTAGTGACTCGCCTTGGGCCACTTGGAAAAACCGTGGCAGTCTGGACAGCCTTAAACCTCCTGACTCCCTCAGTTGGTCAGACCACACTGCTGCCTCACATGAAGCCACTCCACTCCCTGCCCTCCCCAGCAACGTGCTCCTACCCATTCTTCAGTGAAGTCTCATGCTCCTTTTTGATGCACAAATATATGGAAGAAAAAAAAAAAAGTGCAGTAAACTAAATGTTTAAAAAAGCACATTTGTGCTGTCTCTGTGCAAAGATAAAAGAAATAAATACATGATTAAAAAATTAAAAAGGTTCACAGTATCACACATGGATAGGTAGCTACGGTAGTGCACATCTGGAAAACACTGTGTTACTACCCAGGATTCTCTACACCCAGCTGGAATTCTCTGCTAGGAGCTGCGGGTGAGCGGGTGGTTTCTTTGCTGCCCACGTCTGGGATAAGTGGAAATACATGGTTATAGTTTTGCTCCATTCTGAAACGCAGTGCCCGGGATCCTGCAGTGCAGCAATACTGGTGTCAGCAAGCTCTTCCCCATCCCACTGGAATGGCTGCATCAACGAAAAGGGAACACATCGACCTGCAGAGGGAATCGCTGCTCTCTGGGACTTCTGTGTCTGCATAGAGATTACTGCAAGAGGCAGAGAGAACAGAGTCACAGAATCATGGAGTTGTTACGGTGGGAAAAGACCTCCAAGAATACCAAGTTCAGCCATCAGCCCAGCACCACCACCATGTTCACCACTAACCCACGTCTCCACAGCCACACGTCATTTGAACACTTCCAGGGACAGTAATGCCACCACTTCCCTGGGCAGCCTGTTCCAATACCTGACAATCCCCTTTCAGTCAAGAAATTTTACCACATATCCAACCTAAACCTCCCCTAGCACAGCTTGAGGCTGTTTTCTCTTGTCCTGTCCCTTGTTCCCTGGGAGTAGGACACGACCTGCACCTGGCTGCATCCTCTTCTGAGGGAGTTGTGAAGAGCAAGGTCTCCCCTGAGCCTCCTTTTCACACTGAGCTGCTCCTCATCACACTTGTGTTCCAGCCCCTTCTCCAGCTCCACTCCCTTCTCTGGACATGCTCCAGCCCCTCAATGTCTTTCTGGTCACGAGGGGAAAGAGGATCAACCCCTGAGCACCAGTGCCTGCATCAGTCAGGTCTGTGTCCCGCCAACTTCCCAGCACAACTAGAGAGGCTGTTCTACATTCTCCAGAAATGGCAACATGTCTGGAAAACCTGAGCTCCCCAAAGCTTTCCTTGCACCAAACAACTGGGAATAAGCCACAGCCCTTGCTGAGCAGGCCCGGGTTCTGCCAGCACAGAGCTGACCTGAGAGGCAGCCAGGCTGTGCCGCAGCCATGCAGGAGCCCCACACTGCCAGAGGCCAAGCTGACCTTGCAGAGGGGGCACAAACTCGGACCTCGACCCAGCAGGCACCCGGCACACGGCTGTTGGACACTTACTGTATCGCTCTCCTCATCGGAGACAGAGTGGAGCTGAGCGCTATAGTGGAGCGGGGAGTAAACCCAACTCCTCTCGTCTGTCGGCTGCCAGAGTGGCCAGAGACGGCAGGGAGAATGCAGGGAGAGCAGCAGCAGAGCAGGGAGCAAAGGAGAGAACAGGAAAAATAAAAGGAGAAAATAAAAAGAGTAGGAAACAATACAGTAAGAACAGCTGTCCACCTGGAGGAGAGCTCTGAGCGCAGAGCCTGCTCTCAGAAGAGAAGCCCTCCTCATCCTCAGCACATACCTGCTCCCTGCCAAAGAGACATGGGATCTGTGCCAGCTGCAGTGGGGGTACAACCTCTCCTCTTCTAGGGACAGAGTTTTAGAGTTTTTGAGATGTCAGGGAAACCTCAGCTCCCTGCCATGGCATCAGCCGGCTCCAGAGAAACTGAGAGATTTGGAAGTGACTTACCTAAGAGCAGTGACAGCTCTGGGTTCCTGCTACCCGCTAGCAGCTCTCACCCTCCCATTTTGAACTCTGTGCATGCTACAAACTGATGTCCAGGAGAGCTTTTACAGGGAAACTGGATTTGTTTACTGTGCCTTCCTCCTTCTTTGCAGAAGGTAGTGGAGCTTGGGTGAGACCATGGTGGATGGTGGCCACAGAAAGGAAACAGTTTTTGCTGAGATCTTGGAGACAGTGGGGTGATGGGAACAAGGACAACACAAGAGACAAAACACAACTGGACCCTGGAAAGAATGAGGGGAAGGAGGTGTGCCTTGAGGGACAGTTATCACAGCACTGGGCATTGGTGTGAGAAGACACACTACTGTGTACACAACACAGATTCAAGGGCTGGTCTCTGCATCCAGAGTTCCCAAGGGGGGGCCTCATTTACATTGCAAACAGGCTCTTTTGTCTCCAGGGAAGCTCCCACAGAGAAGAAACTGCCCCCTTTGACCCAGCCTGACATTTGCAAAGGAAGAGAAGCAGAACTGGATGCTTGGAAGAAGCCTGCGGTGTTCCCAGCCGAGGAACTAAGCGTGACAGTTTACAATGTACAAGGAACTACAGGAAGCCAGAGAAGCTTTGAAGCACTGGGCTCCACATACTGAACCCTCCAGTAACTGCAGCTCCATTAGCAGAGACTGCTGGGAGGAAGGAAGGTTAAGAAACCCGTTTGGAGCTTCTCACAGGGCTCTGTCAAAGGTTCTTTCAGGAAAGCTCCCCACCACATCAAGCTTGTCCCACATTTTTTTCATCCGTGATGCTTCATCCTTCCTGACTGAACCACATGCTCCAGCCAGTCTCTTTCAGAGCCTTTTAGGGGCTTAGATGCATGCAGGGAGCTGTGGGAGATAAAGGAGCATTCAGTGCTTGGCATTACCCTTCCGGGTGCCAGAGCAGCCAAACACAGCTTAGGGACAAGAGGAGCTGCAGGAGGAATTGCCTGTTTGCCCACAGAAGTGCAGCACCTTCCTCATGCCATCAGCCACGGCCAGGGGCACATTCCTGCCCCTGCTTCCCCATGCACCCTGCCTGTAATCCAAATACCCAAATGGGAGCACCAGGCTGCACCAGTGAGGCTCCAGCAGCACTGTCACCACCCGTTGGGGACAGCAGCTCTCCCAAAGCCTGAGAAGGTAAATGCTAAACCCCAGAACAATCTCAGCTCTAGATTCAGCCCCTAAAATCTCTAATGTCTCCCTGCATCTTTTGGAAAGGAAAATCCTCCCTGCTCACAGAACACCTTCAGTGAGGAGGGAGCACACTGGTGATGCTGAGAAGAGCTTGAGAGCTGAAAGCAGCCCTAACAGCACCAGCTCTTTCCTCATTTGGTTTATGAGCTGCTCCCCACAAGCCAAAAGAGATCTGTCTTCAAGTGGGATTTTAGAACCTTCAGAACATCTCAATGATGTCTTTAAAACCCTCTTCCTGGACTGAGGGAGCTGAGCGTGACATCACCAATAAAGGTCCCAGTGCCTCTCTGGCTAGATGTGGTACTTACAATCACAGAACAGTTTGGGTTGGAAGATCACCCAGTATCCCCCCCTTGCCACGGGCAGGAACACCTTCCACTGTCCCAGGTTGTTTCAAGCCCATCCAATCTGACCTTGGACATTTCCAGGGAGAGGACAAACACAGGTTCTCTGGGCAACAATGTGCCAGGGCCTCACTGCTGTCACTTTTCCCAAGGGCTGGGTGACACTACAGCCCATCCCAGGGTAGGAGCTATGTCACCAGTCTGCAGAAAAGCAGGACAGAGCTCATGATTCTCAGATCCTACATGGAGATCCCCCATTTCTGCTGGGCTGGTTCTTAAAGCCCACTCAATCCAGAGCCCCAGCCATTGAGAGAAATGGGGTGCTGGCCCCAGTGTTTCAAAGCTGCAGCTCTGCTCCCCTACATGCTGTGCTGGCGTGGTCACTTACAATCCCAGAGGAATGCGAGGTAGTTCGGAGTCTGCGCTGGCGGGGAGAGTAAATCCAGTACCTCCCATCTGTGAACTGAGTGGCCCCAGGACAAGTGAGATGAGAAAGGAAACAGAGGAAAAAAAAGGGTGATGTGAAAGAGAGGATGAAAGAGAAAGCAAAAAACAAGGGCTTGGGCAACTCCAGGCCTGAACAGGTGAGCAGGTGGGAAAGCCGTGCAGGGGAGAGCAGCGCCCATGCCCTGCCACACTCTGCTCTTTTATTCCCTCGGGATGAACAGGAGAATGAAGTGTTCTCCAGGAGGAGACTTCCACTGATCAGATCACAGTCCTCTGGGACTGGCCAAATCCTCCATCCCTTCACCCACCACTGTCCCTGAGCACTCCTGTAGGAGCAGCTGTGCTGCTACTTGAGCACAGGTGTCCAGCCTCACCTCAGCTCCAGCGATTTTCCAAGAAGAGTGCTCATGGGAACTCAAATCAGCTTTTCCCTTCATCCCAGTAGTGACAGACACTCCACAGCACACGACACACGTTTAATGCAAAACTCCAACTCAGATGAAGTATGAAATGCTGATGAGCAGTCATTCACACTCTCTGTGAACACACTCTGCAGAATTTTCCCTTGGATAGAGGTGCTCCTCAAGGTGGGGGGAGTCACATGCCCAGGGACAGGCAGAGCAGCTGACCCTAGTTAGAAGGCACTTGCCAGGGGAGCAGGCAGGATCTGCCTGCACACAGCTGCCATCCACAGGCAAGGAGGGGTCATCGGTACTAAGGAGCCGTTTGCATTTTGAACAGCATGCATCCAACCTCAAACAAGCTGTAAAACAGGGCTGATTGCTTCCACAGCTCCCACGAGCCTCAGAGTGACTTGGCAATGGTGAGCAGCTCTGCAGCAGAGTCACAAGAGCCCAGGGAAAGGCCAATGCTGCACTTTAGTTTAGCCTGAAGGAGCCCATTGCATGGGCTCGGGTCATCTCCAGCACCACAGAACCAACAGTAACAAGTCGGAGCAGGGAGGAGCTGGGCACCTCTTTTAATAAGGGTTCCAGTGCCCAGGCACGAGAGAGAGCTCAGCTCTCATGGGACAGGCACTCAGCTCTGCTCTGGGAATCCATGGGACAGGTATGTGTTGCTAAAAAACCTCTTCTCTGGTCTGCAGAAGTTGCTCAGCCATTGTGGGAGCTGAGTGAGGAACAGCGCCAGGCTCCACGGCACTCTGCTGCCAACCACCAACTTACTGCCTGGCTCAGCACTAGACTCCCACTGCATCACCTAATGCAGCCTGCAGGGAAAGGAAAAGCCGGAGTTCACCAGAGCCCAAGGTCACTCTCTGCAACCACCTCCCTTTGGGTCTAGGCCATGTTTGTGTCAGGAAAGCAGCCAAGATCTCTGGCTGAGGACGGAAGAACCTCTCTGTTGCACCCACATCACCTTGGCTTGTCCCCGGAGCAAATGTGCTGGCCTAGATAAGCACTTGTGCTTGGGAGCAGCACAGCTACAGCTACAGCTACATCCACAGCAGAAGTGCCACCTGTATGAGCCCCACTAGATGCTGTTTTGAGTTCTCCAAGTTTAATCCAGTTCCCTGCATTCAAAAACCCACCCAGCACCGAGGTCTCAAGGTGCTCCACATCAAGATGACTGCCTGGAATGGATACTGACAGCCTTGCCCAACCCTTCCCATCACACCCCAAGGGTCAGGTGGAAGTCTCTTACAAAGTATATGTCTGTGACTGGCACGTCGTCTTCATCCGAGGCCTGGCTGGCTGGTTCTGAGGCCTGGCTGGCCGTCTCCACCTCTACAGTGGCTGTGGATGTGACAATGGCACAGGCTGAAGAAGCTGCCTCTCTGTGGAGGGGAAAGAGATGACAATCTAGTCACTGCAGTCAGGACAGGTGCAAGCAAAACTGATTTATTACAGAGGAGCTGAAGATGCTATGCTGTCACATCCTGAAAGGTCACATCACATCAGGGCAGGTCAGGTCAGAACTGTGCTCAGCCCCACTGAACACCCGTGACTCCAGCAAAGCTGGAGCCCAGCAAAGCCTCCAGCACAAGCAGCCAGAGCTCAAAACCCACTCAACACTCTAAAACACTCACTCTTTGACTTCTTCTTCTTCGGGAGCTACAATCTCAACGTCACACTTGGGCTCCAGCTCGACACTGATTTGCTGAACCTCCTCCTCGACCCGCACCTCCTCGTGTGACCTGGAAACCAAAGAGACAGGCCTAAAGACTCAGCTGGGCATGAGTTATGCATAACCCTCAATTTTAGGTCTGCCTGAATCAGTCCAGAGCCAGCCAAGCCTCTTCTGCAGCCCTGCCCCAGCACACAGCTGCTACTGCTGCTACTGTGGCACTGGGCTCCCAGCACAGACTTGGTGGCTGATTTCAGCTCAGAGGGAGCACTCAGACCTCCTAGGATTGAGGGTTTGGATAACCAAAACTCCCAGGAAAAAGAGTCAGTTCCTGGAAGACTGCAGCAGTCAGGAATAACAAAGTGAGAAAAGAGGACAAGAGCAAAGGAATTTAACAGCCAGTGCTGCAGGAGAGACAGGTACTGTTAGATGGAGGATGGGAGCAAAGAGAACTGGCCTCCAGGGAAAACTTGTGTCCAGAGTTAGCCTGGCACCAGGCCAGAGCCTCTGACCCTTTCCAAGACTCCCACCAGACCAAAACTGCTCCAAGGTTGAGATCAGATTGATCTTCACACTCTGGAACTGTTTCTGACAACCTTCACTTTAATACCTCATGCTATTAACGTAATTACTTGTGCCAGCAGGGCTGGCTCCACTGTCCCCATAGGAAGGAGGAGCAGGAGCCTGCCAAGCCAAGGGGCAGTTGTCAGAGAAGGGCTGAGCTCCGGGTTCACTGACAGCACTGCCCTGCTCCAGGCTGACTTTGACCAGAGCTAGGGCCAGTGGGCAGCACTTCTGTCCAGCTCCGTTCAAGGAACTCTTCCTCACAGGTCTGGACCTAAAACCTGGAGTAGACCCCAGCAGACCAGGATAACCAGAGGCACGACACATTCTTGAGCAAACTGAGTAAGGTTTTTTCCATCTCAGCTCAGGAATGTAAATTCCTGCTTTAATAAATTTATGTCCAAACTGGTTTTCACCAGGGGATCCTAGAGATCTCCACAAGTCCACAGAGCCCTACTCTCCCAGGAAGAGCACATGGAGGCACTGGCACTAGAAAGGGACAAATTAGGCAAAATACAGCAAGGGTGGCCACACCTGCAGATGGTCGGTAGCTCTGGCAAATCTGTGACAGACAGATCTACTCTGACCAAGGCACTGAGCTCCCTGAACGCTCCAGGTCACTCTGATTCACCCGACCTATTTCTGGATGAGCAGTCACAACTACAGCAGCTTCTTTCCTCCATGAGGTACCATTGAGTCTGAACTATCCTGGATGAAGTCACTGCATTTGCCACATGGGCCCCACCACTGGGGTCTGGGTTTAAGTCTCCAATTTTCAGCAATTTCTAACACTGGATTCTGCAGGATATGAGGTGCTTCACAAGTCCCTGACACTTCACACAGTGAGCAGGTCCCTGCCCTCCAAGGACAGGAATTTACCAGGATTCAGCAACATGCAGCATCCAGAGGTATTTTCATTGGGAAATACCACAGAAAGGAATTTTTTCACAGGGCATGTCAACAAAACTCAGCAAATCACTCAAAGCTTGGAACAGCAGCAGATGTCTGTAATGTGGGGCAAACCCCCATCTTCCAATGACCTTTCTTTCCAAACACCAAACACTGACTGCAGGGAGAGAGGACATCAGCCTGTCAGGCTCCTCTGGCTATGGCACATCCCAGGACTGAGTCTCTGATGTCATTTCAAAGCCTACTACACCTACACAATGTCCTGGAAAGCGAGGGCAGAGCCAGCAGCATCCGCTGGTTCCTCGTGCAGATCCTGCTGACGTGGGCAATGGAGTGATTTTTAGTGGTGCAAAATAATTCCACAATAATGCATAATAATTTCATTATATGAGCCTCTAAAATCAGATAGCCCTCTGGAGCACAGCATTTCTGTCCTACCTTGCCCTTGGCTCTGAGACACCACAGGAGGGAAAAAGCCTCAGAGCTCTGAAAACACTGGAAGCTACTTCTGTGAGGACTGAGGGTGCTCAGTGTCTTACAAAGTCAAAGCCCTTTCACTTTGCCCAGGCCACAAGCAGATGCTCAGAGGAACAATGTTCCTGCTGTCAGGACTTGCTTAAAGGGACTTGAATGACCTTTCTTGACTCTGGTGCTGGCTGGGTGGGTAAATTTGGACAACACTGTTTTCCCCTTTCCTATCAAATAACTGTGGTATTTTCAAAGCACTAAGAGATCTGCTTTGCAAGGAAAATTCTGTGTAAGAAATGGGGATCGTCTGATTGCAGAAGCAGTTCAGCATCCATGCCAAAATCCTGGAGCTGCTGAAATTCCCACTCAGCCCTCTAAGAGACCTTTGCACAGGGATAAACATAAGGTTTCTATGCAGCAGAGAAAAGATGAGACAAGAAGAGACCGAATTCTCACCTGCCATCCTGCCCTGAGGAGTGTGTACGCCTCCTGCAGAAAGAAAACAGAAGAGTTTGGAGGAGCAATTTAAGCCAGAAATCCTGCACTGTCCCCAAATCTACCTCCTCATTCCATGAGGGAGATGTTCTACTTAACAGCTGACACTTCTTCCAGCAATAATTAATCCCATCAAAGCTGTGTCTGCTTGCTCCCAGGAGAGATTTAATTAAAATCGGTCATTAGCATTCTAGAGTGTAGGGCAGCCTGCTGGGATCTGCAGCACGGAGAGGAATGGCAGCCACTCACCACCAGTGGGAGCAGGGAAAGTGTCCTCACCTGTACCTGGGCTGCTCAGAGGTCTCCGAGGGCGATCGCTCGGGAACAGACAGAGATGTTGACGATAGTGTCGTGGCTATGGAGGCCGTGGTAGCTTCTTCAAAGGAAGGAGGAGTGCAAGGGAGCAGGTCTGGCCTGCCTGCTGGCCCAGAGCAGGATCAGGGGAGAGGCAGGGAGATGATTAAGTCAAACACCAACATTTCACCTACACCAGCCCCTACAACAGCGAGACTATTCCACCATGAACCTGCACACCCACACTGGGACTGGGCACTCAAACCACAGACAGGCAGGAAGTTTAGTTGGTTCCATGATCATGATGGGCTCTCCCAAGACATCCTCTGGAGAGAGCCAGTCAGCACCACTTCCAGCACAACAGGCAGGAAATAGAATTCCAATGAAGACTTCTCAATGGTGACCAAAGCTGGATTAAAGGCTTGGATCACCAGGGATAAATATCCAAGTGAATTAAGAGATGAACTGAGTGTCCAGTGCACAGGGAACAATCCAATACCCATGCACTGGAGGAGCTTGTCCTCCAGCACTCAGCTGTAAATGCAGCCAGATGGAAGAAGGAAAGGCAGCACAGAAGCAGCCCATTCCTGTTTTCCATTGGCAAGATCCTGCCTTTTATAACTGCCCAAACACTGTCATTGGAGTGCTGCAATTCCCAGTCGCTACTCCCACACCCCCACTGTTTTTCACGGGTAGAAAATGCAACTTTCTGTTGGCTTTTGGGCTATGACTTATGGTGCCCCATGGCAGCAGCTGTCTTGCAGCAGTGATGCAGGTGACCATTTTTACTGCAGAACCCCAGAGTGCTGCAAAGAAGGGGTTTGGTCTCCTTTGATGCAGAGGTGTTGCATCAAGTATCTGCTGGTGCTGCAACAAAACAATGCACTCTTACCTTCTTCCCTGTCCTGGTTAGGTTTAGCACCTGCAAAGCACAGCAAGACATGCAATGAAGAGCTATCCATGAGGAAAGATCTGCAGTCGGTGCACAGTGGGGAACTCGATGAGAACAAGGGAGGATCCTAAGGAACTGCTAGGAAAGAGAGGGTAACCACAGAGCCACTACCCTGAGCGGGGCTGTCACCTTCATCATCGAGCGTGGGGTAGCTCCTGGCCGCCCGCAGGTCGTACTGGGTGTCATCCTTGTCGGAGGCCAGCTGGCTGGCCGAGAACGCCGCGGTGGGACCCGCCGTCTTCACAGCCAGCAAGGCACTGCGCCCCTTCTTCGAGGGGGAGGACTTCAGAGCTGGGGGAGGGAGGCACACAGAAAGTCCACCACCAGCTACTGTCACACCAAAGGTATTTTTCTCTTCACAAGGAGAGGCTCTGCCCTCACACGCATCCCTCCTGGACTGAACCCAGGTCAGGTGCAGGGACTGGGTGGGAGCCTGAGCAGACCAAGGCAAGCTGTGACAATCTGAGGGCTTGGCAGTTCTTAGTTTTGCTCTGTATTATGGAATGTTTGGGGTTGGAAGGGACCTTAAAAACCCATATCTCATTCCACCCCCTCCATGGGCAGGAACAAGGGCACTACAGCAGGTTGCTGCAAGCCCTGTTCAACCTGGCCTTGGACACTTCCAGGAATAGGGCAGCCACAGCTGCTTTGGGCAACTTGTGCCAGAGTCTCACCAGTCTCTGATTTCCTAACTTCTAATCTAACCCTGCCAGCTCAAAACATTGCCCTTTGCCTGTCACTATCTGCCTGTATAAAAAAAATCCTTCCCCTTCCTTTTTCTAAGCCCCCTTTAGGCACTGGAAGGGGCTCTAAAGTCTCCTGAGAGCCTTCTATACGCTGAACACCCCCAGCTCTCTCAGCTGTACCACAGTGGAAAACCCTGCTCAGGCTCCAACCCAGACTCCTTGTGAGGTCTGCAGCAGCAAGGCCAAGGTAAAGCCTCGCAGCAGAGCAGCCCCTGAACTTGGTACTTACAGGAATTCTTTCGAAACACCGTGTTGGTCATGAATTTGAAGAATCTCTCTGCATAAAAGCTGGGTCTGTGTACTGACACCGTGTCCTACAACAGCAAGAAGCAATTGTTTAATTTTAAAATGATCCCTCAAGACAGAATTTCTGTAACAACCAACACAAGTTTTTTATTCCAACATTTAGCACTGACAGAGCTTTAAAATGGAAAGGCTTAACTGAAACACTCTAATTAATGCTATAAATAACCCTGAAGCATTGCCTCTGATTCACTTGATTATATTCTTGCTGTGATTTTATAATGGATTTTGGTGATTTTATTCCTTTGTAGACTTCCTGGATTTTTTTAAACACTGGCCTGATTGCATACATGAAATTTCTTCTGCCTTTGGTGGTTGCCATTATAAGCACACCTGGATACAGACACCCAAATTTAGCCAAAGGTCTCCATACATCTCAAATATTTTTGTTTAAAATAGTAAAACTGAAGCTTTTTCTGCTTCTGATGTTTGACTGTGCTCCCATGACTTGGCACCTCCACATTTCCTTTGCCACTTTAAGGGAAGCCAGGAAATGCAAGATTGAAAAACGGTTTCCACATCCAAGGTTGTTCTTTTAGAAAGACACACCTGGCTGTTGCAGGAATGAAGCCAGCAAGGAAACATGGAAAGGGATTTGCTGGCAGAGAGCTTGCTGAAGTGGGAACAGCCAGTCACCAAAGAGAACAGCACAGGGCTCCTGACAGCCCAGGAACAAAAACACCTGGGTGTGTGCTCCTGGTGTCATGGCAGGAAGAGAGGGACAGATAGGAACAGGGGAGGAAAGCTGTGAGCACAACAGCTCAGTATGTGAGGAGCTGGACTGAGCAAGGAAACCTGGCTGGGAATAAGTGGCACCACCCTGCTGTGAAGAAATGAAAGGCGAGAACTGCTCCTTCCATCAGCTGTGCCAGGTCAGGCTCTATAAACAGCCCCTAGGTAATCCTGTGAGGCTTGGACAACTCCTGCCTCTGCACAGGCACTCACCCCATCATGGACAAGGGCCTTCCAGGTGTGTTCCAACTTCTTGATGAACCTAATTCCAAGGAGAAGTGGAGAGAAAAATAAAGATACAGATTCAAGCATGCACTCTGTACCAAGCCCCCTTTCATACCCTATGGGGGAGATCCCTGAGCTGCCAATGCCACCAGGCCTGAGCTTTCTCCAGCATCTCCCCAGCCAAGTCAGGACTGCCTGGGAACACCACAGGGAAGGAGGAGCTGGACTGGAAGAGGTGCACCTTCCACCTCTGGAGATAAGCTTCCCACACTGAGGTGGGAAACTACTTCTTTATGAGCAGCTCATCATCCTGGACAAAGGGCTGTGTGTACCCAGCTGTTCTAAGGACATAATGGAAGACCATGGCCAGCTTGAGGTAGCCATATCTACTCATCCTCACAGTCTCCAGGAGAGGACATCCCCCCTGCTTTCATTTGGTACTAAAAGACATGTTACCAGCCAGAAAAGCCATGCTGCCAGGTTACCTACCTGTATGACTGCAGGATATCTATGATTCCTACGTGCAGCAGGAGACGCTCTCCTTTGCCGTTCACTGCTGGGATCCCTCCCATCCTGCAGGTAAAGCAGAACTTCAGCAAGTGCAGCCTCAGCCAGAGCACCTGTAACCACCCAAGCTCTGGGGAAGGGCAACATCAGCCAGGCTAAGGGGTTCTGGTGTGGTGTCAGATACATTCCAAAACCGGTGTGACTTTGTGCATGACCACGGGAGTCACTGACTGACCTGGCCTGACCCCAGGTGTCCCAGGGTCACTGCCTGCACGGCCAAACACCACTATCATGACAGAACCTGCATCGTGTGGCACAGCTCTGCCTGGGCTAGAAAGCGTCATGGAGTTTTTTCCTGCCTACTTTATTCTGGTGGCCAGGTTATTTATTGGGTCAGCAAGAGTTGTCTACCATCAGAGCAGTAAATCCTTAAGGACAAAGACATTCCCGGTCCCATCCACACTAATGCCATCCTGCCAAAGGTGCAGCAACCATTGGCACCAGCACACAACCAAAGCACAGGAGTGCCAGACACTCCTTCAAGCACCCACTGCAATTATTGATGCTACCTGAAGGACTGGAAACACCATGGTATTGTCTCAGCTCTCAGGACTGACCTTCCGTCAAACCCACAGCAGCTGGTTTCAGACAGCAGCAAGCAGCAAACTCCACCATTCCTTGACCCAAGAGCTAGGGAGCCAGGCAGAACCCCAGATCAAGCAAAGCACAGGCTTGAGGCAACTCCCAGCCTCCGGCTCCACCAGTGACTCCAGCACTTGGCTACACTGCTGTCTGCTAACTCCACTGGGATGGCCTCAGGGAACTGCCAAGGATTCCAAAGGTGGGAGTGATGGAGAACTCCAAGCTCCTAGGGATAGGCTGCTCCCTTACTTCTGCTCCAGTATTTGGGTGTTGAGCTAGAACTGAGCTAGTGTCTCCTCCCCAGGGCATGGGTGGATGTTTAGAGGCTGTTACACAAGCTGACAGCCTACAGCCTGGCCTAAGAAGAGAGACTGCTGTGAGGCCAGAGCCTTACAGAACTATTTCCCACCCTGGTTTCCCCCTTTCCCACCACAATGGCAGCACTACCAAAACGCCAGGACAGCTGCTCCCTTGAGCAGTTCCTGTGGGCCTCATTAGGGATTTCCCACTCCAGCCTCCACCTCTGGCCCTCCCAGCAGCACAAGCGAGCTCAGGTTTCACCTACGTGTCATCCGTGTCTATGGACTCGCCCCGGGCAGCCCCTCCCTGGATGGACTCCATGGCTGTGGAGTACAGGGCCTTCTGCCCCACGGGACGCTTCTCATCCGACGTGCTGTGGGCTCCCTCCGACAGCTGCTCCCTCTCGTGCTGGTCTATGTTATGAACCCCAAGCAGGAGGCTGTAGTCCATGATTTTAAAACTTTCCAATACCTACAAGTTAGTATTGAGTTCAAGAACAAAGACAAAATATCAAGCCAGTAGCAGAAATACAGACCCCAAAGCATGGAATCAAAGCAATCAAAGCAAAGCATCCCATTCACATCCCCACTAACAACTCCTTTGACAGATCCTGAAAGTTTCTGAACCAACAGTCACCTCTGGGCTTGACTGCACAGTTTGGCCATCCCACAATCACACCAAAAGCCTGAAGGTTTGCAAACAACACCATTTTATCTTCTGCACAGTGACTGGGAAAATGCTCCAGCAGAACAGCTACAAGTGGAGCAGGCTGCAAAAGTGTGATATGCCAGACAGAGGAGCACAGCCTCAGTCCTCAGAGGCTGCCATGAGATCCAACTCCACTGCTTGGCTTTCGGGGAAAAGGGCAGGAGAAAGGATTGATCCTGCTCTGGGGTCAGCAGATTAGCAAGGTTCTCAGTCAGGAATTGCTCTTTCTCATGCTCGAGAGCCACAGAGGCTCCTTACCCTGTCCCCGAGCTGTCCCCTCCTTACCAGACAGTCTCGCTGCAACGTCTTCACCAAAGCACTGAAGGTGTCTGCATCCAACATCAGGCCCTCGGGCATGTCTTGGATGAAGTCCAGATCCTTGTACGTAGGGCTGGACTTTTCTTTTTCCTTCTTGGATGCCCGGCGTTTGTAGGTCGACCCTTTGAGGTCGAATTTCAGGTGCATTTTCACCACCCGAGGCAGGATGTTGTTCATCACGACCACGCGGATGTTTTTGCCCCCGGACTGCACACAGTATAGTCCATAAAACTTGGGCAGCAGTGTCCGGGGGTTCTGGTTCAGATTCTGTAGCAAGGGTGGAAAAAAGCATGGACAAAGGTCATTTGAGCAGAAAATTCCTGCTTGTGTTCACCAGAAAACATGTCAACAGTTGGACTAGGGATTCTTTGCTGAGAGGTTTTCTGAACCTAACAGGAGATCGGTGTGCACATTTGACGAAGTGCTGCATTTCAGTGACTTTAGGACCTGAAAATACAGGGACTGAGATGTTCAGCACTCTCTGGGCAAATAACCAAATCCTGAAATCCCCTGCTTTCCCCAAGTACAGCAGCTAAAAAAAGGAAACCAAACTGGGAGAGAAATAAACACAATAAGTGGGAACTTCAGGCTTAAAAATAACAGCTCTCTTTATCTCTCCACAAGTGTCAGAAGAGCTATTCTCTGGCCCAGAATAAACCATGGACAGGGTTGTTTTTTAAACAAAACAACATAAATGTTCTCCTCCTGTTGCAGAGTTGCTTTATAAAGCAGTCAACCAGAGAGCACGGATATCCTGTTCTGCTGTCATCTCCTTTTTTTCGGCAGCAGAATAATTAGGAATGACATGACAGGCAGGATTTGCTTGTTCAGCTTTGGGCACATTTGGGAAGGAAACAGAACTTCTCTGAATGCTGTAGCAGGAAGGACAGACCTGACAGGTTCTGACAGACAGCAGAAACGTGACTATTAAAATTTCATTCCCTTCAGCTCACCCACCTAGGCACAGCAGTGAGCCCTCTTGGAGAGTGCCAAAAAATAACATAGGTAGGTAATGGAAACAGCTTTAAAGTAACTCAGGATGAAACCACCCTGCTTCCTTTCCCTGACTCCTTTGCTATGGGTGGTTTCCCAGGATCAGCATGGTGATCAAAGGTAGCACCACAAAACCCACAGACACTAGAAAACTGCAACAGGTAGCTCAGAACTCTGCATCAGACAGGTAAGTTCAGTTTAATTCACTGACTGGTGACAGCAGGATTAACAGTGCAACTCCATTCCCACTCAAAACCCCACACCTGATTTACTACACACGTTAGGCAACAGGCAGTGCTTTCCAAGAAAACTCATCCTGTCCAGGAATGTGAGTCTTACCTGCAAAAGCAAGTGATTCACAGAATCTCAGGATGGTTTGGGTTGGAAAGGACTGTAAAGACCATTTGGTTTCACCCCCTGCCATGGGCAGGGACACCTTCCACTGTTCCAAGTTGCTCCAAGCCTCGTCCAGCCTGCCCTGGAATACTCCCAGGGATGGAGCAGCCACAGCTGCTCTGAGCAACTTGTGCCAGGGCCTCCCCACCTTCACAGGGAAGAGTTTCTTCCTGGCCTGGCTGTCACTAACACACAGACATCCCATGTCTCTCTTGGGTAAATTTTCCCCAGTAAATACTGAGCGAGGAAAGGATTTTCACAGAACCAGTGTAGGATCACATAAACCCACTGCACCAGGCAGATGGGGCACAGATTGGGGCACAGCATTGCTTCTCATCACCTTCTCCTTGGCATCTTCACAACAAACAAATCCTTGGTCATTGTAACTGAATGTCAAGAGTCTTCATCCATAAAGCTGGAACCTACAGCACAGTTGTGCAGGGAGACCAGCTCCTGGTTTTTACAACTAAACAGCACGTTTGGGTCCAATTTACGTGACCAAATGCGAGTCTCTGGGTCTCAATATCCTGTCTTGCCAGACTGATGTGCAAAGCTGACTGCTACCATGGAGGCCTCCAGCTTGGAATTGCAGCCAGTGGGAATCAGGACAATCCTCAGAGTAATGTCAAACAGCAGTAATGGGAAGAATTCAGGGACAGCAGTGCCTTCCCCACAAAACCAAGGTGGTTGTGCTATTGCCTGGAGAAAAGGAGGCTCAGGCAGAACCTTTTGCTCTCCACAAGTCCCAGACAGGAGGGTGCAGCCAGGTGAGGTCAGGCTCTGCTCTCAAGGAACAAGGGACAGGATGAGAGGAAATAGCCTCAAGTTGTGCCAGGGGAGATTTAGGTTGGCTATTAGGAAAAATTTCTTCATAGAAAGGGTTGTAAAGGATTAGAACAAGCGGTCTAGGGCAGTGGAGGAGTCACCATTCCTGGAAGCATTCAAATTATGTGTGTCTTTGGCAACTGAGGACAAAGTTTAGTGATGACCATCATGGTGCTGAGCTGAAGGTTGGACCTGATTATCTTGGTGGTCTTTTCCAACCTTAAGAGCTTTACTATTCTATGATTGCAATCAGCAGCCACCCCCAAATGCAGGCTGGGGCAGATGCATGCTGCCACGTGAAGAGGAATTAACTAGTTCTGGGAAAAGGACACTCAGAAACACACGTCTGGGAAGCCATTCTGAGGCCAGAACATGCCTCCAAACTATGGCACAATTATCTGCTTCATGTTTACCCACAGAGTTTGCAAATAATCAGTAGGATTTGTGCTTCTGGGACTGGCTTCATGACATGCTGTTAACACTGTCCCTGGCATGGGGGCAGGCCACAAAATACGCAGGTGGAGGACATGCCCTGTGAGATGCTCGGCCATGACAGAAAAGCTGAGCTGGGTCCAGGTCCTGGGTGATACACACCATGTAGTATCCAGGAAGGAGCTTCTGCAGGAATTCAGCTTCCTTGTGCATCACAGTTTTTATGATGAATTCATCGTCGCTGGTGACATAGAAGAGGGAGCCGCTGGCCCCAGGGTTGGACAGCTCGATCAGAGGCTCGTTACATAACGAATACTGGCGAGAAAAAGAAAAGGTGGTGATGTTTTATCCCCCATTTATTGCAGATTTGAGTTCTATGCCCTCAAGAGCCTTCCCCACCATGTCATCTCCCTGGGAGATTAAGGGGTAGCAAAGCTCAAATGCATTATAGGTTAGGTCTGAGCAACCAAACTGATGGACAATTTATAATTAGAGACTAAGATTACAGTTCAGAGCATCCCAACTGCTCAGTATCCAACTAATCATCTGCTTTCAGGAACATCCAGCCTTCATAATGACATCTTATCTGTTCCCATTGTGCCTGCACGCACGTATCACATTCAGGCTCTTTGAGCACAGCCCAGCACACACTGCTGGACATAGAGGATTTCAGGGGACACCATAGTCTGCTCAGGGAACCACGTATCATTGTTCTGGAGGGAACAGAACACACTGGCTGTTCTCAGCAGCCTCCCCTGGCCTTGTGCTCCCCTGTTCCCTGCAAAAGCCAGTGCCTGAATCACAGAATACCACAATGGTTTGGGCTGGAAATGACCTTAAAGCTTATCTCATTCCATACATGGGCAGGGTCACCTTCCACTAGACGAGTATCAAGCTCCATCCAACCTGGCTGAATTTTTACAGCCACACTTCACTCCATCAATCCTGCTGAAAACATGTGACAGGTCTTATGCGAGGTATGCAATCAAAAGGGATGAGCCTTGCTCAAGCACAGCAAAGAGTTCTGCACTGGGACCTGAACTGGGACTACATGTCTAGTCATCAGGATGCAAAGAGCAGGTCCTCAAGTAAGGACTTGCCCAGTAGCAAAGGGGAAAAAAAAAAGGAGGAAGCAAAGCAGGCAGATGCACTTTTTAGCTCAGAGACCACCCAGGTACTGCAGGGATCAGGTGGGTCCAGGGCAGGATCACAGAACTGCCCAGTGAGAGGTGAGATGGGGAGAGGGAGGTGGGGCATGGAAGGGAGGTGATCAGAGCAATAAATTAAATACTCATCATTATGTAATGAAAACGGCTTTCAGCTCTGCACAGATTAACAATTCCAGACTTGATCAAGTTAATCATCTCATGCATAATTAAAGGCATTTGGTGGTGTGGCAGGCAAGAGACAATCAAGAGAAGCAGAAACAATGAATCAGAACCATGACCTTTCCAACTGAGGTAAACTCCTTGCCTGTCCTCAGCTCTGAACACTCATCTATCATGCACCACTATCTTGGCTGGCACAGGAGGGGATCACTGTTAGCCTCCTACCAGGCACTGGCACAGGTGTTCAGCTGCCATCACCCCCATTTACAGGTGAAGTCACACAGAAAGGACTGTTCCAGAAGGGGAGGGTGTGCACTCATGGATGTGGATGTGTTTCCTTCCTCAGTTCACAGAGAATAAGACGTCATATAAAGGCAAGGGCCCAAATTCAACCACAGTGCACTTGAAGCCTCAACAGCTTGTACTCCAAGGTATTTGAAAACCAGCCTTTCCAGCTCTGAGGAGCTTTTGAAGCACAAGAACAAGCTGTGGTTTATTCTGTCTTTTTAAGATGATTAAAATAACTACACTCACATAGCTCTCCAGTGAGTACACAAGGAAAAATTCCCATCTTTGTCCCCTGAGCCGCAGGGGACATTACAGGGTCGCACCCAGCAGAACACAACTCCCTTGGCTTGTAAACACAGTAAGTTATTGTTACCACAAGGACCAGAGAGGGAAGCCCATTGCAGGGCTTACACAGCTCACACTGTGTGCAGGTCGTGGCCTCCCTCCAGTACAGGCTGGCAGCTGCCATTCAGCAAACTCAGACTGGGAATCATAGGATGTTTTGGGATGGAAAGGATCTTAAAGCCCATCTCATTCCATCCCCTGCCATGGGCAAGGACACCTTCCATTAGACCAGGTTGTTCCAAGCCCCTCCAACCTGTCCTGGAACACTCTCAGGAATGGGGCAGCCACAGCTTCCCTGAGCACCCTGTGCCAGGGCCTCACCACCCTTATGGTAAAGGTAAATAAAGGAGGAAAAGACAGAAATCTAAAAATACATCCATACCAAATAATCATCTGGACGAATCCCAAAGAGCTCTCGGAAGTATCGGAAAGCCACTGGGGCATAGGTCTTGAACCTGAAGTCGGCGTAGTGGTGAGCTGGGGTGAGGTTACTGCCTTCACTGCACAGAACACACATGGGCCTGTTACCATTCACCACACATGGACAGTCACACCAAAGCTACTGTGTATTTCAGATGCACTGATCCTTGCAAAAAGACATCTTTGGAACAACAACCACCACCTTTCTTCTGTGGTAGGAAAACAGGAAAATAGGTTTTAAACTATCTGCCAAAATCTATTTCCAGAAATTAAAGGAACAACCACTTGCCAAGCAGAATATATTTATACAGAGAACGTAACTTTTATGAGCTTTGTTTATTCACAGTTAGAGAGCTTCCAGAAGGAGTTTTTTCCATCTAAAACATGGTATGATTTTGTGAATGAGATTCTAGATGGACAGCTAGAAAGACAAGCTCATATGAAGGGTAATAAACTGGAGTGCACAGTTCTGCATCTTGCACTGTGCTTTCCTGCAGGGCAGTGCACTGCAGATTCCAACATCTCCCACTGTATAACATTTCTGTTTGTATATCACAGAGCAGATTGAAAACATTCAGAGCATGCATCTCTGATCTAAAGACAGATGGAAGCTCTCTTGAAAAAATCAGTGAGAGGAAAAGAAATAATTCATGCATTCATTCTTTTTCCCTTCTTTACCTTGGAAAAAAAATGCTCTCCACCACGTAAAAGTCCTGCATCAAGACATCCCTCTCTGGCTTGGAGCTCAGATTGCCCACAGTATATCCAATCCCCAGCTGGATGGCCCCCTTCAGAGTGGATGAGGTGGTCTGGCAAAGGAGAAGAGCAATCAGCGAGCATTTCACAGCAGATAATTACAGTAACACCCCCTACATTACAACACAGTCATGTCTGTGACTTCTGTGGGGTCATCTCAGGCACCACACACTGCTAACCAAGTTTACCCGGCTGCTGAAGAGGTGAATTAGGGCTTCAGATTTGCTGTTTGCAGGATTGTGCTGTCCAAGAGTGCTACATAAAAATCTCAACCAGATTAATAACTACTGGGTCATAACTTCTCTCAGCCTGTCACCCACACTTGGGTGCCATCCCCCACTCCCCAAACCCAAACCTTTTTGTAGGTGGTTTCCCCAGAAGCATCCACGCTTCGATGGCCAATCTTCTTTCCTTGGCCCGGCTGTCCTGGCAGTGATGGGCCCTGCAAGGAGAGCACAAAGACACTCAGGGCACAGGCTGAGCTGCCACCAGGCACATGCAGAGCAGCACAGCCACATTCCCACACTGTACTGCACACAGAGATCATGGTACTGCTGGAGAAAACCCTGCAGAGTGCCAACAGGTGAAACTGAAGCTCTTCCACCCCTCAATTTTTGAATTAGAATAGCAACACTCCACCTGACACCCCAACTGCTCACTGGGCAGAGCCCTCAGCGAGGATGTTGAGCTTGGAAAAGATCCAGCTGCCAAGATTCCCCTGGTGCTTGGCTGCAGTTGCCCATTGATTTAAAATAGTGATGTATTAAATCAAACTGTCACAGAGATTTCTTCTTAAAATCCCACGCACTCAGGTGTCACACTGACACCTTGGGTTTTGCTGGAGGGATCAGAGCCACAGCCCAGCCCCACTCACACGGAGATAAATCCATTTAAGCAAGATCTCATCTGTTTATAATTCCAAGGCTGAGCTCACAGAGAGTGAGCCACAGGAATGTCTCTTCCACAGATTTTGAAGTTTACAGAAATGCTAGAGACTGCCAGCACTTCAGGGTGACAATAAACTTGCTCCTGTCCCCTTCTCCTCTCCCACCTCTGAGTCTGCCTAGGCCTTTCTTTGCCAGTCCAGGAAGTAGCAGGTTGTGGCTGCTCCTTTAACAGCCTGGTGTAACCAGGTGTTGGGAAGTTCCCTGCAGCTCCTTTTGCAGCCTTAGAAACTCTCTACTCCACCACCAGTCAACACTGCACCCACAGCCAAGCTCTCAGCCAGTTGATCCCCATGGATCCTGGAGCTCACCAGACAGCTAGAAACGCTGCTGAGAGACCAGCACCATTTTGGGGTTTGCTACATTGCTACACTTGGTATGTTCCTTTGAGCAGCATGCAGAGATCCAAGGTCACTTCCCAAGTGACACTGTTCTATCCCTGTCCCTCTTGAGTGCTGCACAGACCCAGCTCCAAACCAATGGCTCCAGCAGACAATGGATAATTTTGCTCAGACTAAGTTCTTTGTACTTTAGCTTTTGATAAAGAGCTTGCAGTTATTTCTGGTCAATCTGCTTGTACTACTCGTACTAAGGGGCAGTCTGAGTTCTCCTTCAAAAATCCCATTCCCTACCCTATTTTATTAGCAGGGCCAGCCTTACTTCTGAGCACTCCTCCTCCAGCAGCTGTGAGCAGCAGCACAGCTCAGCCTCTCTTTCTACCAACCCGTTGGATCTTACTCCATGCAAGCCAAGCTGTGCTGTCCTGCCTTGCCAATGGCTCACCATCATCCTCCAAACGTGATGAGCAGACACAGGCAGGGGGAAGGGACCGCCATCCTAGGAATTGCAGTGACAAAAGTCTCTTCCAGTCTCCTGCTCTGCCTGTGGCTGTTTCTGGGGCAAGAAAAATGTCCCTATTTATGCACTGAACAATGCAACCAACTTCCACAGCAGCTGAGCTTCCCACTACCCATATTCCAGTACAAAATAATCAAGTGTCACATTCCAGGCAATTTTATGGGAAGATTTTGCTGCTCATGCATATAAATGCTCATCAGCCCAGGTGAGGAATGAGAAGGGGGATGTAAAAAAATATGATCAAACAAAAATCATTTGAACACAATGCCCTAAACCATGTGTGTGGGTTTCAGGGAACAGCTTTCAGGCACAGAGCTTCCTACTAGATTCCCTGCTGCCAACTGTGAAGAGTTTTGCTTCAGAAAGTAACAGTGACTCAGAACCTGTGACCTGGAATATCTACAAGAGAAGATGAGTCCTTGGAGATGTTCCCCTGTTTTAGGGCTTCACAAATCACAGCCTCCTGATTTGCTCCCCCCAGTGGGTAAGACCCACCACAGAGTCCTGGAGATGCCCAATACATGCCTTCTCCAGTTACCACCTCCAGGTGCTGGTGTGGAAGAGGTGCCCTCAGTCACTGATGCAGAGGCATTGTGGATCACACAGCCAAAACTGGCCACATGATGGGCACAATCCCTCCACATCCTTCTGTGCCTGCGGTGATGCCAATGAAGGGACCCCAGAGACATGCCCATAATTTTATTTCTCCCAAATAACAGATATCAATTTTGTAGTAATCTCATCAGTATTTTGAAATGCAGTTTTGCTCACAAAAGGCAGGCAGAAGAGTTTCCTAGAATTCTGTGTTCTCATTTCTCAATACAGGATTGTCAAACCCAGCTTTACATATCTCACCTCAGTGACAGCTGTCTTCTTTGGGCCCAGACCTGCAGACAAAAGGAAAGGGCATCAGAAAAAATAGGGACATCAAATAAAACTCCCCAACCCAACTACCAAAACTCTGAGAAAACAGCTCAATGCTTTGTCTTTTCAAGTACAGCTGCCAGCCTTTAGAGCAGCTGGTTTTACTCTGTTTTCAGCTTTACTAGTGCAAGAATCTGATGGTACAGGAGTCACTCAAACAATTTCATATTCAGAAGCACAAAAATGCACATTTTTTCCCGGCAAGAGTATTTCCTAGAGGCTTCAGCAGAGAAGTCTTGCAATCTCTCCTGCCCCATTAAGCAATGGGTCCACGCTGTGCTGAAGGGCTCCACAGAGAAGCCCAGAGAGACACTCCTGAAGCTGTTTTCCAGCCACTCAGAAGGCACTTGACGAACTATATTGATAACTGAATGTATTTATAGAATCCTATGTCCAAATATATCACACAAATGAATGCATCATTTATCTTTATTGCTGCCTCAGGAGAAGCCACTGCTGCTCCATTACAGCCAACGGCTGAAATCAGAGTTTTGCCTCAAGCTTTCAGGTATACAATCAGAGCAGGAAACACAAGGCCCAAACCCTCTGACAAGAGGCTATCTCCCATTTCCTAGCCTGAGTTTGTTTTTCTGAGATTTTCCAAGCCCGAGTTTGCAAGAAGCTCCTTAATTTCAGACAGCAGGGAGCACAGGCCTCTGTGTGGAACATGGGACCGTAAGATCCAGCCCAGCTGGCTCTTGAGAGCTACCATGAAGGATCAAGAGCTGCTGAAGAGGAGATCCCCACACCACCCCAGCAGACTCCCAGCACCTCTGTATGCACAGGTCAGTTCTCATGGAGGAGAACTGCACAGAACACAAATTCAAGGGACAGGTTTAAGGTCTTACTTCCAGGCAGAAGTCTGCCACTGCCTGCTCCTGTACTACAGGCACAGATCCTTATCAAATCGTTCAGAAAGGGCTTAGTTTTGCAAAAGACCATGGAGTGCAGTTTTGAGTTCATCTCCACTCAAATTAGGGGTGGTCTTCTCTGGGGGGATTGGATGTCCTCTGTCCCTCCTGGCAGGAAAAGCCCCAGAGCACCCAACCCAACCTCTGCTACTTAAGCATCTCCCCCATTTGGCAAAGGAAGAACTTGGACAGTTTACCCGTGGTACCTGTTCAACCCCTCAAAGAGAAGCAGTGATGCTGCTCCAGGGCTTGTTTCAGAAGGAGCCTGAGCAAGAACCTGGGCATCAGTACCTGAAAGGGCTCCAAGAAAGCTGGAAAGGGCCAGGACGAGGGCCTGGAGGGATAGAACAAGGGGGAATGGCTTCCTACTGCCAAAGGCGAGGGTTAGATGGGATATCGCAAAGAAATTCTCCCCTGTGAGGATGGGGAGGGCCTGGCACAGGGTGCCCAGAGCAGCTGTGGCTGCCCCTGGATCCCTGGCAGTGTCCAAGGACTTGGAGCAGCCTGGGATAGTGGAAGGTGTCCCTGCCCATGGCAAGGGGTGGAACAAGATGAGCTTTAAAGTCCCTTCCAACCTAAAACATTCCAAGATTCCATGAAAATGGGATGACAACACCAGGGAAGTGTGTGACTCAGTTATATTTTGGAAAATATTTCAGACTCTGGAGAGCAAATAAACAAATCCAACAAAAAACTACTGGTGATCACAGGGGAGATGAAGCTGCTCTTACTCGGAAGTGCTGCAGGCGTCTCACCATCCTGATCTCCACAAAATGGGCAGTCCCTCATCTGAAACAGGTCTTGTCACGTGGCATTTGGAGCTGTCTGCAGAGCCTACAGCCCAGCCTGTGGGGCAGAGCCAGGGCAGCACCGGAAGAGTCACTTCTTGTTATTCTCTTTTAAACAGTGCCCAACTCCTGCCTCAGGAATAGTCACTGAAATGCCACTCCCTGTGTCACACAATCCCATTGCAAACAGGCAGAGGGAAGTGAGCAGAGTGGGAACTGAGGGGTGCAGAGCAGCTCCCCTCGCTCACACACTCAGGCTGGGTCCCCTCAGGTGACACGGGTGGGTGATACACACCACAAGTGACATGAACTCTGTCACTCCTCTAGCTCTCAGACTGCAGCAGCACTTGGCTCAGGACCACTGCGAGCTCAAACTGTGCTGAATAATTAGTTTTTTGCCTAAGCCAACACAATTTTGTGATCGTTGAACAAAACACCCTGCAATGGCCCAGAGAGCGGGAAATAAAGTTCTGAGTGAGCATTTGGCTAAGAGCTTCCACGGCACAAGCTGAAGTAGCACTTCCAGACCATGGGGGAACCCAGAGGAGCCAATGCTGCTCCAGACTGAGCACTGGAAATCGCTGGGAGCACAGCTGAGAGCCCTGGGCCAGGGGAATGTGCATGGCTGTCAATGCTCTCCTGCTGCACTAATCTCGTTTCTGCACTTTGTCACCATTCCAGAGCAGGAGATTATCTTTAATTTTGTGATAATTACCACAAGCCACTTTCATTCCCAGCTTTTAAGTGTCTGCTGTTGTACATGTACCAAATGTGGAATGAACACCAACCATCCGCACAAAGGAAAGGTATTGGAGGCAAGGAACCACAGATCTCTGGGAGAAACGATGCCTGATGTGGGCAAGAGCAATCCCAGCAAAACTTCCCTCTGTCCCCACCTCGAATAAAAAGTAATCAGCTTTATAAAATCAACTTGTCTAGTCAGAAAATGCAAAAATCTTCCACTGGCTCCTCTGTGCATGGCACACGGCTGTGCTCGGCTCAAGCAAGCTGACAGATGGTCTGGCAAAATCTGATTTAACTTCAGCTCTAGGGGTTATTGAGCCACGAGGCAGTGCTGGGGCTTGCAGGAGTGGGAGCACTGCTGTGGGAAGGTTCGACACTGGACAAGCTAATTGAAATGATTCTTATTGGATTTGGTGTGGCTTACGAGGCTGTGCTCAGAAACGTGATGAGTGGGGAAACCCTGAGACAAAACCCCAACTTGCTGCCATGCCTCCAGTCTGTGCCTGGGCTCTGCCAGGCACTTCATGCATGCTTGACCTGCTGCCTTCAGTTCTGTTCTCATCTGTGCACGGCTTTGAGTGACCCTGTCCCAGTGCTTGAGCTTCTATGGAGCCTCTGAAATAAACACTTCAGTTGTGGCATTCAGCAATTCCCATCTCAGACTTTACTTGTGTTTTTTCCATATTCACAGTCACATTGGCCATCTCCACCACTAAGCAGACACTCTGCAGGACAGGCAGAAGAGTTTCCTCCTGGAAAGCCTCTGCACAGGAAAGGGCTCAAGTTTCAGCTCTACCAGCCAGAGGAGCAAAACCCCCACAAGGTAAGGGTGGTGAGGCCCTGGTCAGGGTGTACAGAGAAGCTGTGGCTGATCCATCCCTGGAAGTGTTCTAGACCAGGTTGGATGAGGCTTGGAGCAACCTGGTCTAGCGGAAGGTGTCCTTTCTACTCCCTCCAAACCGAGGCAGGTTGACTTGCCAAAACCCTTCATCATCAAAACAGGCATTAGAGGCTTCTGTCCACCAGAAGGGAATTTCTTAAAAGGTTTAAAAAAATCCAGCAGAAGCCTAATTTAAGATCACAGAAGCCTAGAAAATCCTGAGTAGGATGGAACCCACAAGGACCACTGAGTCCAAGTCCTGGCCCTGCACAGACCCCCCAACAATCCCACCCTGAGCATCCCTGAGAGCGCTGTCCAAACGCTCCTGGAGCTCTGGCAGCCTTGGGGCCGGGACCATTCCCTGGGGAGCCTGGGCAGTGCCCACGTGATCTAATAATGAAGTTTTCTTTATAAGACAGGTCTATACACACAGACATGTATTTATAAATTTTAAGTATTTTATGCTTTATGATGCCCTAGAGAAGTCAAAACAAATCTGAATAACCAGTGGATTCTTTCCTCTGATCAGAACTGCTGCTGCATCTTTACTAAAAGCTTCACTTTATTTAAGGGTTTATAAGGATATACAATGTGACTGGAACTATAAATATATGAAAATATAAATGCCACGTCAGCTCCTTGGCTGGAGGCTGCAGCAGCAGCATGACTCCCCCAGAAATCCTGCACAGCAGAGACCAGCAGTTTGCCACTCACACCCAGCCTGGTCTGGTGGAAGGGGTCCCAAAGAAGTGTGTCTATCTCATTTTTCACTTTCTCCATTGAGAACAAGACAATGTGACACACCTGAGCAGCCCATTTGGACAAGAAGTGGATGTGGAGACTGTAATCAGGCCACGACTCCCCGTTCCATCAGACCCCTAACAGACTCGGTCAATGCCTTACAGGCAAAGGCAGAAACAAGCATGCCAAGACAGGAGCTGTGGAAGTTAAAGCCCCTACACATGTACTGCTATCAAAACACAGGCAGAAAGGATGGAAATTAAACATATTCATCTAAAGAGATGGCTGTTACTGCCTGTAAGGGACTGCTGATAAAAACAAAGTAAAATTAAGGGGAGTGGATGAAGGCAATTCAGCAAATCATGGAATGGTTTGGGTTAGAAGGGACCTTAAAGCTCATCTCATTCCATCCCCTGCCATGGGCAAGGACACCTTCCACTAGACCAGGGTGCTCTTAGCCCCCTCCTTAGACACTTCCAGGGATCCAGGGGCAGCCACAGCTGCACTGGGCACCTTGTGCCAGGGCCTTCCCACCCTCACAGAAAATAATTTCTTTGGAATGTCCCATCTAACCCTGCCCTCTGACAGGGCATTCCCTTTTTCTGTCCCTCCAGACCCTTGTCCATATTCCCTCTCCAGCTCTCTTGTAAGCCAGAAAACACTCCTGAGCTGGGAAGCAGCCCATGGGCCAGAGCAGCAGCCAGCTGGGCTTCCCAAGGAGCCAGCAGAAACATCAGGCTGTGTCTCAAGGCATAGGCAAAAGCAATTCTGAATTTCTTTTTGCACTTCACACGTGTGGCTCCAGCTCCCAGCACAAAGAGCAGTCCTGGGAGGGGAGGGGACACCACAGCGAGTAGGAGCTGGCTTACCCACCCCCCAAAGAAGGTAGCTGAGTACAACCTGCCCTTCCCAGGCACCTACTTCTGATCATTAAACATATTTTCTTCCCATAATTCAACACAATTTGAATCAGATGAGAATCATCAAGTAAGGCACAAAATTAAATTAAAAATTTGGGGTCTTCCTCCCTTAAATGTGCAATTTATTGGCAGAAAGACCTGTAGCTGCTCTGCACCCTGGGCATGAATCTCTGTTCCTGCCATCCAAGAGCTTGGAGAAATAATACAGAAATAAAGCAACCTGAGATAAACTCTGCTTATTATGTAGAACATACATAAAGCTTTACCATCTAAATGTATCTATTTTTCCCTGGAGCACTGCCAGACTGACTGACCTTTAGGATCATCCACACAAAATTGGTGCTGGTCAAACCCAGCCAACCGTCTCTACCACCTGGCTCACTCTATTATTCATCCCGGTGCTCAGGCAAGGCTGGCTCCATCCCTGTGGGCAAGCATATAGGGGGAGGAGAGACCTGGCTCTGATGCACCTGCAGCACAGGTAGCTCAACATTCCTCAGGACACTTTAGACAGCATCCAAAGCAGAAATGCTGACAGCACATCAGCATCCAAACTGGGCTACCAAGAGTAGCCAGAGAAAAATAATCCTGTGGAACCCCACCTCAGCCACCCTAACCTCCTCCCTGTCCCCCGCTCCTTCTCCTTGCCCACATGGGCTCCATGCCTTGTTTGAAGCACACAGGAGCCACCTTCACATAAAATGACATTTACAGACCAGGATCTGCTGCTCCAGCTCCATGTGCTGTACTCTTCCCATGGCCTTTGTCTTGTTTTTCTCAGCAGAAATGCTGGGGATGAGAACAGCAAGGCTTGTACAAATAAATGGCTTGTATAAATGAAGGGAAGAAGCTTAATGTACAGGCTGGGCCTCGGGGCACTGCTGTGGTACCTGCTGAGTGCAATGACATGGCTGATCCCACCTTTCCACCCCAGGCATGGACGTACTCTTCCATTAAGTGGAGCCAGATAGTCACAGGGAGCCCCAGTCCTGTCCCAGCCACCCCCTCAAGTTTCTGACCCCCAACCTCGAGAAGCTGCTCCCCTGCTAGCTCCCAGGGATCAGCATTGAACCTGTATTTTACAGCCCAGCTCGGCTGATCAAAGCAAACTTCCAGCTTATGGAGCATCAGCATTGCCAGGGACTGCCACAAAAGTATGTTCTGCAGTAAAGGCATCTACCAGCCTGGTTTATTTTTGGGTTTATGCAGAAACTCTTTCTGCCTCAAAAATAAATCCGTTTATCCCAGCTCAAGAGGCAAGGCAGAAGCTGAAGATGTAAGCAGGGAGTTAACACATCCCTTCCCCATCGTCAGCTGCAGGTGCCACCACATCCGGGGTGCAGCATCCCGGGTGCAAGCCCTCCTCGGGGAGCTGAGCCAGGACATCACCACGCTGGAACATTTCCTTAACAACTCCCCGGAAAAGCACTTACAGTGCCAAAGCCAAATTACAGTGAGGAACGAGCGGGACAAGGCCAGGGAAATGAAATTCAAAAAGAACTGATTTGTTTTCTTGTTTTGGATCAGCTGCATGTAGAAAAAGGACAATTTTGGAGTGCTGAGCCCAAAGCGTGTGACACAGTGACAAAAAGCAAAAGAGAAATCTCATCAAGAGCAGCACACAATAGCTGCCACCCAGCAGCGGAACAGGCTGCAGCCGCTCGGCTCAGTAATTATGCAATCCAGTGGGATGTTCGGGCAAACATCTGCTCCATGGGAAAGGTGCAGCCTTATCTGAACACCGTGTTCCTGCTCCCTTCCACACGCCGGCCACAGGAGGATTGTGCAGTGGAAGAACACACGCTCCCAGCACGTCCCTCACGGGCAGCGGGGGCAGGAAGGCGAGAGGCTCCCAAGGTCACGCATTGAAACGCCGGCCTCATCCCGGCTTCTGGTTTCTCTGTTTATTACAACCTGCAAGTCCAATCTGCCTACCAGCGCTCACAACAGAGCTTCATCAGGATTAGAGACAGCAAACGTGGAGCAGGAAGAGTCACCTCTGCAGGACTGAGCCAGTTCTGTGCCTGTGTCGACACTCAGGCACAGAGGTGCCACACTAAAACCACGACGCCAATTTAAAGCAGGGCCATAAAAGGCTGAAGGACTTTGAAGCCACATTCCTCACAATCATCCAGAAGAGCCAGAGCAACATTCAGCTGCCCTTACCTTTGTTCAAGGGTAGGATAAGCTTCAAATCCCCTACTAGCAGGTTCCAACCCACCGACTCCACTCACTCGAGCATCTCCTGCCTGCCCAGAGCTGCGGTTTGGCAGCAAGAGGACACAGAACCCGAGGCAGCCCTTGGGATTCTATTCTGTGTGTTCAGATGGAGTTTCCAGTTGCCACAAGGTCCCCAAGAGCCACTTCTCAAACCCAGGTCAGAGAAGCACAAGGAAGTGAAGGAATTCACTTCCCTCCTTCATTTTCCAAGGATCCCCATCCCTTTTGTCTGCAGAATCCTGCTGAGAAGCAGGATCTAGGACCTTTAACATGTCCTACCTATGTGCAGGGAAGGAGGCTCACTTCCATCCTCTAATATGCTGCTCTCCAAGTGCCACTAATAAAGAGGGAGAAGCAGGACCTGACTAATTCAAGTTATACCCTGCCTGCCACAGCCAGAACAGTTGTTCTGTCCCAAATACCCAGGGTTTCCATCGTGGCACAGCTCAGGGCTTTGGCTGCTTGGGGCTTAGTGTCAGCCCATAGCACCTCCCAGTCAGGTACAGATTAGTGTTGCTGGAGCCTCTTCACCAGCGAAGCTCCTTTTGGAACTCGCTGGCTCTGTGAGGATACCTGCAAGGCAGGTGCCAGGCAAAGGACAGGGCACTGCTAGCTGGAAAAAGGATATATTCACTGTGGTCAATCCCAACATTTCTTATGATGATAAATAGCACAGGATATTGTTATTGAGAGGACAAACCCCGCTTAACTAGAGCAGGAGGATGCTTTTGCACATCAGCTTGGCTCCCTTTCCAATATTCCTTGCTCTGGGTATCCTGCAAAGGATCTCAGCCTGTCTGGGAGGAGCACTGGCAATGCAAAGGAATCATTCCAGCTGCTTGCAGGAGCAGCAGCACAGCAGATACCAAAAGGGTTGGATTGCAGGCTGCATGAGACAGTGACAAACTCTCCTCCCGACTTTATCGCTCGGCCCTGTCTCCCTCCAGGAGGGATCGGCCAGATAATTCGTAACTTCCACTATTTAAAAGTGTTTTCCTCAAACAAGACTGGCCCCTTTGCTCACTCACCAGCAGGAATTATGCTAATCTAATTTAGTCGGGGAATACAAGAACGCAACCCACGAAAGATATCCATCATTTTCTGACATTCTAAAAAACATG